CGTTAACTAGACATGTAACGTGTGTAGTATCGACATTACTCTTGATTATTGCCAATGTACCAGTATACAGGGCTATAACATAATATAGTAACTACATATATTTGGTTTGATGAGTTTAGTAGTGCCAGACACAGTAGTTTTGGCAGTTGACCACCGAACGCAGCGTCCGGTGACTCCGAGAATTTCACAGGATTCGATGCCGGATGGGGGTGGTGAAAATTTCTGACCGGAGGGTTTTCTTCCTACACCTGTGACTGGTGGTGAATTTCGAAAGGGGAGCGATTTGTGAACCTCAACGCTGCTTATACGACATTGTTATAAGAACTAAAAAGTAAATTTTGTTGCGACGGGAATTTAACGTGGACAATCAGGCTTTGCGATCGATGCGCACACACGAGCGTCGGAAAATTAATAAAACCCCCTGTCGGGCAGACAGCGAGACGAATCAATCTGGAATCGGAATCGTATTAAACGATCAAATCCCGTTCAATTATTAATTACGAGCCTTGGGGCTTACGCTAATTCGTTGTTTGCCGAACAGGCGGGGGCTCGTCGTTCGTTGTTAATCACGCGTTTGTTCGGATGGTGCGTACTACCCGTGCTGAAAACGTGACGACGTCGCTTCTTCGCAAATGTGATCTGATTCAATTCGTGCGGAATAGAGAACTTTTGAACATCAACTTGGAAATTTTGATAATTTTTCCTTCTAACTTCTAACAAACGGTTTAACAGGAAGAACAAAGCGAAACACAATCTCCAAACTTTCCCGATGTTTCGGGGACCCCATCATCCGAAATTACGAATTAAAAAGAATGTATTAAGCCGCTTAAAACTTGCCACTCTCTCGCGACCCCGAAAAATTCCCAATTTATCAGGGGAGATAAAAAAAATATATATAAATCGCCTTTCCACCCACGCCCCTTCATTATTAAAAAGCAGCACTCCGTAATATTCCCGGGACCCGGGCGGCGGCGGGCAATTCCTGAAACTTAAGCCGACAGTTACTTTTATTAAACTCCGGGTGATATATCAAATTATTGATATCCTTCTCCCCCGAAAGTTCCCGTCGAGGCTAGAACAAAATACTCCTGGCGACGAGGCGGGGTGGAAACTTGGAACGCGAACTTCTGGACGAAACGTTGAATTATGAACTGAGACTTACTTCGGTTCGTGTTTACTGTTAAATAAATATGAAGGGAGACGTCCCGTCTGAAGCACTTTACCGACAAAGTGGCACGTTGTATTTATTTCACGAGTGCGGTGTAAAAATCCGAGAATCCTCCCAATCTAAGCGAATTAAATAAGGTTGTCGTGAAGCATGATCGTTTGTATCGGCCATATTGACATGGGCCCTCGGTGGAGACATCGGAAGTTCGAATCGAGCCCCACGTTGGGCGCCATGTCGAGGAATATGATCGTTTGTATCGGCCACGACGGCATGGGCCCTTGGTGGAGACCTCGGGAGTTCTAATCGAGCTCCACGCTGGGCGCCATGTCGCGATATATGACCGTTTGTGCCTAATATTTGAGAATTGTGCGGGGAATTTGTAACATGGGCTCGCCGCGAAGACGTCGAAGCAGGACTTCGAGCCCCACGTCGAGCGCCATGTCGTGAAGTATGATCTGAATGTTGTGTTTGGTCGGCATGGGTCCTCAGTGGAGGCATCGGGAGTTCTAATCGAGCTCCACGTTGGAAACCATGTCGCAACCTGTGATCTGGGATGTTAGTTCCCTTGACCGGGTTCCGCGGCAGGAACGCACGGAGTTCACGGGGATCGTCGCTATCGACGCCCGGTCGCACTATATTCTCTGACGATTGGAATCTGTGGTGGATATGACCTACAGACGTGGTGTCTAGGACACGAGCTCGCGGGGGAGATCTCGACGAAGAAGGTCGAGCTCCGCGTTGAGCGTCGTGTCGGGTTAGACTTTCTTGATATGGACCACTTAGGCGATGATCGTATGTTCGGGGGAAATCATGAGAATGGACGGGCGACGTACAAGTATTGTTTTGATAAAAAAGGCCGGCTTCGTCACCTATGACGTAGTCGGCTAAGGGGTTTTCGCTTACTATGGCACCCGAACGCGATGCGCATTGCTCCCGCTGGATACCACTTCGTAAAAAAGCTGAATGAACTGTAGCGTCGTCACCGACGGCTAGCTCACGTTCCGAAACACCCGACCTCGGAGGTAGGCCGCTATCGGGGCCAGACCGTGAACCGTGGTTGGACTCATGGGATTCCCCGGACCCTACCAGTTGGTACGTAGGTTGAACCTCGTCCCGAGTATCTGTGGGTGACCCACTTCGTGGTAACTCTTGGTTGCTACTCGGATCCGCGAGTGCGTCGTGAGGGGTGGTCGAGATGGTGCCAGTAACTCGCGTAGCAGCGGACCTCAACGCGTACGGCGCTGTGGCTGCGCCGTGCCGCGTACTTCCGCGAGCCACCATCTTCGGTCCCTCAGACTCTTCGCGGAGCATCGATATAGCGTTGGCAGAAGAGGCCATTTCCTCTTTCACCCCGAATGTCGAGAGATCTTTCGCCGGCAAACAGGTGTGAGGGCAGTTCGTGTGACCGCTGGTCTCTCCGATTTGGGACGAGGTCTCGTCCAGCTCAGTCTTGATCATACTCACACGATCTAATTTATTATTCGTAGTATTACCTTCGAGGGCACCAATCCTCGTAGCACTGGATTTCGTAGTCGCGTCGCAGGGGTTCATCTTCCCCGTACGACAATGTCGGAGCAAGCTCTTTTGCTCCGAAAGTCTTGTAGACGTCTTGTAGTAAGCACTGACTCTACTATTAAATGTGGGTCTCTCGAGGGAGCCCTAGAAGTAAGGATAACTTCTTTACTAAATTTGGAAGTACGCCGCCACAATAACGTGCGTACTATTGCTTTGTGCCCGTGGGTCACAAAGTAAATGCCTCGTAGGGGTTTGACGAGGAAGGTTGCCTCGACGAGTGACCGCCTAGAAGTTTGACGAGGAAGATTGCCTCGGATTTGCAGATCTCAATGGAGTCTGAATTGTAGGTCTCGTAGGAGCCTATGTGTGTACTTTGTACCGAGGTGCGGGTCTCTCGATGGAGCCGGCACAGTCGGAATCAAAGTCTTCGTCGGAGGGTCGCAAGCCTCGGACGGTATGCAGGTCTCTGGAGGAGCCTGAAGTATCGCTGTGTCGATGCGAATGGCTATCGCACAGGATCTTCGTCGGAGGTGGTCAGTCTCGGACGGTTTCGCAGGTCGCAAGTGGATCCTGGAGTTTACCGCTGTTTCGATGCAGGGGGCTATCGAACAGGGTCTTCACCTCAGGCTAGGCTACCTCGGGTGGTTGTCTCGTTAAGCGAGTAGTGGTTGCAAAGCACTATCAATATCACGTCGAGGAATGGCAGCCTCGACGGAAGCCTCGTGAAGCGAGCCTGTGAGCTTGAGCTCCAAAGTTCTTGAGCTTGATGACAGGGTTTTTTCAATCAAACCGTGGAAGATATGTTAAAAGTATATATTGAATAAAATTAATAAACAACAAAGATTCACAATTAACATATACAAGTTATTTACCATGAATAAGATTTGTTACAATTCGCTCTGTATCGCTTTCCGTCTCATGTACTCCCACTGAAGTACTGTAAACGTCAAAAGTAGACGTTCGATCACTTTTGTGGGATTTCCATACTTTTGGCGGACCGGGCCTTGAATTGTCCGCCAAAATCTCGAACCAAAATCATCCATCGTCCCCATCAACGCCGGGACTCGTTCCCCTCTGGCCTCTCCGGATAGTCGATGTCGGCGTCGGGGATTTTGGAGTTTTTTCCCGGTTTGGGAAAAACTCTACCCGCGGTCTCGGCTTAGGCTGCCGAGCATCGCATCCAACCGCCAGAGCGGTGGAACCTTCGGAAGACGGTCCTTTCGGCCCAAAGACGGGGAAATTGGAAACATCGGTGAAATTTTCCCCGTCTTCGTAAAAGGGCTTACGGAGGTCTTATTTCTTGATGGATTCATTTGAAATTTTGTCTGTTGATACACGGCATGACATAGTGCCGTGGTTGGAGGGTTCGACCGAGATCGCGCGGATACTTTCGGCGGCAGCTCTAAAGGCGTGAAAACCTATTATGGCTTAGCTGGCCGTTAGTAGTCGGGCGATTCGGTTCGAATTTGGATATGACAACCACCTAGCGATACTCTAGTGTGGTTGGAGGGTTCGGCCGAGATCGAATGAGCGGAACGGCTGAAAACGCGGAAAACGTGAAATCCGCGTTTCCCCGTATAACGGCGTTTTGGCTCATCCGATTCGGACGAAAATTTAGTAAGATAATGCTAGCGACTTGAGGAGTGCTGCATTAAATTTTGACACCGATCGCTCAATAACTTTTGGAGTTATTGGCGATAGCGTCCTTGACCAATTCAAAAGGGTGGTGAAATTTCTAATGGCCATTTCCAAATGTCATCGTGAAGCGTCCCGGGGTTCGACTGCAGGTTGCGAGAGCAGCGGCAGTGGTCACTGCGCGCCGGGATGGCAGACCCAGGCGAGATCGGTCGCGATGCGGGTGACACTGGAAAGGTCGGTGAAATTGGTCTTTAACGCTCTGGGAGCGCTATCGCCGTGAGGATCGATGTCTCAAGACTCCTATAGAGGCTTTTTCATTCTGCCCGGCCGACGGCGATTGATTTCACAACCGTGGCGGGTTTTTGGTTTGAATTGGAAAGGTAGGTGAATATGATTGTTTCGCCTCCTTTTCAATTCAGCGGTCTCCGGCATATCCGTAGGTACAAGATTATGACTTCTATGAATATACGGGGTGTTCTGAAATCCTGGAGCTCGCTCGAAGGGTGGAATACGACAAGGTTTATAAGGATATTAAAAACGTTTGTCGATAAGAGCGCACACGTGTTTCGCCTTTCCAATAAAAAAAATGTTAAATGACGCTTAAGCTTGCTGATGTGCTTTTTTATTTCATACTCTTTAAAAAAAAAAACCTGCTAATTCTTTTTATTCTTCGTTTCAGATGACGACACAGCCTCGGTACACGGCGTCGTCACCTCCGACGGCTTGTTCGAAGGCACCGTCTCCACCCCTCTGGACGACTACCACGTGGAGCCCGTCAGCCGTTACTTGAGCCCTCTGGAAATGAAAGACCCACCCACCTTCCACTCGATCGTCTACAAGGCCTCGGACGTCCAGGATCCACGGAAAGGTTGGTATGATGAAGGGCTTTGGGTATTTATTGCTTCCGGACCGGCGTATCGATCACATTTCGTCCGCGAAATCCTGGATAGCCTAAAATGTTTTTTAATAGAGATACGGAGTATCAAATTTATTTTTTTTAACTTTTTTTCGTGATACCTAAATAACACAGGTAATACAGGTAAAATCTTGATCAGAAAAAAAATGAATTGCTTTTTAAATTACATACACTACTTTTTCTTCAATTCGGACCAACAAATTCGAATTTTCAAGGGTTTTGATTCTGGTCGGAGTTATTTGAAACTCATTGCCACTTAGACTAGGCGGTATCTGTTTTGGTTTAGTTGAATCGTATATCCACGGAGATTTTTGGCTTTCAAATATCACTAGAAATGAAAATTTTTCTATGCGTATAAAAAAAACGTGGGCTTAACTTTTTACGGCACAATATGTTAAAAAATTCCAAAAATGTCATATTTTTCTTCTTATTTAATTATGTATCTTTTCAAGAGTTGATTTTTGGCGAAAATGGAAGAGGAAAAAAATTTTTGTAATTAAATTTTTTACAAAACATGACTAGTTACAAATCGAATGAATCATGATTATTATTGTAAAAATCGAAAAAATCGCAAAAATGGGGTTAAAAACAATACTTTTTAGGGAATTAATAATTCTTTCCGGTGTTGCCAGATTTCTGCAGTAGCTACCAAAACGATATCTTTATTAATGGAAACACCGGAAAAAAATTATTTGTAAATTTTTCTTAATCAAGTTATTTCCTACAACTTTGCATTTGGAAGTACTAGTCTATTACTTCAAATAAAAAAGTTTGCCTATGTCAGGTTTTAAAAAAATAACACTATATACAGGTTGTAGAGATTCTTTTCCTAATGGTATATACGTGTATCTATTTTTTCAAGGTCGTATTTTTCGAATACGAAATAATATATAGAAATGAAAGAAAGATTCTTTTTTTAATATTAATTTTTTTTGTGATTAAAGTATAATTCAAATATTATTTATTGTTTAAAATATAAGCAAATGAGAAATTAACTCATTATATTACTAATTTTCGTCATATTTTGAATATAATTGTTGTTTAAACATTTCAGAATATTTAAATAAATTTGTTTTTGATCTTTGATAAACAGTACCTATATAAGTTTATGCACTTACCTTTGATACAATAGAAAAATAAAGTTGATAAGTAAAGGAAGTCAGAAGATAAATAATTATCGGACTGTTGAAAGATCAATAATTATTAACGATAGGCATTTGAAAATACGCTAAAATTTAAAAAAAAATCATCAAAATTGGACCTCTAGAAGGTGAGAAATTAAAAATTTTTAAGCGCATCGCTATTTTGAATTCGCCGATTCAATTTCGAGCAGGCCGAAGCGGCCGCGCTCTCTGCTTCCCCCACCACCACCACCCGTACGATTTTCTTGAATTTCTCACTTGCATAAATAACTTTAAACACTTTTTAAAGTAGGTTGGCAATGAAGAAAAGTATTGTAATCTTAGACCTGGTAAGTACTTGGAATACCAAAGGTATTTTTCGAAAAATTAGCCCGGATATCCCAGTACATTTAGTGTAAATGACGGTTAGCTTTGATCGGCTATAACTACGTAACTAATTGATCAATCGATCTGTTTTTTTTTTAAGAAGCGTCGTTCCAAGAACTTTTAAAACCTGCTTTAAAAAATTTGGTTTGGTTGAATATTCACAAAGTTATTCTAATTGTTTATAAGTACAAAAATTTGACCAATGTTTAAACAAGCGCCAGAGCTCTCCTAATTGACGGATTCGAATTTTTCAAAAAAAGTTTGAAAGCTTGAGAGCCCTTCTACATGTGATTAAATTTTCAAGTATCTAAGGGCCTTGGTTTTTGTTGTGCAAAATTTTGAAAATTTGCAATTTTTTTTTTCAAAATCTGGATTGCAAAATTATTATGCAAAATCTGTCGAACCGATTTTGATGAAATTTGGTCTGAAGATTCTACATAACATGAAGTTTTCTTGAGCCAAGTATAAAGGTCCAATCCCCAATTTAAATACCCCAAAGAAATTTCCTAAAAAGTATTGGTTTTTAACCCCATTTTTGCGATTTTTTCAATTTTTACCATGATAATCATGATTCATTCGATTTGTAACTAGTCATGTTTTGTAAAAAAAATAATTACACACATTTTTTTTCCTTCTTTCGCCTAAAATCAACTCTTGAAAAGATACATAATTAAATAGGAAGAAAAATGTGACATTTTTCGATTTTTTTTTTAACATATTGTTCCTCTAAAAGTTAAGCCCCCGTTTTTTTTATGCGCATAGAAAAATTTTCATTGCTAGTGATATTTGAAGGCCAAAAAGCCAAAAATCTCCGTGGATATACGATTCACCCAAATATGGCTTTTTGAAACAGATACCGTCTGTACTAACTTATTTTTGTAAATTTATCACGATTTTTGTATCTTCGAAGGTTTACCATGTGCCTCCCATCGCCTACACCTCAAGAACTCCATAGATAGCGCGGAAAAGCCACTGTCGTCGTGGTCGTCGCCTCACGACCGCATCAAACGGTGGCTCCTCCAAGCCGAAGCCAAGTTGCCTTACGACGAACCCCCCAACTTCGTGTTCCCCAACAGGACGAGGTCCTTCACGCCGATCTTCGACCTGGGCCAGCCCATCGACGAGGAGGTCGACTATATCGTCTCCAACAAGACGAACGTCGATATTTCCGGGCTGATATTCCGCAACGTGAATAAAAGGGCGACGGTGGACCCCAAGAAGACCACCTGTATGCTCTACCTGCAGGCCGACCATCAGTTCTTCTCGAAATACGGCACGGAGGAGGCCTGCATCGAGGTTATGACGAGGCACGTGCAGAGGGTCAACGCCATCTACAAGAATACCGGTGAGTGTGACGAATATTCTGATGTAAAATCCTTTCCGTCAAATTAGCCATATCGGGACTAGCGTCGAGTCGGAGCAGGGGTCGCCGGGAGCCGTGGGTTTCCGGTAAATGAGTCCGGATAGCCCATTTAATTCGAGGTTCTGTTCGAACCGCCTCGCCGTTAGATGAGATAAAATATTTACGTAGCGCAGGGAGACAATTGTGCCGGTTGATTGGAGATTTGCAACTACACGGATATGCTTTCACGGCGCGCCGGGATCCGGGGTTCGTTCGCTGCCCGATCGCTCGAGTAAATAACATTTGTTCCGCGCCTCGTATTAGGCGACGCGCCCGCCGTGATTGCCCGACGTCGTGAGAACGCCGAGAGGGAAAATCCTCTTCGGGAACGGGGTTTCGCTAACAAATGGTCTACCCTAATTAACTGTAAAGAGGTTTACCTGCGCCCGGTTCATTAAATATTCCCTTTCGGAAGCTGTCATAAAATGCAATTTTAATTAAGTTTCTTGAATATCAGGAAAAACTTTTTTATTGTTCTTGTTCTTAACATAATTGGGTAAATTGTTACGGTAGGACGTGCGTTTTCTATTTCTCTTGGGAGTCGAACCTCGAAAGCTTCTAAGGTGGCAGGACATCTCTGAAGTGTTTACAACGGTGGTCGTGGCAGCAGTGCGAGACAGAGTGGGAATAGTGCACATTTATTATGAAGTTTGGGCTCTATTTAGCCCGACTGTAGCTAAATAGTAGCTATTCACGACTTTTTTTTCTTATTAAACTTATTTTGTTCAAATATGGTGTAAAATTTTGTTACTTCTGTTTTTTTTTAAAGATTGCAAAAGTTTAAATTGATTGCAAAAACAGACGGACAGTAATGCTGTCTATTGAAAAATCAATGGTGCGAGAAATACAAAAGTTTAGTGGAAAAATAATAATTGAAAAGTTTAAGTCGTCAGTGCCGCGAAAAAAAAAACATTTGCCCCTACCGGCATTGAATTACATTCGCGACAGCTAGGATCGTTCATCAGCTGGTCCCACCAGGCACAGACCGGTTTCGGACTTATTAGTCCTCATAAGTGTGTCATAGGTAGGACAACCGATGAACGATCCAGCTGTTATAAAGTCGTAAACTCCTGACAAGAGGTACATAGTACGCGAAGCACAAAGGCTCCATCTATCGCGCTGACTTCCACTATGCCATTCAAATGGCTCCTACGGTGGAAGCGACTTGCTAAAATTTGCCAGGCACTTTATTGCACGAATGTCGCCTATAGAGGGCGAAAAAAGTTTATTTCGGACAAAAGCAGGCTATAAAAAAATATTAAACACATTTTCCCCATATTTCAATAGAACTTAAAATAAAACTGTCCAATTATATTTAATTTTTTTTTTCAATACTTTGTACCTAAAGAGTGACCGCAAAAAACCTGCGATTTTCGCCCGTTTTCTCACAATTCGCATATAATTTAAAAAAAATAGATAAAAATATATTTTTGGTCGCAAATTACTTGTCGTAAAAAACTGAAATGAGCGTAGTTTTTAGTATTTTGAAAATTTTAAAAATCCCCCCTCGAAAAAATGCCAAAAATGAAGAATTTGAATATTACCAATTGATATAACAACTCTTAGCATGTGAATTATATTAATATATTTTTTTGGAATTTTTACAATTATTTCTGATATTCTCTACTTTTGGGGATGATTCCACCCCCTGAGCGCGCTTAAGGGTAAATTTTCTAACTCGACATGCTTATTTCAGTCATGAGAATAAATCTTTCTTTGTATCAAGAATCATTCGATAGAAAAATTCACATGCTAATAGTTTTTATATTTATTGGTAATATTCAATTTTTCATTTTGAGCATCTTTTCAACCCCTAAATAGGGGCGAATTTGAAAATTTTCAAAAAACTAAAAACTATGCTCATCTTAATTTTTTACGCCGAGTAATTTGAGACTAAAAACATATTTTTATCTATTTTCTTTTGTTCTCTGTGAATTGTGAAAAATCGGGCGATTTTTGCGGTCACTCTCTCCCCCCCCCCCCCCCGCAGTATGGAAGTTAAGATCCGCCACTGGTGTTCAGCGAAGTCAACAAATTGGATATTAAATAGAACTTTGGAAAAACTGACTATTTTAGTACTGATAGGGATCTGGATACAATAATTTTAAATTTTTTTTACAGCTTTTCAATCATTTAGACTCTGTGATACGTGATTTTAATTCTCTCATGCTCTTAAAATTCTCATTTTTACACTACTCGTAATTCCTTAGTTATTTTTTAAGTTTTTTACTCACTGTTTTTTTGTTCTTTAAAAATCGGTTACAAAATATCGCTAAAATTGTGCAACTCCAATAACGATGCAGCCTACCCGTGTTCCCTTCAAGATTAATTCCGGAAGTCTCGGGACACCTTTCGCTAACCAGGTTAGCACCATCTGGGGATAATTAAAAACTTCGCAGTTAGCTCTCTGGGTCGCTAAAGGCTCTCCGTGAACCTAACGCGAGATGATGAAATCCCGTATTAAATAAAAAAGTCGGATCGCCTCTTATAGTACAAGATTAAACGTGGAAATTTATCGCGAGCCGTTTAATTTTCGGATGTCACACGATTCATCAAGTAGGCCCTCGGCGCCGACGGCGTTCGCTCCTGGTTATTTCGAAGGCGGCGAGGAGGGCCCGCGAAACGTGATCTTGTACGGACGATTTGCAAGAACGATTCGTTAGCCTTCGCTTTCGGCGGGTGCGTCACTTATTGCTCGGGTCCCTCAGTTCTATCTGCTTTGTTTCATTTGAATGAGTATACATGGAGGGCGACTCAATAATCATATTTGCTCGTGTCTTTATCATAAAATTTTTTCGTTTGACGAAGTAAGCTTTTGTTCAAGGTTATTTGAAGGTCAACTTTTGTTTTTTTATGGTAGTACAATTTTTGTCTCCCGGTTCTAAAAGAGCGATAATTTTACGTTTGGAGGCTTAGTGGAGTTATTTTGTAATTTTCAAGTGACCTTTGAAGGTCAAATTCCCCTCTAGAATTTGTCAGGTTGGTGCCTGGTTAGGATAGGCAGATATAGGAAAAATTACCTCTATGAAAATTGTTTGGGTCACCACGCACCTTGGATTTCTTCTTGAAGGTCATTTTGTTGACCTTGAAATAACCTTGGAGAAGGTCAAATCCAAGGTCACGAGATGGTGGTGTCCCCAATGACCCAAACAACTTTTGTGAATGTAATTTTTCCGATAGTAGACCGATCAAAATAACTCATTTAGAGGGGAAAAAAAAAATTGTTCCTGGGCTTTTATAAATGGAAATGGTAGAGGGGCTTATAATAACTGAAAAAAATATATATAAATGCGTGAGCAGTGGCGGCGGAGGCTTGATTTGGGGGGTTTAAAAGTGATGAAAAATTGTATCATTGGGATTTCTGGCGAAAGTTGACGTCAAACAAAAAAGTATCCAATACTAAAGTTGTAGATCGTGCAAAAATCAACAACTTTTGTAGAAGTAATTTCTTAACATAACCTCAAAATTTACGAGAAAAATGCGAAAAACAGGTCTTTTTCTGATTTTTCGTTTTTTATTTCTCATTTCCGCAAAAATAATTTAATTTTGACGAAACGTGGTGAAAGTAGACCTTTCTCTGTCTTAAATACCCTCAAATTTTTTTAGATAAAAAAATCAAGAAGTTTCTGAGATATTCATTTTTTTCGACCTGAAACACTTTTTTTTTTCAAACTAAAATTCTACTTAAAAGAATCATCGTACAGAGTTCTGCCGGTAATAATTTTTTTCGTTTTGACATACTTTTTGGTGAAATAAAAAAAATTGTAATCGCAGTTCAAAAACATGCTTAAAAATGCAAAAAAGTAAAAAATAACTTGCAGCATTGAATTTTTCAGTAATATTTGTTTTTGAACTGTTGTTACAGATTTTTTTATTTCACCAAAATGTATATGTTAAAACGAAAAAAATGATTACCGCCAGAACTCTGTACGATGATTCTTTTAAGTAGAATTTTAGTTTGAAAAAAAAGTGTTGCAGGTCGAAAAAAATGAATATCTCGGAAACTTTTTAATTTTTTGATCTAAAAAAATTTAAGGTTATTTAATACATAGAAAGGTATACCTTCACCAAGTTTCGTCAAAATTAAATTATTTTTGCGGAAATGAGAAATAAAAACAAAACATCAGAAAAAAAACTGTTTTTCGCATTTTTCTCGGAAATTTTGAAGTTATATTAAAAAGTGACGTCTACAAAAGTTATAGATATTTGCGTGATCTACAACTTTTGTATTGGATACTTTTTTGTTTGATGTCAACTTTCGCCAGAACTCCCAATGATACAATTTTTCATAACTTTTCACCCCCCAAATCAAGCCTCCGCCGCCCCTGCTCACGCATTTATTTTTTTTTAGGTTTATTATAAGCCCTTTTACTATTTCCACTTATAAAAGTCTAGGTCAAGGGTCGGCAACTGGCGGACCGCGGTCCAGGTCCGGACCGCGGAAGGTAAAATACTGGACCGCCAAAAATTTTTTGAAAGTATAAATTACTCAAATAAATTATTTAAAAAATGTTTTTTTTACGTTTGAGTGCCAACCTTATCATTTTTTCTAGTATTTTACAATTGTGTGAGTGTTTTGAGTTCTTAATGGTTAGTATGCAGATTAAATTTGAGTTCAAATGAAAATTTGCAATATGAATTTTTTTTCTGGACCTCGTTAAAAATTTTTAAAAGTATCCGGACCCCATCTAAAATTACTTGCCGACTCCTGGTCTAGGTAACAATTTTATTTTCTCCAAATGCAATTAGGTTGAATAGCTAGTAGATTTCAAACAAAATTCTCTTTAATGTCAAATAACTTTTTTTAACAGTTGAAATCCATCAGATCCTTCCTAATTTTGACACCAGTGGTTAATTTTTATCAAATTATCAAGTTTTAAATCAGTCTAAATCTTCTATGGTTCTTTAGAAACTTTGTTTCACGCCCAATCCTTAGTTCGTAGCTCTTCGTTTTGCCAAGAACTTTATGTTTTTTTCCAGATTTTAACCAGGACGGTAAGAACGACAACATCACCTTCATGGTGAAGAGGATAAAGGTGCACACGATGGACGCCTTGAAAGATCCCCTGTACAGGTTCCCCAACAATTACGGCGTGGAAAAGTTCCTAGAGCTCTTTTCAGGTGAGTCGCGTTTGCCACGTTGCTAATTATAATGAAAAATATACGAGATGATTTGAAATAATTTAATCCGACGTGATGAAACACTTTGTAACACTCGTACAGAGAAAAAAGTTGCATTGGAGCAAAGTGCGGTGGATTAATTTCACATTTGCAATACAGTAACTTTAGTTGCGATAATCTATAACTTTTATATCGGCATTCACATACTTGTCGTGGAGTATCTCGAGCCCCAAGATGATGAGACTGACGAGTATGGCGATGGCGTAGAAAATAAAAACATGTTTAGTGTGTCCTAAAGTGACTTGTGGGGTCGACGTCTTTGTGGTCACAGTTTGGTCTCCTTTGATCCACTTGTTTTCTAGTCTCTTGATAACTCCCATACTTCTCATGAATATGACACTGAAATGAAAATAAATTAGCGCCTTATCCGAAAACTACTGCGTTATTTGGAAGCATTCAAGTTAAAAATTCGCGCGTTTCACCTTTTCTTTAATTTCTTTCTTTAATTATCTCTAAAATCCCCATCCGATACGTCCAATAGTTAATTAACAATCAACGTTATGAAATAAAAACAACTATCTCGGGAACAGAGGCGTAGGTGTTTTCTCTTTTTTTTAATTACTGTAAAATAAATAATAAATAAATAATAAACTCTATTTAATACAAAAAGAGCGAATTCCCGAGCGGCTTTTGCCTGACCCTGGGACAATTTATTTATTACGATGTTTTGCGCGTCCCACTTTGTTAGTTGTAAGCGGCTACTTAATAGCACAGTTACTGTAGCTGAAAATATGGTAATACCTCCGAATTTTTTATAACTGCATCGATTTTTCTCAAAATTTAGAATTAGGCTCATCTCACCCCCCACTTCAAAACTTATATATGCGCTAGGTGTGCTTTTTGTTCTTAAGGGGTGAAAACCACCCCTTATTGGAAAAAAAAGAAAAAATACAAATTTAAGCATTTTATGTAACCAAATCTTTTTTATTTATGCAGTATGAGTAATTTCATGTGCTGTCTAACATGAAACGTAATGTATCCCAAATTTTCAACCCGGAAAAATCTTTAAAAACCACCCCTTTCAATGAAAATAATATAAAATTTTTTTTTTCAACTTGAAACGTTTTAATCATGCATTTTTATCAAATTGAAATTGATTTCTTGATTAAAAAATTTTTTTTATCGTTGAAAATTTGCAACTTTTCAACCCTTGAAAAATACCCCTTCTTTCGAAAATAAAATGAAAAAATTTTATTGAAAGACTAGAAACATTCTAAATGTGCATTCGTATTAAATAAACATTTATTCCCTTCTTATAAAATAATTTTGAATGCAACTTTTCAACCCTTAAAAATTACCCCTTACATTTATTTATATATTTATATGTATTTTCTTAAAATTATCACCTATACCTACATGTGTAGGCACAAAGGCTCATTTTGCAGGGAATTGTAAGGGCTACGTGAACTGTTGAGTTGATCTTTTTAAGCCCTTCATTTTTAAGTTTGAAAGGTTTAAAGGGCTCGAAAAGGGTGGTTCTCTCATTCTTATGATAACTTAAGATGGCGATATCTCGATTAATATTAATTTTGGAGGAATAATAAATACAGCAAAAATGATGCTAAATTTTTTTACTCTTGTATTTTTTCGTACACCTTTTAATTTTGAAGTTACAGCGTAAAAATCGATTTTTTTTCAAAACTTTGAATAATTAACATTTTCAAAAATTAAGTTTTTTTTCGAAATCATGTACGGCAGTAACTTTCCAACTCTCGATTCCTTTCTCAGATCGAGAACGGGAAAAACGTATTAAAAAAAATTACTGGCAGTCCATCATATTGTGCAGAAAGCTATATTGAATATAATCAATAATTGTTATCATTACGCGTACGCGAGATATTTAGATAAAATTAAAATCGTTAAACATTTTAATTAAAAAAAAAATGTCTATTTATCTGAAAAGAAAGTTTATAAATTTTAAATTGGAAAAAAATGTCTGCTTATGATTTAAAATTTCTCATATAATATAAATTCTAGCCTCCTTACTCTGTTAATTTTAATAGTAGAAAAAACTAATATTTATGTAAAATTTTATACTCTTCAACTTTTGTAAGATTTTTTTATCTAGGCCTTACCCCTTTTAAGTTATCTTGAAATAACACTTCATTTATTATTTTGTCACCCCTGCTTGGGAGTTGAAAAATAATTACTTATTTATTGTTACTACATTACCTCAAACTCACTTATACAAAAAATTCAGGCAAGTTGACCAAAATTGCGATTTAAAAGCCCATTTAATTGGACTACCAGAGAGCCTCACCTTTAATTTTACTTTAATTACGCAAATAACACCGTATTTTAGTTCTATTGAATTTTCTTTAATTTATCAGCTGTATTTTATATTTCACGATTTTAACAATATTTCTGACGAAATAGAACAAGGAAATCTAACGGCCTAATCAACAGAAATTTGACAACGAGGAATTATTTTTGGCAACGCTGGCGCTGTGAGGAATTATTTACTTCGTGAGCAGATTGATGCCGAAATATGATAATAGTTAACGATGAAAAGTTGCATTTGAAATTAATATTAATTGAAAAAAAACCATACCTGTACCAGGGATCGAACCCAGAACCTCTGTATTAGTAGGCCAACGCGCAAGCCGCTAAGCCAACGCGGCCTCCGTTACAATGTTTCCATGATATGGCTTATATGTGTAATATTTTAAGATATCTAGCTTTTTTGTGTCGTAAATTATTTTAACAATGAACGTAATATTAGTAGTTGGCAATTTAAGTATATTTGGTTGTGATATACAATTTTTAATTTTATGATAAATACTTAATTGTTTAATGTTTTTAAATTATAATTATTTTATTTCAATAGTGACCTGAAATTTATTGTAGTAAAATTTAATAATATTGTGTTATTGATTACAATTTATACCTATCTCCGTGATGCCCTTGATGCGACTAGAAAATCGACACTGAACGTTTTCCGCAAACATTTCCAAGAATAAATTTTACCAGGTCTGCCTTTGTTTTTACTTAAAACTGCTTACAAAAAAATTCTGCGTAAGAGTAATTTTTTACATCTGTGGCTTTTGAGAAAAAAAACAATCAATATTTGTTGAACTTCCAAAATAATAATTAATTTACTGGGGGAACAGGTCACAATTAAATAATTTGTTGTAAAACAATTTTTTTTTATAAAATTTTTTTTATTACGACCGTTTCGGGATTATTTTTTCCCATCTTCAGATAAAAAAATAATAACCATGGATTATAATATTTTTTCTTTATGTAAAAATTAAAACAATTGGCCATCAAATATTGTTTAACATCCTTTCCTATTAACCATATAATGTAAAACAATAAAATAACTACATTTTCTTATTTCCTCTTATAGACTAGGGCGGATATGTCGAAATATACCTATGCATTTTGGAATATTGAAGAGGAAATGTCGATCACGGACAATTTTAAATTTTCAGACAGATATGTCAACTTAACGTCACATTAGTTTTTCAGTAATAGTGGTTCAAGGAACAACCAATCGCGGTGTTGTGGATTTACACGTCGTTTCGATAGAAATTAATTAGCCCAGTTACTGTAACTGAAAATATAGTAATACCTCCGAATTTTTTATAACTGCATCGATTTTTCTCAAAATTTAGAATTAGGCTCATCTTACCCACCCACTTCAAAACTTATATATGCGCTAGGTGTGCTTTTTGTTCTTAAGGAGTGAAAACCACCCCTTATTGGAAAAAAAAGAAAAAATACAAATTTAAGCATTTTATGTAACCAAATCTTTTTTATTTATGCAGTATGAGTAATTTCATGTGCTATCTAACATGAAACGTAAAGTATCCCAAATTTTCAACCCGGAAAAACCTTTAAAAACCACCCCTTTGAATGAAAATAATATAAAAAATTTTTTTTCAACTTGAAACGTTTTAATCATGCATTCTTATCAAATTGAAATTGATTTCTTGATTAAAAAATTTTTTTTATCGATTGCAACTTTTCAACCCTTGAAAAATACCCCTTCTTTCGAAAATAAAATGAAAAAATTTTATTGAAAGAGTAGAAACATTTTAAATGTGTACTCGTGTTAAATCAACATTTATTCCCTTCTGATAAAATAATTTTGAATCGATTGCAACTTTTCAACCCTTAAAAATTACCCTTTACATTTATTTATATATTTATATGTATTTTCTTAAAATTATCACCTATAAGATTTTTAATCGCACAAAGGCTCATTTTGCAGGGAATTGTAAGGGCTACGTGAATTGTTGAGTTGATCTTTTTTAAGCCCTTCATTTTTAAGTTTGAAGGGTTTAAAGGGCTCGAAGAGGGTGGTTCTCTCATTCATATGATAACTTAAAATGGCGATATCTCGATTAATATTAATTTTAGAGGAATAATAAAAATAAGCAAAATCATCAGCAAAAATAAAGCTAAATTTTTTTACTCTTGTATTTTTTCGTACACCCTTTAATTTTTAAGTTACAACGTAAAAATCGATTTTTTTTTAAAATTTGAATAATTAACATATTCAAAAATTAAGTTTTTTTTTCGAAATCATGCTTTGTAAGTCAGCCAAAGACCCAGAACATATTCTTAGAACATAAATGAAGAAATCTGTAAATGGATTGCTTTTAATTCTGTCACCAAAGGCACTGATTTGTTTAGTAATTTTTTCTTTAAAAAAATGAGACTATCATGTTATTTCGATCATATTTCCGTTAATTTTGATTCTAAAGAGTTTTAAAATAGCACATTTTAAAGGTTTTTCAAAGTACTTTAAAAAAGGTTCAAACAGTTTTTTTCCTAATATTTATGGTTTTGGCGTTATTTAACGTTAACCGGTTCCAATTTAGTTTTTAGCTATAACATATAATAATGTTTAAAAATCCATAAGTCGGTTTATATTGCAATTAGAGAAAAACAAAATATTGCCATTAGATTTGTTTTTTATTACCTTTCTTTTTGTTCACTACAACTTTATCGTTAAATCCAATGGTTTCAGAGTTATTTGCAAAAAACTGTCTGAAAACAAGCACTTTTTCAGTAAAAAAATCAACATTTTCAATGACGAATTACTCGGAAAGTATTGGATTATCCAAAAAACTTTATATAACAATTGTTACTTAAAATTGACTCCTCTATCGATTCATGTGGTTATTTTAGGCGTAAAAATTTCCACCCCCAGGGCAAATGCACACTTCGGCACTATATAAGTTTTGTTCCTTGAGGCATTCCCCTCATTCAGTCAAAATTTCACGTCAATCGGTTCAGTTATAAAGAATTCGGAGGTAAAAACCCTGAATAACTGGACCATATTTCTAATAAATCCCCAAGCTGTGCAAAAAAGACCCTAATTTGTTTATAATGCAATTATGCAAAATTTTTTCTGCAGTATTATTGTAAAAAATCGTTCACGACTTTGCTGGGGAATCACTTGGGTTTTCATTTACTAAGTATTTTTCTAAAAGTAATACATGAAATTTGATGTAATATTTAAGTGTAAAAACAGCCTCTTTTTTCACTCTATTGGTTGGCATATAGCGTCACTTCTTCCGAGTACCTTTTTGATATTATCATTCTACACATACCCTTCCCCGTCATGAATTGCAATAAAATGTCTACTAATAATTTTTTTACCTTCAGTTAAGTCTGATTCGACTGGAGTATTAGTATTCCCTACAGATAAATGCTGCAAACTATAAAATCCCCGCCGGTCGGGTCGGCCAAGCGCAAGATGTACAATTTAATTGATAAATATATTGCAGTAACATTTCCCATCTCGTACATTCGGCCAATTTATAAGAGAAAGCTCATCGAGAATACCAAACGATATACTTGGCTCGAACGGAGTTACACAAAGAAAGCAAAGCACTAACTATTTGTCAATGATCCTTTTTTCTCTAAGCGCCTTCGACATCAGGAATGAATTCCCACTTATGAAATACTTCTCGCCGAAAGCCTCGATCGTGCAAGAATACTTGGCCATCATCGACAAGGAGCCCATGACCACTTTGCTCTCCAGGACCACCACGTTGTCGTTACAAATAATTTTGGGGATGTTCAGCGGTATTTCGATGTCCAAGCAGCGCTCGTTGTTCGCGATCCTTTGCCACTGGGGCAGGATATTCCTGTTACCGTCCTGTAAACAAAAATATTAACTTTAGCATCGCCGCGTACGCCTATTTATTAACGTCGGAGGTTTGCTTTTCCTCTTTATAAACACGACCGCTCAAGTTTGAACTCTTGGTAAAAAAATATGTGCTACCCTAGACGTGTAGCTAATTAATTACCCCTTAAGGTTTAATGCTACTGATAATTATGCGGTGAATAGTTCCGTTCTTAACAAATTTAATTAAATCCAACCTTAGGAGTAGCTTATTAAATTAATTTTATGTAAAGTTACGCCCCGGGGTCGTACAGGTCGTATTAATTAATATCGAAAGTTTCGAGCGCGCACACACACACACACGTAGGTAATCTTGGTAAGGTTTTTTGTGAAATCTGAAATGGAGAGGAGTATACAGGGTGCCACTTTGAATAGTTAAAAAAAAATAACCTTTAAATGATCTTTTTGACACAAAGATTTCGTTGGTTAATTTTTTATTTAACAGGTAAAAAAAATATCCATCACCAGAGAAAAAAACTTTCGCAATAATTAAAACGAACTTAAATTATGCAATAATATAAATAACCTTAAAAGAAATCGAACGGTGTAACATAAATTAGTCCAATTAAATGGGCCTTTAAATCGCAATTAAATAATAATAAAAATAATGTGCAAAACCGTACTTATCTTATCAACTTCGACGTCACCTGTTACATGAGTGTTGTATAATAATGAAAAAGTAATATTAACGGTCTGTAGAAGGAAGCACAAAAACAAACGCTTAGGTAGGGAATTCTGGAAGGAAGCCTAGATAGTCGAAGATAGGCAGTTGAAGTGAGAACAGCGCGGAGTGAAAAGTAAGACGATCAGTGTAGTGTGAAAAATATAGAAGTAGTGGAAAATTAANTATTTCAGATTAGTTTCAGTTTATTTTTCATGGAAAATCATCATTTGTATTAGGAAATATCGGATGTAAATATTGCAAACAGTTATTATTGCTTGTGTATTATATACATAAATATGCATCGGAGAATCACAGATTCCTGGACTCAAAATGGCCGATTTAGGCTAATTCCAATTCTTCATCTCCTTAATATTGTCCCTCTAGTTCATCTCACTTTTCGTATATGTATATTTGGTTACCTGATCTAGATGGTAGTTTTTGGTCTTTCCCTTAGTGAATTCTCTATAGGTTCCGAATCTATTATGTTTTATATTAGTTCATGTGTGTCTAACCTAACCTAACTTAACCATATCAGCCTTTGTATTGTAATGTATCTCGTAATGTCTCCATCCATTGAATTTCATATTTCATGATTCCTGAGCGTTCTAAATTCTTATTGTAATTTTATTTTTGGTCCTAGAATTCTTGTTATTCTTCTTGTTTAACCGTTCGTATTGAAAGATCACGAAGAACATGTAAACATCAGAAAATGTACCTTTCCTGTTTTGTCCAGCAAATTTGTAAAGATACTCAATAAATGTGATTAATTCATTGTTATTAGTTTCCTAAAAGCATTTTGCAGGATGTGATTATGTTTATAGTACTGTAAGCCATTTTCTGTATGTTCCACAGGCGTGCAAAATTCAGAAAACGTAAGATAAACATGCGTAGTAAAAATATGCTTTTTCTTCTTATTTTTGAAGTATTATCGGTTGTCTTAAACCCTGAAGAAAACTTATAACTGGTACAGTGAAGAGATATTGTTTCTAATTCTAAATTCTAAAATGCTGAACAATATTTCTTAATTTATCCATTGCTATCAAAAATTTTTTGTTAAAGTGCGAATAAAAATTCCCAAAGGTACAAACTAGTCCTGTTCCTATCTGACAGAATTTGAATATCTACAGACGTTATTCACATAACATTCGATCTTTACTTTTGTTCCTTCAGAAAAAAAATGTATAGTTTACATATTTAAATACAACTCTTCCTCAGTAATGATATCAGGTTTGATAGAACTATCTATAAAGGGAGATACGTTCTAAAGAGAATACTAACAATAAAGTCTTAAGCCCTTGTAGCAATATAATAATAATAATGCATTTATTTTCCTTTAAGACATGTGTACACATATATAGGAATAGTCAATGTTACTTAACCTAAGACGACAGAAATTCATCTACAGAATAAATACACCTGTCCACTAAAAATAACTTTAATTTTACATTTAAAACTTTAAAAAAACTGGATTCGCTTTAGTTCTTCTGGCAGGTGATTGAAAAGCTTCAAACCAAGATAGTTAGGACAATTTCGCGATATTTTAAATTTATATAGGGATAGGGGCATCCGGAAGTCACCATTTTGACGCGTATTAATTGAGTGAATGTCCCTATTCATTTTGAATGTTACTCGATTTTTAAAAATATATATACACAGTTCAAAAATTAATAATCCTGTAAGAGTTAACGCCCCAAATTCCCTAATTTAGGTCAACTTGCCTGAATTTTTTATATAAGTTAGTTTCAGGTATATGTATAATAACAATAAATGACAGTAATTTTTTTTTCAACCCCCGGCTAGAGGTGAAAAAAGGGTTTTTTAAGATAACTTGAAAGGGGTAAAAGCTAGGAAAAAAATTAACAGTTAGGGTCACTAGAAGTTAAGGGATGATTTTAGAAATTTAAAAAATTATAACAAGCAGAAAAATTTGTGAATTTTATAATTTTTTTTTTTTTCAATCTACTCTAAAAAATGTAAACTATCTTTTCAGAGAAATAGATGTTTTTTAATTTTTAATAAAAAAAGTTATAACAATTTCACAAAGTTAACGTGATTTTAAAATCTTTGTTGTAAAACAAAATTTCGAAAGCAATTTTTCATTATTTTAAAAAATCAATCGAATGACGGAAAAAAAATTGTTTTCGTGTTAAATTGTAAAAATTGAGGATTAAAAAATTGAAATAGTTAAAACTTTTTTATTAAAAATTATAAAACATCTATTTCTCTGAAAAGAAAGTTTACATTAATAAAAAAACATATTTATTTTGACACTATTTCGAAAACGAAGCATGTGCGGACCTACGTTTATAGGAATTTTTTCGTATTTTTGGATGTAGAATCTGCTCTAGGAATTTTTGAACAACGTTTTGCAACACCCTGTATACCCAAGATAAGGATGGGATAGCAACGCTAAGAGATACGGGGTGTCTCAAATTAGAAGAAAGTTGCGTTTTTTATACCTAACAATATGCCATTTAGAATGTTTTAAAATTCTGGGTAGTTCCGGAGATATCCGGAAAAAACCGAAATTTTGCAAAATCGTTTAATTTCTTTTTGGCTTTATTTAAAAACGAATTTTAAAATAAATTGCATATTTACATTGCCACTTTTTCGCTCTATTCAATGGCGTCAACATTTTTTGCAATCCGACGTTTCGTCTTCGAGGGGCCATCATCAGGTTATTTTTTTTTAAATACGTCGCTGCTTTTTTTATGACAAAATCTAAAGTAAATTTTAATTCTGAATTAGACGATATTACTATTGCGAAAAAGGTTTTTAGCTTGTTTTAGTTATCTTTTAAATTTTTTCCTGAGTACGGCTCTGAACGCTTTCAAAATATTTATTGAATGAAGTCATAACAGTATAAAAGTCAATACCGAACAAAATATCCAACTATTAGCAATACTAATTAGAAATAATAAAACATTTCATAAATTCGTATTATTTTTCTTATATGGTATATATAACTTTTTTAAATTATTGATTAAAAAAATTGTTGCATATTTTGTGCTGTATTGACTTTTATACTGTTATGACTTCCTCTAATAGATATTTTGAAAGCGTTCAGTGCCGTAATCAGGAAAAATTTTAAATGATAGCTAAAACAAGTTAAAAACCTTTTTAACTCTTTCCGTCTCTCTGGTACAGTTATTGCACCACCTTATATTTTGCACTATTGGCATAGTGGTGCTCTGCTTGTACCATTTATTCAAAAAATTTTTGCACTTGTCACGGAGGTATTATCGGTATACCACTTGGTAGATCACTGTATCGTGTTGTAAAAAAGAAGTATAGATGGCGGCATCGGTTAGAAATGCAAATGTAATTAATTTAAGTTATATTTTCTGTTGTGTGCAGGTTTGAGCAACAATCCCTTCACTAAATTGTGTGCTACTAGGTACAAAAACTGATCGAACATTTTGCGACACAAAGAGTTAAGCGATTACTATAGTAATATCCTCTAATTCAGAATTAAAAGTGACTTTAGATTTTGTCATAAAAATAGCAGCGACGTATTTTAAAATATTCACCTGATGATGGCCTCTCGAAGACGAAACGTCGGATTGCAAAAATGTTGACGTCATTGAATAGAGCGAAAAAAGTGGCAATGTAAATTTGCAATTTATTTTAAAATTCATTTTCAAGTAAATCCAGAAAAAATAAAACGATTTTGCAAAATTGCGGGTTTTTCCGGATATCTCCGGATCTACTCCAAATTTAAAAACTTTCTAAACGACATATTGTTAGGTATAAAAAACACAACTTTTTCACCATATATTTAGGTGGTTAAATGCTTTCGGATCTTTCTTGAGACTTTGCTTGTACTTCTTCAAGTACACGCACCCAAAAAACTTGACGTTACCGCATATAAAACACGCCAAAGCAACCCCTTCACAAAGTTACATATCCCGGACAGACTACAACTTTTTAGCCCTCATAATTTATCCCACTGAGCGCTTTTTCATGCACCTACCGTGAAATTGTTGTAAACGAAGCTGCTGGTCCGCAGGCACAGCGAGAGGGTCTTCCTGTTGACGATGTCGGGTAGCGACTCGAACGGGTAGTACGCCTCGAACGCTGCTATCTTGGCCACCAGCGCAGCGTTCATGGCGTAGTACAGCATCAGGCCGAACATCAGGGCCGTCGTCGCTTGCAGACGGCCGGAGTAGGTCCTCAGCTTTAGGTCGAAACCTGCAAGTCGTAAATTTCGTTGAAAAGGGCCGGTGGAGTCGCAGAGTTTAACTTATTGGGGACACGAGCGGGGCGGCGTCGTTTAAGGATATTTGTGTGTTTCAATATGGATTAATGCGTACTGTAATCTTACTGTAAAATTATTTAACCAAAACGATGTATTTTACTGTAACAAGTCGCAATTTTACCGTAAAATTACCGCTGTCTATAGTTACAGATATAGACAGTGTATATTTTTATCCATGGGGATTATTTACGTATTAATTTGAGAAACTACAGCGCCGTAAACTTATTCCTGAAGCACCAGGAGCGACCATTTCGTGAAACCGCCGTATTAACCGTATTAAAGAAAGTTGACGTGCGGTCGGGCTGAGCCGCTCCCAAATCCAGAATTAACGTCCGGAGGAGGTAAGGCGAAGGGCAAGGATATACCCTTGCTTGCGGTTTGACGCACCAGCCGACCTCAACTTCCCTGAAGCCAAGACCATTAGGAGACAGACGGGAATTATTACGGACACTTACGGCGGTGCTTTATCAATATTCGGGCTATTTGGGGACGATGACGGAACAAACGCATCGTAAATTAGTCCGGGCTTTACTCGGAAGAGTTAAAATCTGTCTCCGACCGTCCGAAATTAAATAATAAAATAATATTGCGTTGAACACCTCTACTACGATTTTTCTTGAAACTCTTCGCCAGTTTTTAACAGGAGGGGGTCAGAGGCTCGATTTCCTGCAATGGTTTCACCTTTGCCGGTTTGAATTATGGAGGCGATCCGAGCCCTCGTCCATCGCCGTGCACCGGTTCAAAGTTCGCTTGATAAAATGGCCAATAAAACCGGCGATCCGTTCCCTTATTAGCCATCGAAGCGGCGGCATTAAAATTGCCGTAAAATGTTTCGTAATCTTAATTTTATTAAGGGCACTCGGACATTTTGACCGTGCCATACAGATAAGTTTTAATCAAACCGAATCTAACGACTGTGATTATTTTATAGTCGTCGTGGCAAGTTCTTCTTGCAATTAGTGCTTAAAGTGCAAGGACATCAAAACATTTCAGCGACATCTGCATCTGCAATTAGTTTCTGATTACAGTTGCTCCATATAGGAATTATTACACTTGAGGGACCTTCCCGGAATTGCCTAGGAACATGCAAATATTATGATTGCATATTCTCAGTCAATAAACCTGGTAATTTCGGAGGCGTCTCGGTCGTATTAGTCCGACCCGCAAGCGCGGGGCGAGGGGCGTGCTCTGTGTAACTTCTAATCAACGTTTGTGTTAATGGTTAAACAATTTCCGGGTTGGTTGCCGCGTAGTCCGTATAAATTTCTTGGCTTCTCACATACCATCCTCTACTTCGGAAGAGGGGCAATCAAAAGAATAATGCAAGGCACAAATTTTAGAATTTTTTTTCCATACCTGCACATGGTCTCAGAAAGTTTTTTTCTAGCTTAATGAATGCCAGGGTCATTTAGTCTGATTCATCAGCTTCAATTTGTTTTTTTTTTTATTTTCTGTACCATTATTCCTCATTGAGTCACCTTTTTTTTTGATCATCGATATTTCATGATCGTACAGCGAACAGGTGGGTTTTAGAAACCTGAATCAATCCTCTTCAAGGGCATTTTGGTATGTTCGAGAAAAAAAAATGTTTATACTCAGCATTAATTTGAAAAAGTGCAAAAAATTACTTTTTCTGCTGTTTTGGAAAATCAACGAATACTTAGCAAATATTGCGAAAAGTATCAATGTTTGTAGATTTTTTTTAGCTCACTACATGCCTATGAGGCTTGTAAATGTTGAAATCGATCAATCGCACAGTTTTTCCATTCCTGAATCGTCAAAGTTTTAAAAAAATTAAAGGAGCAGTTTTATTGCTCCTAATTTAATTAATTTTTAATTAATGATTAAGATGAGACAAATTTTTTTGGGCTATTTTTCTCACAATTTCTCGTTAGATCAAATGTGGAAAAAAAAATAATTTTGAAAAAAAAATTCCAAATGTTTTAAAAATGATTTGCTTTCTCATTTGTAGAATTTTACATTGAATATTTCAAATGTCGAGTTAAAAATTTGAATATAAAAAATTGAAAAATTTTTTTGTTAAAATTTTTTTTTTTCGATATTTGATGAGTATTTAACTTGAAATTGTAAGAAAAGGAACGCAAAAAAAAGCGAATGTTTTTTAGTCTTGTCTTGTGAAAATATGTTAGTTTATCATGTTTTAAGAGCCCCTCAAAAAATCAGCTCAAAAAAAATTTTTTTAGTGGTCGCTCAAGATTTTTAAAAATTTCCAAAATCTTTTTTTTTAATTTTTTTTCTCGTTATTTTATCTTTCTAGGTTGAAAAAAAATCTCGATTCTGAAAATTTCAAATCGATATTTTAATTTCGATTAAAAATAAATATAAACGAACTAATAATTTTTTTATTGAATTTGATGAACAAAATAGAAATAAATCACGAAAAACTTAAAAAATTTCTCGAGGCAAAATNTTCTCAGTCAATAAACCTGGTAATTTCGGAGGCGTCTCGGTCGTATTAGTCCGACCCGCAAGCGCGGGGCGAGGGGCGTGCTCTGTGTAACTTCTAATCAACGTTTGTGTTAATGGTTAAACAATTTCCGGGTTGGTTGCCGCGTAGTCCGTATAAATTTCTTGGCTTCTCACATACCATCCTCTACTTCAGAAGAGGGGCAATCAAAAGAATAATGCAAGGCACAAATTTTAGAATTTTTTTTCCATACCTGCACATGGTCTCAGAAAGTTTTTTTCTAGCTTAATGAATGTCAGGGTCATTTAGTCTGATTCATCAGCTTCAATTTGTTTTTTTTTTATTTTCTGTACCATTATGCCTCATTGAGTCACCTTTTTTTGATCATCGATATTTCATGAACTAATGATCGTACAGCGAACAGGTGGATTTTAGAAACCTTTTGTAAAATCAACGAATACTTAACAAATATTACGAAAAGTATAAATGTTTGTAGGTTTTTTTTTTAGTTCAATACATGCCCATGAGGCTTGTAAATGTTGAACTCGATCGGTCAAACCGTTTTTCTAGTCTTGAATCGTCAAAATTTTATAAAAAATTGAAAGAGCGGTTTTATTGCTCCTAATTTAATTAATTTTTAATTCATGATTAAGATGAAACAAATTTTTTTGGAATATTTTTCTCACTATTTCACTCACCAAATGTGGAAAAAAAAAATTAATTTTGAAAAAAAATTAATTTTGAAAAAAAAATTAATATTTCAAAATTATTTAAAAATATTTTGCATTCTCATTTTTAGAATTTTACATTGAATATTTCAAATGTCGAGAAAAAAAATTTGAATTTAAAAAAATTAAAAATTTTTATTTTTTTTTCAAATTTTTAATTTTTTTTTTCGATATTTGATGAGTATTTAATGCGAAATTATAAGAAAAGTAACGCAAAAAAAATTGTTTCATCTTGATCATTAATTATTAATGCATAATGACCGTCAATTTTTTATAAAACTGATGATTTAAAACTGAAAAAGTACTGAAAAAGTAATTTTACCTACGACCACTACTGTAACTACTTAAAAACACACTGTCAATGTAAGATTCCTATTACGGCGGTAAAAAAAACGCAGTTTTCCTAGTAACTGCCTAGCAACGACCAATACAATACTGTTTGTATTGACCGTTGCTAGGCTGTTACTAGGTATGTTTTTAAGTATTTAAAGTAGTGGTCATAGGTAAAGTATAGTACGTAATACGTGATGTAATGCAATTACGCACTCATAGCATTACGCACTCGCTGCTACGCGGCGTCGTGCGTAACTATCATTTTCTAGGTTGAAAAAAATCTCGATTCTGAAAATTTCAAATCGATATTTTAATTCCGACTAAAAATAAATATCAACAAATTAATAATTTTTTTTTATTGAATTTGAGAAACAAAAGAATATAAATCACGAGACACTAAAATGTAACAAAATTAAAAAAATTATAAATATTTGATATTCAGTGCGGTAGTAATTTTTGCCTCGAGAAATTTTTTAAGTGTCGTGATTTATTTTTATTCTTTTGTTCATCAAATTCAATAAAAAAATTATTAGTTCGTTGATCGTATTTATTTTTACTTTGAAAGTTAAAATAATTATGAGTGACCTTCAGAAATTAAAATATCGATTTGAAATTTTCAGAATCGAGATTTTTTTTCAACCTAGAAAACGATATAATAGCGAGAAAAATAATTTAAAAAAATCAATTTTTGACGATTTTGGAAATTTTTAAAAATCTTGAGCGACCTCTAAAAAAATTTTTTTTGAGCTGATTTTTTGAAGAAGCTCTTAAAACATGATAAACTAATAGATATATTTTCGTAAGACACGAAAAAAAATATTTATTTTTTTTTGGGCCACACTAATGTGCAGTTTTGAAAAAGAAATTGCAAAATTTTTGCGTTGTATTAAAAATCACTAAAAAACTGCTCCTTTAATTTTTGGCCGAGTTTATATTCCTTGTGTACTTGGCGTTAGTCTTCGATTTTTACGTATGAGATATTCTACCGCTTCCCTTAGCAATAATAGTAAAGCAGTGATGAACAAAATTTTAATACAACTGTATTTCCATTTGGGACCCGAAGGTTCCGCTTTTTTAGGGAACGCCAGTAAACAGGCTCAAACCGAATTGGTCCACCCGGTGACAAACACATATATATCTTGATTTGGAATAGCGGAGTGCATTTGCGTCGACCCGAACGGGTCCCTTCATTATTATTCCAGCGCGACAATTAAAGCCCCATTTTGCCCCATTGGTGGATGCAAATTGAAATTTAATTCGATTGCAGAATAATTACTGGGACCTGCATAATTTGGGAGCAAATATCTGCGTTGTGATGAGTTAAATAGACCGTCGGAGGTGATTCAGTACGCATTAGAGTGGAATTTAACGTTGCCCGTCGACGACGCGATTGGAAACATTATAACAAACGGGAAAAGGGGATCCGTACGATTCGTATATACGCGCTCGTTAGGGGTTGGCGAAATTTGATTTCATCCGGCACAATCGTCTATATTTCTTTGCAGAAATGAACAGATACATATTTGGAACAATGCAAATATGCAAATATTTTAAGGGGCGGGTCAAAATCAATAACAAATGCTTAAAAATCGTCTTGAAAGTTTCCCCCATTCGATCTTTCCTAATTTTTTTCAATAGAGTTAATTAGTTCTCACCTTGATTGATATATCCTGACATTACACCCAAGAAGCAAGTGGGTATGGACAAACGCCGTTCTATCTTAAAAGTTGAGTTCAGATACCAACTCGTCATCCAGATCGACATCGTGAGTAGACAGAATACTAAAAGGGAGAACAACGTCAACTTCGAGAAGAAAATGGTGGAATACAGAACGGAGGAAGGCCGGTTTTCGGGTGACTTGAGATAGAGATGGTACCTGAAAAGCCGCCATCAATTTATTGAAACTTTAGACAGGGGAAATTTTCTAGATGCATAAAATCAGGTAGTCTAACAGGAGACTTGCTTATTTCAATAATCTTACCAGTTGTAAAAGTACGGGTGGGAATAGTAGACGTTCATCAGACCTTCCTTATAAACCACTGCGGCCAACATGACGTCTGCTTTGCCTGAAGACATCAGTTCCAAACCTGTGTCGTAAGAAACAGGTATAACTTCGTAACTGGAAAAAATAAAACGTTAATTTCAGTCTATTGCTTTTTAAAATCTTCCAACAAAAATTACTGGTTATACGAAATATATTTTTACTCACGCGAATTTAAGTTTTTCTGTCAAGATGTTCCAAATTTCTCCTAAGAACCCTATTAGCTCTCGAGAGGACGTGTTGTAGTAAGCGTACGGCCACATCTGCAGCATGAAATTTGAAAATTTCAACACAAAAGCTACAACTATTCAAACAGTTGGGTAAAAAAAATGACCAAACGGTTTTGTCTCTTACATGGCTTACGACCACCCTCATTTTCTTATGTTTAATGTTCTCATATTCCTCTGTAGTGAAGTCCTTTACGATTTCGTTAGCCAAAGACACGAAATACTGCCTTTCCTTGTCCCAAACGTAAATTTTCTCACACATCGCCCTGTTGGCGAACTTCTTGCATATATTCCTTGGATAACAATCCACCTGCCACACCTTAAAACCTAAGCGTAAATTTCTACTATTTTCAACTAGTTACATTGAATCGTACCGTTAAAACGATAATAAGGAAACTGGCCTGCCTCATCAACATGTCGATGTCGTGGATTCCTGTGTTGAACTGGAGGTAACGTTAATAGAATATTTAAAAAGAACGCTTAGGTTCGGCAAGGTGTTAGTTCCCACACATTGTCACCCTTAATACGCTTTTATTTACCAAATAAATCTGTTAACAGCCGTGAATTAACTCTGGGTGATTGATGAGGATCGTATTTAAATGGATTGGAGGCGGACTCCTAGAATCAATCACGTCGCTTATAGAGGTACATGAATTGATTTTGATTCACCTTCCATTCGAACCGAATAAATAAAAGCGTGTATCTGATAACATTACCATATCGCGCATCCACTTCATCCTAGTTTGTTAGCCGAGCTCGGAAAATAGACTCGGATAGGAAGTGAACCCTGCCGGGTTTCATCCAGCGAATAAGACGAGACAAGAAGGAGCGCCGCGAAAGGGGTTCTATTAAGTACAAGAGTTGTGTACCAAATTTAATTTCCGCAGTCATATCTGCTGCAGGAGTTCAAACGAAGCGGAGTCGTATAGAAGGCAAAAAGAAGCAGCGCGTTTTCAGCCGAGGCTGTATTATATAGAGCAGTTGCGCTACTTGTTGACGGGAACTTCTTAGATATGGTGTGAAACGGGAGATTTTATTATTATCGTTATTTTAGTTTTCCGAAAATTAACAGGAAACATCCAAGTTTTCCGGTACAAATGCAATAGAACAAAAATACTATTAATTCTCGGTCCCCTTCATAACTTTTTCATACCCTGCCCTCGACCACTACAAGCGCGACGTACTGCGGATATCTCCAAAGGTGAAGTGACCACTCCAGTTAGTCACTTCCAGCGACCATTAGTCGGCCCGAAGTCCCATTCTACAGAGAACTTCGACTGCGCCAGATGAGGAGCTCGATTTGTAGTGTTCCCCTCCACCATTTATCCCGTAGCTAAGATAATATAATCGGGACGTTTTTTCCGCCACGACTGACATAACTGAACAACACGTTGTGAATATTTTAACGGCGGGTATCATTTCACGAGCGGTTTAATGAAAATTCCTGGACCTGGGCAGGCCCCATACGTGGACGGACAAACGCCATGGAAATGACGGCGTATCCCCGGGGGTAATGGCGGTCATAAATCGACGTAACTATCTGTCGCTGGCACGGGCTACACCTGTCACGTACCGTGTTATAATGTGTCTGTCCGTCCTGCATTAACCCCCGTTAGACGAGGCGGCTGAGTTATGGCCCCCGACGCCGTATGGGGTCGAGCGGGGAAAAGGCACTAGGGGAGTGCTTTTTTTTCGGTTCAAAGTACACGAATGAAAAATTTGGTAAAATTTATCGATGGGCGAGTGGTTTTTATTTTAAAATATCCATAAATAAAGCGGTAAGTTGTGCTAAACCCTAATTTACAGGGAAGCAGTACATCATCGCAACAGCTTCCGTGCAGCACTCTTCTTGATTTTTAATAAAACGAAAACCTTTTTTTAGGGAACGATCGGCTCGGTTTCAATCCGTATTGACACGCAAGCTATTGTGCGGCATTCGATATGATTTACGGAGGGAAATCCTCTTACAACAGGTACAACGAAAATTACTTAATAAATTAAAAAACGGGAATTTGCACAAAAGGAAATAAATTTGGGGGATGTTGAAAATTAAATCCTGCAATGGTGAACAGCTTCAGGGATAAGAAAGGAAGTAAAATCGTCTTTGATCATTTGAAAATTTGGTTTTTATGTGCTTAATACAAAAATACAAAATATTCAGCGAAATTCCTGGAATCAGCTTTAAAATTCTTCAGAATATTGTCATTGGTCATTAGCCTGTCACCTCAAGGTCATTGCCGTTTGACCACCGAGGCCTAAATACCAAATATAAAAAAATACTAACCTCAAGACGACCTTCGGAAAACGACTATTTTGAAAAATAGTTTTATGGACTTGTGGGAAGGTTTCTGACTTCAATATGACATTTAGAAACGAAACAATAATAAAAGTTAATTTCATAGGTTTTGGTAAAACAAACTAGTTAAGAGTCCTAGAAAAATGACTAAACCAAACATTGTTTCCTAAAAAAATACGTGCGTCTAATAAAGCAAGTAAAATTTCCCGTTTATTTTCTCCGTCGTTCCCGAACAATATTTACCGCCGCATTAGGAATTCAAGCGCGCGAACGCTATACTTGTTTATTTTCGCCCTTACGTTGTTTAAAGAAGACGTTATGGAAAAAATTATAATAACCTGTCTGCGAGCGTGTTCGATCGGGTCCCACTAAATTCATATCGCTCACCCCCAGCTAGGCCCAGACGGTTTTTTCCGTGAGCGCCCCGAGTAAATCACTGATTATATCTCGAGCTCTGGGGTCGCGACAGCAGGAAAGATGGGACTCATTCCTAACCCTTATAATGAAAAAGGGAGGACGCGTTTGAATTCCCTCTGCGGGAGACCCCGTGCAAACATCCCAATTGTTTTATTGGGAAAAAAAAACGCCTGAATCTTAAGTTGCGACGGAAATATTGATGGGGAAGGGCAGCGCGATCCGCAACTGGAAAATCCTCGGGCGGTTTAGGGGAAGTGTATTTTTGTGTAAAAATTATTTTACTACGTTTTGACGTTGAGTTCTGTTCATTTTTGAGCATATGCCACGTAAATAACTTGTGACTAACTGTCCATTATTCCGGACGAGGCGGTCTTGTCGCATATTTCTGCTCCAGGTCGGTAATCGAGTCGCTTGTATGTGGGCCTGTTTACACGTTTAACCACCTATAATGTATTAGCGGCGTGGCGTATAAATTCCGACAACGTCTGGGTATTAAATATATTACTATGCTAATATGAGTTTGTTGTTGGTGTGCTACGCCGTATATAGACCGGGTTTATGTGCGGGGCACTTAGGCGACTCTTGTTGGTACAGTTAATTAAGGCTGAATCCTAAGTGTAACAGCTTTGTCCTGCTGCGGGAGTTCGAGATCGGGATGATGCAAGGCATACGAGGTCGTCAGTCGTCACGCCAAAATGTTAATTTTCGCGAAGAATACATTCTTTTATTAAAAAACTAAATTAATTCCTTGACTCCTAACTTTTCCGTCGTTTGCGGATAAAATAAAGCCCGAAAGAAGAGTTCCAATGAAAAAATATGTATAATACCAAGATTATTATGAATTTATTCATAAGAAAATAATGCCCGCCTTCAGGACCGTAGACCCGGTAATCGGGCGATTAATCCGGCATTTTTTTTGCCTAATTTTCGAACGGAGGCATCCGGATAAACGGATTCCCAGCCCAGAATAATCCCCGGCACATTTGCTTGCGGCGCCTAAGACTGCTCATTAATTTTCCACACGTAACTCCGTTCTCCCGAATCCCGTGACACCCCTAATAACGCAATTAGACCGGGTGACATTGTTTTATGACGCTACCTGATAGAAAAGGCGGGCGATCGACGCGCGACGCCAACCACCGCAAGTAATTCCGGAGATTTATTCGTCTGCTTGCTATTCCGGGCGCGACGCGGGCCTCGGGGCGAGGCGGGGGCGGCCCCGCCGCTCATCCTTGAGGCACGTTAGATTATATTTTGACGGGAATTTATGAAAACCCCCGGACGAATTTGAATGCCCGGATCGGGGGCAAACTACGTACTTTTCGCGTGAGACAATCGCTCGCACGTTTCCTGTATTCGTACAAAATGAGTTTGTAGTAAAAATCTGGATATTGATTGCCTTTTATTTTTTAACGCATATGTCGTTCCTTGATTTTCCTTACTTCAACGATAAAAAAATCACGAACGCTTCGTTTAAATCCGATCTACTTCCCTAATTCTATCTCAATTAACTTAAACTCGAACATTTCCTGCTAATTCCTGTCCAATTGAGTCGTTTTGCCAGTAATAATGAAAACAGCTCTTCTTACCGATAAACAAAGCCCTCCGAACTTCTCGGGTACCTTTTAGGCCGTTTATTTAAATGAAAAGAGACCTCATTCCGCCGTTCTCCGCGTCGGGAAGCGCAACTTAAATAATCTAAATTGCCTTGGGGGGGTTCTTAATTGTTCAGGTACAATACCCAGCGGAAAATACGTCTTGAAATTAGGAAAAAGCTTGTTCACAAACGTGCTCGTAATGTTCTTTACATGATATTAGAAGAGTAAAAGCGAAACATAATTCAACCGCTACGGAAAGTAATGTTTTACTAATCAATACCGCCGTTAGTGGTACGTTTTTGAAGTTATAAATAAGTAATCGTTTAATGCCGAAGGAGAGGGTGTGGTTTCTAAACAACTACCCTTTCGTTCGAAGTATCAAATGAATTTTAAATGCCCCCGAATTATTAAATTACGAAACTTGAAGGCCTATCGATCCCGTGAGACGAGATAGGCATTGCAAAAACAATGTTAGCATTCTGAATCAATGGAACTGGAGATATTTATAGCTTTCCCGGGGGGGCTTAATGCAAAAGTTTTTTTTTCGCTTAAAACAATACCAGATGTGATATCCAGTCGACTTGTGGTTGTACTACGCAGTAACAAGGAAAACAAATCGAATAATATAAAATTGAAGCTAACCGGTAAACCTGGCGAAGAAACATCCTAGACGTAGAAATGACTGAGACCCAAACACGTTTTAAAGCAGCATTAGACACCCCCATAGAAATGTCGTCTCATATTATTCAAGTGACAGACGGCCGACATGCAATCTGGTAATCAGTTTCCTCCCGGTTTTCATTTCATCCCCGTCCGCAGATAAAACTTTTTATATTTTATCATATCGCGCCGTATCAGCTTTCGTCCGTCTCTTATTCCTTCCTCGGGGGGTAACCCGATCATATCCCAGGAATTATTTAAATGAATTTCGCCTTTGACTCGGCGCATCTTCCAACCAGTAGTGAAAAAAAAAAACGAAATATTCAGTCACAAACTAGTTGAAACTGAATGATAGTAATTTCAAACAGAGATTTTTCTTATAATAGTGAAGCTGCTGTTTATTAACAATGTGGTATTTTTTCTGAAAATGTGAATCTCAAAAATAATGTAGTAGAAAAAGTGCTTTGTTTTTGGACTTTAAAAATACATTTTTAGGAAATACAAGTGCTTTAGCTAGGCCCAGAATAAAGAAATATTGACGAGAAGTCGCAAACAATTGGATGTAAGATAAATATTTAAAATTAACCTTCCCCTTTTTGTTACCACGAGCCGCCGCTGCTTCCTACCCCGCGAAAGAAGCTTTTGAACGCGATTTTGACGCTAAATTAAAGGGGAGTTCGAAACGCGGCGAGTTGTAGCGGATAAAACCGTTTCTGGCCGTGGAAATTTTAGAGAAATACGACGTGATGATTAAAATGAGCCCATTCAACGGCCTGTATCTAATCGCATTCCCTTTTTATTAAATTTGTTGTTGATATGAGGGTGTATTTAGGTGCTGTTTTTGTTACAGAGGAAGATTATGATGCTTTTTGCCTTGCGTACATGTTCACCTACCGGGATTTCGAGATGGGAACTCTGGGTCTGGCTTGGACGGGTGATCTGAAGAATGCCGGTGGGGTGTGTGAGAAGAATGGGGTGAGTACACATTTGGGATATTTTTTTCAGCTAGTGAACCATCTTCTGGTAATTATTATTAGTGTAGTGTCGATGCGTAAGATGTATACAGGTTGGGAAATCTCGAAGCTGGTTTCAAAGATACAGGACGTTCAATGTTTGAATTTTATTTTGAAATTTCGCAATAATTTTGTAAACTGGCAGAGTACGAACAAAAAAATTGGCACTATTATTTTTTTTGACATGACAAAGAGAAATTTTTAACTAATTTTGACGTTGCTTGTATAGGGCGTCAGTTATACCCTATTCCTTTGATAAATACGGAAAAATTTTTCAGTTGTTATTTCCTTAAAAAAAAACACGAGAAATATGTTTCCCAGGAATGATTAGATCTGGCAGATCTTTAGCGAAGCATCCGGTACAAATAACCTCGCAAAAAAACTTATCCAAACCTCTCACCCACTCCTCGTAATCCGATCCTCGTGACTGATCCGATACCATCTCCGGCAAACAACCCCATCCGTTATTGTGCCAGATCAAAGGGAGATAAACATATTATATCCACGCCGCACCGTAATCCCTGTATTACCGGCCCCAGTTAGTCGTAATTAGCCGGTATCCAAACTATAACCGATATAGTATCGGGTTCCCCGCCGTCGGCCGGCCCACAATGCCAGAAATCGAGGCTAATAACTCCTCACAATAAGCCCCACGCTAACACCTGTAAACTAATTACAAGACCGGCTAATAGACTGTGCGGGAATGCGCCGCGTGGGGCTTTACGACAGCGGCGTGCGTGTTAATGGAAAAATTCGTGCGCCACTGGTGATTACTGATAAGTACGACGACACTAGACTGTGCAGTGTTGCCAGTATAACACGAAATGGAATATAGTTCGTTGCAAAATTTTCATAAGTTTAAAGTTAGTTCGGCAATTTGATAACAATCCAATCAAATTAAATTTTCACTTACCAAATTTTAGTTCAGTAAACAGAGACACGTAAAAATTAGGAAAATTTTCGTAGAATTGAATGAACTACTTTACTCCAAGGCCTCATTTTCAAAATGACGTCCAAAGTTTGCAAACACAGTTTTTTTTTTTTTCATTTTATAAAAAAATGTTTTCGACAAAAGTTGTAGAACTATTTATAACAAAAATTTTGAGCACAGAACGATGTCAATTGATAAAAAAAATGTATTAGTTATTGCAAAAAACGGCTAAAATTCGCATTTTTTTAAAATTTCTGTATCTTTAAAATGAAAAAAGGTTTTTTTACGAAACTTTCAGAATATGTAGTCCTTGACAAGTAGAATAAGTGCATTTTGGTAAAATTTCAAAATAATTATAGTTTTTCCAAAAATTGAGTTTTTCGAAAATAAGACATTTTTTTCAAGTTTCAATAAATCATACAGTATTGCACTTACGTGACCCATCTTGGGCTAAAAATTTTCTCTAAGAGTCGAAGAACTGTGTATATTGCAAAATAATTGGAAATATGCGAAAAATCTACCGAAACTTTGACTTCTTTTTTCGTGTCGAAAAATGTAGATCTTCTTACCGTTGAAATTTAATCGAAATAGCCGTATTGCCATTTGAAAGCTGACATTTTTTCACAAATTAAAAAAAATATCCTAAGGCCAACAGAAACCGAGAAAAAATTTTATTTCAAAAAATCNAGCAACCTTATGTTGCAGCACTTGAGGAGTTCGTAGCACAGTCTACCGCATAATATGGCGTTTCCTGTAAAAAAATCAGTATATTTTTGACACCAACTAAATTTTTTCGGTGTTTATAAAGTTACGAGCATTTTTTTTAGCAGGACGTAGAAATCATAAAATACACGATATTTGGTAAAATCATGAAAAAATGTTAATTTAGTCACCAAATTTTATATGTATTGTACATAATGAAAAATAATTTTTTTTTAAAAGCACTGCGTTTAGTTTATGAATCTCTGTATCAATTACCTACAAAATAACTCAATTTTTGGAAAAACTATCAAATACTTTGCAATTTTATAAAAATGCACTTATTCTACTTGCCAAGGACTACATATTCTAAAAGTTAAGTTTTTTCATTTTAAAGATATAGAAGTTTTATAAAAATGCAATTTTTAGCCGTTTTTTGCAATAACTCGTTAAACATTTGTTTATCAATTGACATACGGCTGAGCTTAAAATTTTCGCTATAAAAAGTTCTACAACTTTCGTCTAAAACATTTTCCTCCTAAAATGTTTATTTTTTTTTATGAAAAAAACTGTTTTTTGCGAACTTTGGACGTCATTTTGAAGATGAAGCTCTAACATTCAGCTGGGGTAAAATAATTCACTCAATTCTACGAAATTTTTCCTAATATTTGCGTGTCTCTGTTTACTGAAAATTTTGGCAAAAAACGAGATAGTTTCGACTATTTGACTAGCTTAACAGTCGAGGATCGCGAGTTTCTTGTAGTGGTAAAATAACCTCACTTTAAATGCGTTCGCATTTAAATAGTACGTTGGATGTCTTCAAAATAACGATAACAGTACATTCGCAGTTATATTTTTTATATGACGTTTATATTGTAAAGAAAATAAAACAGACCATGGATTTTTAACCTTAACGATTACTTTCAAGGTCATTTGAACCTTCAAGCTCTTTAGAGACACTTTTTTGGAAAAGTTAACACCAATCCGAAAAATTATAAAACCATGCACATAAGCTACTCATCTAATTCATGAAATAAGTCTTGTGTCTTCCCTTTCAGCACTACAGGGGTAGCATGAAGTCCCTGAATACGGGCATAGTGACGTTGCTGAACTACGGCAAGCACGTCCCCCCCGCCGTGTCCCACGTGACCTTGGCTCACGAGATCGGCCACAATTTCGGATCCCCGGTAAGTAAAAGTTACTGTTGGCAATTTTTATCGTTAATCAATTGATCTGTGTACGCCACTGTATAAAAACTAATTTCGAAACTATACCATATACAATTAATCAGCATTAAAATTCGTAAAAACCGTAATATGTTTATAGTTTCAAACTTGGTCCACCCTGTACAGTTTCGTCAATTATTTGAATACATTGAAATGAAAAAATTGAACACCCCGAAAAAAACGTCCGTTTTTATTCTGGATATCGCGTCGGGACGTCACGAAAAGCATCCCCCTCCCACCAAGTCGTCGGTTCATAGTAATTACTTTATTTTAATTAAAACTCTGTCGTTAATTTTTCTTTCGGGCGCCGGGAGAGTGAAACATTAATTCGAGGTAATTAATTGTCCCGAGTCGAGTCTAACCTGTCGAATACCCAATCGGAGGTGTCTCCTGAAAGCTGGGTTTTCGGGGGAAATTAATTTTTTTATGTAAGGTAGCCGGGCGTCGCTGCTTCTTCATATTTCGAGCGAAATACTTGTGTAATCAAAATAGTCTGGGTGGGAACTTTTCTTTGGGCCTGGTTCTAATAAACAATATGCATTGTTTTTCAAATTTCCCTGCACCAAGTACCTCAACGCAATTTTGTCGTTACAAATTTTAGATCTTTCGTATCTTCCGGCGTTTTCTCTGTACGCGCTCGCGGAAAGGAAAAGGTTATTCTCGCGTCCCTTTTGTATGTAATTGTAATTTTATCCTTTTTTTTGCCCCGACGACGACGCCCGGAAAAACGTGTCTCCTTTTTAAATTAGCAATACAAAAGTAAACGAGGAACATTTGATACATTTGTTTTGCCGTTTCTCTTGATGAAAAAGGGAGGTTTTTATTCCAGGAAACTCGCGTCGGGCAATTTATTATAAATATAAAATCGTTTGCTCTTTGTGAGCGAAATTAAGCGAATTGAATATTTAAATAAGACCGGCACAACAATAAAGCGTTTCGCGTTCGGTTAACGGAATTCGTTTTTCGAGGGGTTAAACCACTTTTAAAGAAAATGTACGGTTCTACCCGAAAAATAACACGTTTTCGTTCGTCATAAAAAGCAAAAGAATATCGAATACTACAGCTGTATTAAAAACAACATTGATATTACCAGATACTACTAATTAAATGCGATATTACGACCGCCTCCTCTTCAGTGACATCCCCTGGGAAAATGCCGCGAAAATAAACAGCACGTTTTGTTGTTTTCCAGCACGACCCGGAGCAGTGCAGTCCGGGGGGCGAGGACGGCAACTTCATCATGTTCGCTCGCGCCACCTCCGGGGACAAGAGGAACAACAACCGCTTCTCGCCCTGCAGCCTGAGGAGCATCAACCCCGTGCTCAACTTCAAGGCGCGCTCCCCCAAGGGGTGCTTTACAGGTAAATCGGCCGATTAGCCCTCATTAAATGTCCTTATTTATAATTCAAGTTTCGTCGACGTTCATGAACGATCATTGTTAATGTTTTTCGTGACGGAAAATAGGGAATTGGGTTGCGGATGGAACGTTAAGGCGGCCATACGCCGCCGGACAAGTCTTAAGATATGTCCGTTGTGACGGAAAAATTCGAAAAGTGTATTGTCGCTACTATTTACCATTATAGGCTGTAAATGTGTTCTACTCTTCTTTTTTTAACTTTAATAGAACCGAAAACGGCCATATGCGGCAATGGGGTTGTGGAAGAGGGCGAGGAATGCGACTGCGGGTGGGAAGAGGACTGCAGGGATCAGTGCTGCTTCCCCATGAGGAGATACGCCCCAATAGACGAACCTCCTTGTCACTTGACCCCCAGAAGCATCTGCAGTCCTTCACAAGTAAGTAACGATGCTTATAAGTACTCTTCTGTATTAACTGCACTCCGATGTTTTTTTTTGTGGCAATCCTCAAAGTTTAGCTGACAAATAACAATTATTATCATTATCATTTCAGTTTCTAACACAAACTTTCACATTTAGACTCGAAATGTCGAGTTCAATTTCGGAATTTCGTGTTCAAACTTGAATTCTCGTGTGTCAAAGTCGAAGTTTTGTGTTTAAAGTCGAACGTGCAAGTTTAAAGGTCGAAAAAATGCATATAAAAATATACAATAGTTTTTCTATTTTTATAGAAGTTTCGGTTTGAACTCGTCTAAGAAATCAAAATTCCAAATTTAAACACGAAATTTCTAAATTTAACTCGAAATTTCAAGTTTAAATTGTGTATTTTCTTTATAATTCAAATTTGAAGTTGAAACTTGAAACGGCTTCTAAAGTTCGAATTCGAAAATGAAGCATGAAATCTCGTATGCGTCTGATCCCGAAATTTCAAGTCTGAACTTGATATTCTGAGATTAAACTTGAAATTTCGAATTTGCACTTGGAATTCCGAGGTTTAACTCAAAATTTGGAATATGACCTTGAAACGTCGAATTTGCACTTGAAATTTCGAGATTCACCTTTAAATTTTCCATGTGGAACACAAAATTTCCAATTAGGAATATGAAATTTCAAGTCTGAACTCGAAATTTCGAATATGACCTTGAATTTTCGAAAATTATTTATCGTTAAATTTTCTGTGAAACGCAAAATTTCGAATTAGAAACATGAAATTTCAAGTCTGCACTCGAAATTTCGAATATGACCTTGAATTTTCGAGCATGGACTTGGAATTTCGACTGGATTTGAAATTTCTAAAATTATTTATCTTTAAATTTTCTGTGAAACGCAAAATTTCGAATTAGAAACATGAAATTTCAAGTCTGAACCCGAAACGAATATGATCTTGAAATTTCGAGTTTGGACTTGAAATTTGAAAATTATTTCTTTAAATTTTCTATGTGAAACGCAAAATTTAAAGTTTGAACTTGAAATTCTAAGATTGAAGTTGAAATTTCGAATTTTAATTCAACTTCAACTAAATATTTTAACTTTGAAATCCCAAATGCTCAGATTGAACTCAAAATTTTGAATTTGCACTTAAAATTTCGATGAACTTGAAATTTTAAGTTTGGACTTGAAAATTTAAAACTGGACTTTAAATATTAATTCGACACACGAAATTCCAAGATTGAACTCAGAATTTCCAGTTTCAATTTAAAATTTCGAATAAGAACTAGAAATTTTTAGTTTGGACTTGAAATTTTAAAAGTTGACTTTAAATATTAATTCAACACATGAAATCCCGAGATTGAACTCAGAATTTTCAGTTTGAATTTTAAATTGCGAATAAGAACTTGAAACTTTTAGTTTGGACTTGAAATTTGAAACTCGACTTTCGATACACGAAATTCCGAGATTTGAACTCATAATTTCAAGTTTGAATTTAAAATTTCGAATATGACCTTGAAATTTCGAGTTAGGACTTGAAATTTCGAATATGAACTTGAAATTTCGAGTATAACCTTGAAATTTCGAGTTTGGACTTGAAATTTCGAGATTCACTTTAAAATTTTCTATGTGAAACACAAAATTTCGAATTCGAAACACGAAATTTTATGTATGACATTTTGATTTTAACACAAACTCGAACATTTCTATTTAAACTCGAAATTTAGCATTTGAACATGAAACGAAATTTAAAATTTCGAGAGGACTTGAAATTTCACACTGATATTTCGAATTTTAACTGGAATTCCTTTTAATTTTGTATTACTTATCAAATTTCGAATTCCAACTCGAAATTTTAAGTTCAAACTACAAATTTCGGAACCGGATCGTTCACAGTGATGATATATTCCGTTCCGTATGCCTATTATACATATTTTGACGGAGAGTTCCTATTCCCATTGCCCCAAGATGTTCCCGCGTTTAGGGCGATGCGTATATAATTCATTTTGTGTATTCAGGGGCCGTGTTGCACGGCAGATTGTCAAGTGAAGTTCGGAGACAAATGTAGGGACGACAACGGGTGTAGGGACGAGAGCTTCTGTAACGGAAGGGACCCGCACTGTCCACCTTCGATCAATAAGCCCAACAAGACGATCTGCAACAAGGAGTTCGTCTGCTTCATGGGGGTGAGTAAATTGCGATTCTTGTAGCTCGCTCGAAAAAAAAATGTATATAATTTTTTCGATATTGTGGTCAAGCACGTGCAGAATCGTTTGTTTGTGTGAGAGGAGGTTTTTTTTTATGAATTCCCGCTCCGCGTCAAAGTTTTTCGGGCGCTCACAAAGTGGGAGCACTTAGAGGAGAACTAATTGAGTTTGAACTGAAGTTTTCCGGAGAAGTTCCCGTTTCTTTTAATAAAACTCAACATGGTAAATGTTAATAGAGGCGATGAAAGTGTCTTTTCCGTTCCCCGTGACGTTCTTTTATTAATTATTTCGTTACGCGGGAGAATACGAATTGTAAACGGAATTCGTTAATAGGGAGTAGTTCAAATACTTGGCCGAACTTTAATGGCGATTTTTACGGCATAAATTAACAGGAAAAGGTTGTCAATGTGTCCAAAAACGTTTCGTTTTCGAGACAGAAGGCGTTCAAAATTTCAAAAAAGTCGTATTTTTTTTAAATTACAAGAAAACTGATAACTTTTTCTGGGTCAATAAACGCTAAACGCAATTTCGTAACCATTACTGAAAATATCACCACCAACAGTTATTTTCGAAGTAATGATAATAATAATCCAAGAATTTCTGTATTTTGCAAATTGAAGTGAACCGCATACTTTCATTAATTTTGAGCACCCTATATCTTGAAAAACGAGGCGTTTCCAAACATATTTATATGAAATTCTTGTTATTAATTTATAATGTAGATCCCACTTTTGTAATTACATCCTGTACATAATTTTTACCTACAACCTTCTTTTTTTAGCATATTTTATTATTTTGTTTGCGAACTGTAAAAAAATACATCTAAATCGTCGTGATCGTCAGTTTCGGACTTGTTTGTTGGCCTAAAATTGCAATTTCGGGAACAATTTTCAATGGAAACAAATATCCGAAATTCAAATTTACCGCCTATTTAAGGTTGGTAACGTAGTTGTCAGTTTCAAAAATTCCCTAACCTAATGTCAATTAAGTTTTCAATTCAAATGAAGTGAATTTGTCATAATGTAGATTTAATTCTTAAATCAATCTGATTTTAACGTAAGTTTTTTGCAATTTATTACGGATATCGTAAGATTTATTGATGCTTTTTTGGATAAATAAACCTTTTCTTTTTCTACCACAACCTCAAAATTTCCACAACTTTGTTTATTATAAACCTATTGGCCTTGTAAGTTTCTGTTTTATTTTACTTGCAAATGGAAAGGGAAAATGTAAAAAATCAACCAAATAGGAAACTTTAATTGCTATATCGGATTTTTAAGTGTATGGTTATTTTCCATTACGTTATAAATAAACTTTTTCCAAGACTGTCAATGGTCGACATTTTCGTTAAATTTTCAGTTGACCAGTGGCTGGAAAATGATTTTATGGGGATTAATTATGAAGCAGCACTTACCGAGCTTATTTTGAATTAAACACTCTTGGAATATGAATTACAATATTAATTTTTATTGTTTATTAGGTTGCTATCGCTATGATAGTCACCGTGCCCAAACCGTCTTGCTCCAAACACGGTTCAAACGATTTCAAATATAGATTAAATTGTTGTATATAACACATTTTTTTAAATTTTATTGCAGTTTTCAAGAAAATATTGTTTGCATCTCGATATTAGTGATACAAAAAAGTTTAAGTTAGTTTTAATAATGCCTCTTTCTACACGTTTTCCATAATCAGAAATATTTCCCAACTTAAAAAATCAACATTGATTTACGATAAATTCTTCATATACCTCGCCTGTCCACTAACAAATTTTCAACCTTCAAGGAATGCACCGGTTCGATATGCCTAGCGTACGGACTGGAATCATGCCAGTGCATACCCGCGGACAGCGACCCCAAGACCAAGGCGTGCGAGCTGTGCTGCAAGCTGCCGGGCGACAACCAGCCCTGCGTCTCCTCCTTCGAGTGGAACGAGAAGCCCTACGACATCCCCGACATGTTCGCCAAGCCCGGCACCCCGTGCAACAACTACATCGGCTACTGCGACGTGTTCCAGGTGTGCCGGGAGGTGGACCCCTCCGGACCCCTGGCCACCCTGAGGAAGCTGTTGCTCTCCGACGAGAGCATAGCCAGTTTCAAGAGGTGGATCATCGATTACTGGTACGCGGTGGCCGCCATAGTCGTGATGATCATCGCGTTGCTGGTAAGTGTAAGATGTAGTTGGTTGTATAATTTCGATACGGTTTGTTTTTTTTTTTTCGTTTTAAATCTTTTAATAATTTACTTTTCTTTCAACTATAGATTAAGATACTTCTAATTCTTTGCGGATGAGTAAGTTGATTTTCACAAGGTTGGGCTAAACGAAGTTCTGTGTAGGCTAGGGACTAGATTTATTTTAATGCAGAAACGTAGGAAAGCGTAAAAAGGCCATACATATTTATATTTTTTTTATCTACCAAATTTCCTGTTCATGAAATTCTATGTTTCAACCACTATTTTTAGTTTAATCTCAGGATTTCGTGTTTCAAATTACAAATTTTAAGTTTAATTTTGAAATTTCAAGTCCAAATATGAAATTTCAAGTTCAGTTGGAAATTTCCAGTTCAGTTTCAGAATTTTATGTTCAAATTTGAAATATCGCTTTCAAACTCCAAATTTTGTGTTTCAAACCTGAAATTTTGTATTCAGAATTAAACAAACTAAGAATTTTGACTTTAAAATGGTTTAAATTTAAAATTCCAAGTTCATACTTTGTATTTCAAATTCAATTCGAAATTTTGTGTTCCGATTCAGAATTTTATGTTCAAATTTGAATTTTCACTTTAAACCTCAAATTTTGTGTTTCAAACCTGAAATTTTGTATTGAGAATTAAACAAACTAAGAATTTTGACTTTAAAATGGTTTAAATTTTAAATTTCGCGTTTAATACAAGAAATTTTAAGCATAATCTCAGGATTTTATGTTTGAAATATATCAAAATTTCAAATTCAATTCGAAATTTTGTGTTCCGATTCAGAATTTTATGTTCAAATTTGAATTTTCACTTTAAACCTCAAATTTTGTGTTTCAAACCTGAAATTTTGTATTGAGAATTAAACAAACTAAGAATTTTGACTTTTAAATGGTTTAAATTTTAAATTTCGCGTTTAATACAAGAAATTTTAAGCATAATCTCAGGATTTTATGTTTGAAATATATCGAAATTTTAAATTCAAATCAAAATTACGCTTTCAAACACAAATTTTCAAGTTCAAACCCCAAATTTTGTGTTTCAAAACAGAAATTTCATGTTCGGAATTAAACAAACTATGAATTTTGACATTAAATTATGGTTAAAATTTTAAATTTCAGGTTTGAAACAGGAAATTTTTGACTTGAATGAAAATTCAAAATATCGCGTTCATACTTGAAATTCCATAGGTATTTTCACTCAAATCTTTTTTTTTTTAAAGGAAGTTGAAAGGCTCAAATCTTCAGGTGCAAATAAACTCGAAATTCCAAAAATTTCAACATTGAAATACCAAGTTTCATGTTTAAATAGGAAATTTCGAATTTGAAAGACAAAATTTCGACTTTCGTTTTAAAATTTTTGGTTTGAGTGAAAATTTTAAGTTCATACTTGAATGTTATGTCTTATATTCTAAATTTCTTGTTTCAAATTTGGTGCACAAAAAAAAATAAACAATTTATTGCCTTTTTACAACTTTCTTAAGAACGTAATTTTGCTTTATTTAAATGTATGAAGCTAATTTGAATTGATTTAAAAATTTTCTTCAAATTCTCATCAAATAAAGTCATGTATGTTTTTGATACCAAATTTCTAGGTACGTTTTTGCCAATGAATAAATTTTTTCAAAACAAATAAAAAATACAAGAAGGTAAAACTTGGAAATGCATAATTAATAAAAAAACAGTACCTCAGAAAACATTTTTTTAAATAATGTGAAGCTTCTCCGAGGCAGCTAGACCGCTTTTAAAAGTAACTCGAAAACCCAACACAATTTTAAAATTTTTTTCTTTAACTTGCATGTTTGTATGACAAAATCAAACACACGATTACGTTTTTCAGGCGCTCAGCATAAAGTACCTCGGCAAGCGCCATAGCAACAAGCTCAAGACCATCACGATAATGCACAAGCCCTCCAAGGAGGCAATACGGGTGCCGGCCGACGGCGAGGGCGTCACCGTCCATCCGGGCGTCCGATCCAAGGTTCCCTTGAAACGCAAGGTCCGCGACGGCAAGATCAAGAGGAAGCGGAAGGGCAAGGTCGAGTCCATCAACAACAACCTCAACAGCCCCAGCAAGACCAAGACGTCACCGAAGAAAAAGAAAAGGGTGTCGGCGGCCGTGGGCGCCGAGGAAACCAAGAAGAAACCCGTAGAGGCGACAGCAACGGACGTCCCGAAAGTGAAGAAGCCCTCGCCGGCAAAGAAGAAGAAGAAGAAAAAGGAGATCATCGACTACAGCAGCGTCCAGGCGGACATGGACGGCAAGAAGGGCGTGGGAGCGGCGGACGTCGTACACAACCCGTCGACGCCCGATACGGATCCCGTGGGCAAGGTGCAGAACTGGCTGATGAAGTCGCAGTACGCCCTGCCAAAGTCGAAGTCGACGCCCGTCGGCCTGACGGACAAGACGCGCAGGAGCCCCCACAAACGTCCCACGATCCGGCCGCGGACGGACAAGAGCAAGTCGCACAGCGTCGGGAACATCCCCGGCGAGAAGGACAGGGTGCGCCTGCAGGTGGTGTACAAGCCGCCGTTCAAGTTTAGTGTTAAGTTGCGTAAGCCCGAGAAGACTACGGCGGTGGTGGAACGTGCTCCGCAGAGGAAGCCGCCCAGGACAGGTGTGTTAGTGTGTACCGTGAAGGATGCAAAAGACGTGAAAGTGCAGCGGCCCGGCGGAGAGAAGGCGGCCGCGGAGGTTCCCAAGCCGCCGACGGAGCTCACCCTCGATATCGACTCCAACATCCATACCGTCCAGTCCGATTTGGAGGTGCTCCTGTCCGAGAACGAGTTTTTGTGCTCGGACAACTGACACGCTCCCTCGATACGTTTAAGGCTGTGGAGAAGACATTCCGCGCTCTTTGAGATGCTTTACCAATTTTTTCTGTCGTCGTGTCACGTCACTGCCAAAACTTTGTCAGTAATTCTATGCATTGGGTTAATTTTCTGGAATTTAATGCTCAAATTCATTGTTAATTTTTCATTCGGGCGTTCTGGAAATGATGTTTTGCTTTTCAACAACCAAAATCGTTTAAAAATTCTAAAAGTGACTTTTTATTGTCCAGGGTTGTACCACATCCATGCCAAAATCTGTTGTATAAATATTGAAATTACTGGATTTTTTTTTTAGTACAGTCGTAGACAAAAAAAAGGTTTCTTAACTAGGGAAAGTTTAAAAAAGTCCAAAATACCAAAACGAAAACAATTTTGGATGGAACATAGCGCAGCTGTGAACAAAAAAAAAGGTTTCTGATTTAAAATGATAAAGAATCCAAAAGTACCATAATGAGAAAACGGCAAAAAAAATTATAAAAGTAATTAAATAACAAATGTTTTGGGTAGGAAACTTTTTATTGTCCATATCTGTACCGTGTCTCTGCCAAAATCCATTTTACCGACTGTTATTGTTGAAAAAAACAAAATTTTAAATCAAACACCATAAAACTGCCACCATTTCAATTCCTCCGGTCATTTCAGAAACGGCCCGTACGAACACTTGATTTCATCCCCGTAGACGTACTTAAACGTGTTGCTGGCAAAGTTTTGTCAGACTCGACGAGTATCGCTGAAATCAAACGCTGACTTTGTTCTCAAATTTCCCTCGTCGGCGTTTGATTTTAGTGACCACGTATTAACCGCAGGTGATTTTTAATCTTAATTATCGTAACGTTAAAATAACACCGGAACCACAAAAACCGATGTCGTTCCCGCAGGAATAACCAAACATATCAGGAATTACAGTATTTTTACAGGACCACTAGCCGTACAGACGCGGACAACAAAAAGTTTCCACTTTGTTAAAGACTTGTTTGTTTCGTTACTTAAACCCTTTCGATTGTTTAAGTTGGGAACTTTTTTTGTCCGCAACTGTACGAAAAGGGACAATTTTGTCACACTTGAAAGTGTCTCGTTCCCCGAGCGATAGACAAAGGGTCGTTCAAATGTCTTGAGCTCGAAAGATCGAACAACGAAAGCAGCAACTCGGGATCTTGATTTCGTTCGGACATACTGGGCGTTTTTCGTTTCTGTTCGTTTCAGCTTATTTTTAATTTCTTGGTTTAGACAAAAATTTTGACGCCATTTTAAAAATGAAGCCCTAACATTCAGCTAGAGCAAAGTAGCAAATTTTTTCAAATTTTTACTTGTAAAAATCTAATAAGCGTGCCATGGAAGTAGGATATCAGTGAAAAAAATGCATGGCACACTAAATTGTACCAAGAAACAATTGAATTATATGTGTTTAAGGCTTATTGAACTAGAATCGGATGTTGTACAAAAATATCTCGCTAGACAGAAAAAAATTTCATAAATTTTAACAAAAATAAGTGAAAATAATTGTACAGCGTCATGGAAAACCGATCAAAACAGAAAATCACCTTAAAGACGTCAAGAAAAGCAAAAGTGACAAAAATCAATCCCGGTACGTTTGAACTACTTTTCGTCTATCTCCTCGGTAAACGCAAGGAACTTCACGGAAGTGTCGAAATGGCCCCCCAAGCGCGTTTACGGTGTTGTTCTAACGTTACCCCGCAGTCCCGTTTGTATAAAATAAATTATTATATATTTACATACACTTCATTATTGTACATAAAGTGCCGCTTGTATGGTATTTTTACAGTGCCGTTTTTGTACTGTGAGTCCGTACGTCGGACCGAAAAGGGTAAGATGAACCTTTTAACTTATAAGTAGCATATTGATAGCTCTCGTCTCATTCTTTTCGTCCTCGGGATACTATTGTGTCAAGTCGAAGGAGATGAAAAAAAAAAAAGATCAACATAGCGTGCCAAATGCGTGCTTTTATAATTAATAAATGATGTACTACTCAATATAGGATTTTAAAAGTCGAAAATGCTGAAAAGTGTACCTCAAAGTACTATTTTGTGTACCCTTCTTGTGTATCAATGTTCTTCCTTGAAACTCGAAAAAAAAAATAAAAATATATTTATGGTTGGACTAAAATCATTAATTTTTATCTATCGAGAAAAGAAACACTGTGAGAGCGTAGGAAAGTCTTCATGTTTTTTTTTATTTAATAAGTATCGAAGTCAGGATTGAAATTTTGAGTTGAAACTGAAATTTTTGTCTTTGAAACACGAAATTTTGAGTTCAAACTTAAAATCTTGAAATTTTGTGTTAAAACTTGAACTTTTCTGTTGTAAATTCAAAATTTCAATTTTAAAACGCGAAATTTCTAAATTAAACCCAAAATTTTAGTTTGAATATGGAATTTCCTATTTTGAAACAAAAATTTTGATTTCAAGCCAAAAATTTCGAGTTTAAATTCGAAATTTCTAGTGGATTTTTCAAATAGAAAATTTTGACCTTGAAATTCAAAATTTCCAAATTTGAAATTTAGTTAAATAAAAAAAAACAAAGCATTTCTAAGCTTTTGTGCAATATATTCATTTTACTAATTATTAACCATCTCAATTAATTTGTACTTACTTTTAATCATGTGAAATTAAATACATTTTTTAAAAATCCCTGTTCAGTTCTTTATCTAGTGTGTGTTTCTATGACAACAGTCTTTTGTTTCAATAAAAAAAGTTAACTCCATATGTCATTTTGAGGCACACACTTTCCCTGTATATTTTATTATTACTAAGAAAAAAAGTATGCCAGCAGTATAATTCTCGCGAATAAATGTTTTAAATACCGATATTAAAGTGTGAAGTGCACGTTTTTAATACAGACCGCGTATTCAGAGATTACAAGTAAGTACGCGATTTTGAGGTTAGGTTAAGTGTGATTCTTGTGATTTTTACAGGAAAGATGAATAAAAATGGAAATTCCAAGACTAAATATTGCATCCAATCAGAGAAACATCCCTTGCAGACCTCCCTAGGCCTTTGTTCACTCATGGAACACCAGAGTTTGGTGGATATTGCCATCTGTTGCGGTAACAATACCCTGCACGCACACAAGGTGGTTTTAGCCGCGAACAGCCCTTTATTTAGAGTAGGTAGGTGTTACTAGCTGCACTGTGTACTTTACATTATGTAATATTTCAGGAGGAACTCGAAAAAAATTCATGCATCGAACAGGTCATCATTTCCGGTTGCGACTTTTCCGTGATCAGGTCCATAGTGGAGTTCATGTATTGCGGGGAGACGACTGTATCCGAGGATTACATTAAGTACCTTGTTGCGGCCGCCAAGTTGTTTCAGATGAAGAGTTTGGAGAACCTTTCGTTAGAACGCACCGACTATCAGTTTACGGGTAGGTAAAATCCAGATTTAGTCTTCGATTTTGGTCGTGGACAATTTTTTTTTGTAAGACATGTACCTATAATCGTCGTGCAGACTTCATCTTGATATTTTGCCAAATTTTTAAAGTCGTTATTAGTTGACCGTAATTTGTTTTGAATCGAGAAAGGTTTTATATTAAAAAATTATTTTTTGTTTTACTGTTCGTCGTGAAATAGTCGTAAATCTCTTTGGCGAAATAAAATCTACTACAAAATTTAAATCGGAAAGTTGGTTTTGCTTTTTTAAATTAAAAAAAATTTTTTTTTTTGATGTTTACTTTGGTGGTTGTTATTTCACTTTTTAAATTTCTGTTGTAGTATTTGTCATTTGTTACGGTAATTTTGGGCCAATATAATGCATTTTTAAGAAAAAACACTTTAATTTACTGGTTTACGACTATATACGGGGTGTTTCATAATATTGGGAAAAAATGCATGTGGAGATTCCTTTGGAAAAAAATCTTTTGCCAAAGTTTCTTCACCAAATGGAGGGCTCAGAAGCCAATCAGTGTAAGTCACTGAATATAGAAAATGAGAAAATTGGCAATTTGTAAAACTTGTAATAATTATAGTCCACAGTACAGGCCCCCCCTGGAAAGTTGATTACCACATACTTTATAACTCCTGAGGAGCTTCGTTTTGACGAGTCTACCACATTTTTCATCTGTGACTTTTCTCGATTCCTCCGCTTTTCCACTCGGAAAAGTTCAAAAACATGGCAATTTCCCAGGGTCTTGAAAAGTCAAGACCACATCTTTTATTTTTAGCTTAAGTAACTGGAAATTTTGTTGCGAATGCCGATTTAAATTTGTCCGACAGAAATTCTTCCGACATTGACGTGTCTACCGGCCGAAACATGCCGAAATGACAGGGTATTGAAAATCACCACCACATAGGTAATTTTTAGTAAAATTAATTGTAAATAATTAATTCAGTCAAAAAGTATTGTTGTCTGACAAATTTCAAGCCGCATTTTTTCAGTCCGACAGCTGGAAATCGGAATTTTCACAGGGTATGAAAAATCGATTCGATCGATCGGGGGGGGGCCTGTACTGCGGTCTATTAATTTTATTTAGATATAACAATTCATACATCATCAACTTCAAAAGGAAATCTTCAATACGTAACTCAATTTGAAAAGTGACACACTGATTGGCTTCTGAGCCTTCCATAATGTTGAACATATTTTAGAAAATATGATTTTTTTTTATTTCAACATCCTGTATATCAAAAACAAAGTTATTTCAGACAAATGTTCATGGGAGTTGTTTATTCTTATTTTTTTACTAACATTTTTTTTTTTTGAGACGTCTGCTGACGATTACTGGCACGTCCAGATTAATTCACAAAATTGCAGCATGTAAAACGAAATGTGTTCCATCCTATTAAAAAAAAAAATCCTCATGTCCCGATCCTTGTAGGTGACGTCATCGTCCTGCCCAAACCGCAATTCCTATCGAAGAAACCGAAATACCCCACCTATCCCTTCAATGCAAACACCAGCCTGCCCCCCAACAACATCCTAAAGCCACTCAACTACACCGTAAACAACCTGTACAAGCCGCACAAGGTGAAACGGAAGTTCCGCTTGGAGGCCGAGCACCAGGCGTGCATAAAAGAGGCGCATGCCAGCCGATTGGCCATCGCCAACCTAAAAAAAGAGATCGCCTCGGCCCCCCAAGCCAACACGTTCATCATAGAGGAGACGTGCACGGAAACCACCGTCGAGAACTTCATACCTCACCCGGAGCAGTCCGGGTACGTCGAGGTGGACTATAATAACATCGACAACCAGGTGTTCGTCTCGCCCAACAATTTCAACCAGGAAACGAGTAAATCGGCCAATATGATACAGTTGGCCCTGCAGAATAATGGCCAGGCGCTGACCGCTGACAAGATAAAGCACATCCTGGGCAACGAGGTGCCGGCCAACGTGGAGATCATGTTCAAGACGAGCGACGGCAGTTTCGTGACGGTGACGGACGAGGTGCTGCAGAATCTTTCCACCAAGGAGGGGTTACAGTACCAGGTGGTGGACGAGAACGGGCAGGTGGGCGAGATACAGGAGTTGCAGGTCCTCGGGAGAGACGCCCTGGAAAAAATCAACAAAATAAACGCCCAGGACCTGCCGAAGGACCTCTCCAGTCACGGTTCCGACTTGTCCACCGTCACCAACCCGGAAGACTACATCAGCACCCACTTCCTCGAAGGATCTCAAATCGTCTTCAACACAAGCGAGAGTAACCCGACGGTGGTGGATCCCGTCTCCGTGGAGAATCCCAAGAACTTCACGGGCGGTCCGGTGTTCGAAACCGCCGACAAAGACATGGAGCTGTTGGCTTTAAACACTGAGGAACTGAAACCCACCTTCCCCGATGACAGCCAGATGAAGGTAAACGGTTTCTACGATTTCGGGGAGGACCTGAAACCGGCCGCGTCCCAGCTGGAGAACGACATGACGATCACGGTAGACGACAAGTACAGGCTGGGGGACCTGACGTCGCTGTCGCCCCGTAAAACGAGGTCCTCCCTCAAGTTCTCGCCCGACATGTTCTTCGCCGACATCCCCACCACCGGCGCCGATGCGGACACGGAGGAGTGTGACCAAAAGAAATTCTGCCCCGGCCGCAGGAAGAAGGCGGTGTAATTTTAATTGTTGGGTCTACTTTGTAAGTACACGTAGTTTTTGCATGTTCCTTTCCAGATTTTTGTGGTTTATGATAATAAATTTTTTAATTCCACTTAATTCATTGCTTGGGGTAGGTTTTAGAGTCGTTGTAAGATTAAACAATTGGTATATTTTATTTCTCGGTTGACGGTTTTAAACTTTGCCTATTATACACACTATTGTAGCTCTTGTTTTATGTAGATCTCCTCGAAATGACCATTTAATAAATCTATTTCAATTATATTTTGCTTTATTTATTTAAAAACAAATAAACTTTTTCTGTGCCGCAGAAATACCTGATTGTGGAAAAAAAGCAGCAATAAAATATGCTGAAAATAAATTAATTTTTACAGCCTATATTTCAAATATTTAATTTTGTTGTCAGTGCTTTGAAATAACGTAGAAATCATTGAACTTACGTACATCAGAAACAGTAATTGCTTTAAGAACAAACTAGTTTTAGGGCTCATAAGTCATTTTATGAGATTTTTTCTAGCTTCATTTTAATTTTTGTTGATAGGCAACATACTACTGTATGTTCCACAAAAATTGATAAAATTTTGTTTTCTCGCAGTAGCCTGTTTCATTTTAATTTTTGTTGGGTAGGCAACATACAATACACCTTTTTGTACTTGGTGCCGTACTTGATAAAAAAATGAAAGGTGTATTCTACGTGTCGTAACGAGTAGAGCGTTAAGAATATGATGGAATAGTTCAAACGTGTCAGTTTTAGTTGCAGACTACTATTCTACGTGTCGTAATATAGGGATGGTGTTAAAAATATGATGGAGTAGTTCAAATGTCTCAGTTTTAGTTGCAAACTCTTTTTCTACATATTAAAATTTAAAGCAACCGTTAACGACAATAATATTTTGCTAGACTGTAAAAAATACCACAAAGTAGTTCAAACGTCTCAGTTGTAGTTGCAAACTCATTTTCTACATATTAAAATTTAAAGCTACCGTTAACGACAATAATAATTTGCTATACTGTAAAAAATACCACAAAGTAGTTCAAACGTCTCAGTGTTAGTTGCAAACTGTTTTTCCACATATTAAAATTTAAAGCTACCGTTAACGACACTAGACTGTAAAAAAATACCAGAAAGTAGTTCAAACGTCTCAGTTTTAGTTGCAACCTCTTTCTACATATTAAAATTCAAAGCAACCGTTAACGACAATAATATTTTGCTAGACTGTATAAAATACCACAAAGTAGTTCAAACGTCTCAGTTTTAGTTGCAAACTCTTTCCACATATTAAAATTTAAAGCAACCGTTAACGACAATAATATTTTGCTAGACCGTAAAATATACCACAAAGTAGTTCAAACGTCTCAGTTTTAGTTGCAAACTGTTTTTCTACATATTAAAATTTAAAGCAACCGTTAACGACAATAATATTTTGCTAGACTGTAAAAAATACCACAAAGTAGTTTAACGACAATAATATTTTGCGAGACTATAAAATATACCACAAAGTAGTTCAAACGTCTCAGTTTTAGTTGTAAACTCTTTTTCTACATATTAAAATTTAAAACTACCATTAACGACAATAATATTTTGCCAGACTGTAAAAAATACCAGAAAGTAGTTCAAACGTCTCAGTATTTGTTGCAAACTGTTTCTCTACATATTAAAATTTAAAGCTACCGTCTACCGTTAACGACAATAATATTTTGCTAGACTGTAAAAAATACCACAAAGTAGTTCAAACGTCTCAGTTTTAGTTGCAAACTCTTTCTACATATTAAAATTTAAAGCAACTTTAACGACAATAATATTTTGCTAGACTGTATAAAATACCACAAAGTAGTTCAAACGTCTCAGTTTTAAGTAGTTCAAACGTCTCAGTTTTAGTTGCAGTGTACTATTCTACGAGTCGTAACATAGGGATTGTGTTAAAAATATGGAGTAGTTCAAACGTCTAAGTCTTAGTTGCTAACTCTTTTTCTACATATTAAAATTTAAATCAACCGTTAACGACAATAATATTTTGCTAGAATGTAAAAAATACCACAAAGTAGTTCAAACGTCTCTGTTTTAGGTGCAAACTGTTTTTCCACATATTAAAATATAAAACTACCGTTAACGACAATAATATTTTGCTAGACTGTAAAAAATACCACAAAGTAGTTCAAACGTCTCAGTTTTAGTTGCGGTGTACTATTCCACGTGTTAAGAATATGATGGAATAGTTCAAATGTTTCAGTTGCAGACTACTATTCTACGTGTCGTAACATAGGGATGGTGCTAAAAATATGATGGAGTAGTTCAAACGTCTCAGTTGTGGTTGCACTCATTTTCTACATATTAAAATTTAAAGCTACCGTTAACGACAATAATATTTTGCTATACTGTAAAAAATACCACAACGTAGTTCAAACGTCTCAGTTTCAGTTGCAAACTGTTTTTCTACATTTTAAAATTTAAAACTACCGTTAACGACAATAATATTTTGCTANAACCGTCATCTCTTTCTAACTCATTGCATTTCCCATAAGAAAATAAGAGGCAAATTTAAAATTGTCACTTTTCTTGTACCACGCTCCTTTTAACATTAAATAATAAATTTAATCAGTTATGATTATGGTTAATTAACAGGTATTTTGAGTCTAAAATGTTACCTTTATATACAAACTGAACCTTTACATTGGAATTTGGAAATAAAAGGATGAAATGTGAAATTGTCTTGAATACACATCACGATCGGTCATCATTTTTGACGTTTCGTTACATAATTAACCTAAAATTTGTGTTAATTTTATTACAGATATCTATTAATATCCATAAACCCTAATGAAATGAAGAGGGGAAGTGAATATATAAACAATTTAGACCTATCTTAATATTCTCTTGGCTCCAAAATAAAAACTGTGTACAGTTTATATGATATTGTATCTGCTTTTGTCTAGTTAAATTTCAAATAACTTACTAAAGTACTTTATAATAGGCTGCAACATAATTTATTTTTAGTACCAACTAAAGTTTTACAGTTAATGTTCCGAATTAAAAAATTCCTAAGTTTTTACAAGGAAAATACCTATACAGTAGTTTTTAGTTTTGAAAAAGTTTTTTTCGGTGTTCGGAGTTAAACGGACTATATTAAAATTTAAAGCAACCGTTAACGACAATAATATTTTGCTAGACTAAAAAATACCACAAAGTAGTTCAAACGTCTCAGTTTTAGTTGCAAACTGTTTTTCTACATATTAAAATTTAAAGCTACCGTTAACGACAATAATATTTTGCTAGACTGTAAAAAAATACCACAAAGTAGTTCAAACGTCTCAGTTTTAGTTGCAAACTGTTTTTAATTTGCACATTGCATTTAAATAAACAACAACAATAACTAAATAAACATTTACTGAAATTACAAGTCTAAAACCAAAGATCGCCCCCGTCGTCTTCTTCCTGCATCGTTTNATACCACAAAGTAGTTCAAACGTCTCAGTTTTAGTTGCAAACTGTTTTTAATTTGCACATTGCATTTTAAATAAACAACAACAATAACTAAATAAACATTTACTGAAATTACAAGTCTAAAACCAAAGATCGCCCCCGTCGTCTTCTTCCTGCATCGTTTCCCGAGGAACGGTCGTGCCCTCGTCTTCGCTTTCGCTGACTGCCAGATCGTCTTGTATTTTCATATCCGCATCTTCGACCTTACGCAGCGGTAATCCCGTCATTAAAAAGTCCGACGGGTCGTAATTTGGATCAACGTCCATACTTTCATCTGAAAAGAAAATAAAAGCCAATAATACGGTACAAAAATACACGAAAAGGTTATTAAAATTATACAGGGTCATCCAAAAGTCCCGGTGCGGCAGAACTTTCGAAGAACGCATTTTGGGAAAAAATATCTCGGACAAAAGTGTAAGGATTTTTCCCTGGCTATCTGGATTTGACCTCGACTTTGATCTTCAAGGTCATTTGAAGGTCAAGTTAAGTAGCGACTAGGCAACCAGCAATACATTTTTAGAGATTTTATTACACAGTTTGTCTAAATGTGTACAAATAACGGACTTTCCCCCATTCTAACGCAGATTTTCTATAAAATGGAGTTGGTTTGAATCTCAAATTACTTTTTGTTGTAAAGAAATTTGTATTTCGGCACTTTTGAAAACGCGGAATCGCATTTTACAAATTTCTTTACACCAAAAAGTATTAAGAGTTTCAAACCTACTCCATTTTATAGAAAATCTGCATTAAAATGGGGGAAAGTCGGTTATTTGTGCATTAATTCATATTTAGACAAACCGTGGTATAAAATCTATAAAAATGTATTGCTGGTTGCCTAGTCGCTGTCAAACGCTCCGAGTATGACCTTTGTGGCTTACGTTTGACATTTTTTTTGCTCATCCTTACAATTTTAAAATCCTATTTACCTTTCGACACCACTAAATCGTCTAAAACCGACGAAAAAAAAAAAAATAAAAATGATCCCCCATTCAAAGTTACGCCCCGTATAAAACATTCTTTTCTGCTTACCCTTGTACACCAGTTCCTGGGCCTCGTCCTCGTTCTGCTGGTAGTACCCCATGGTACCCAGCTGCACCATGGCCTCGGCGGCCTGCTGGCTGTCGTCGTCCGCCCCCTCCCCCTCCATGGGCAGTTCGGCGGATATCAGGATGCCCTTCTGGTCATCCTCGAACTCGTTGAGGGGCACCTCGTCGAGTTCCTCCTCGCTGGAGAACTGCAGGTCTTCCTCGAGGGTGTGCGCCTCCTCCTTCTTGAACTTCTTCTTGGAACGGGGCGGTTGCAGGATCACGCTCTCGTCAATACCCTGGACGCCCTCCCCCTCCACGTCGATCAGGTCGTACTCGTCCATCTGGGACTTCACCGAGGAGAGGTGGTCGGGGGAGCTCGACTGGCTCTGGGAAATTAACAAAAGTCGAGTTCGTTCGTAAGATGCTTCGCGACGATGTACTTACGATCCTGTCGGGTTCCACGATGGTGTAATTCTCGTCGTCGCCTCCCATCCAGGTCTGGTCGTCGTCCTGCATGGCCCTCTCTTGGGCCAGTAGGAGCTTGTTTTCCAACGGGGTCAAGTGCTCGTCGAACTGAAAGGAAAAAATGTAAGAACTTTTGTGGACATAGTGTGTTAAATACAGGGTGGGCACATGAAAACGAAACAGAGTCATTTTCGGGAACTGCGTCGGGATTGTAGAAAAACGCTACTCGTTACGACACGTGAAATAGTCTGCAATTAAAACTGAGGACGTTTGAACTAATCCATTATATTTTTAACACCTTACCCGTATTACGACACGTAGAATAGTACACTGCAACCAAAGCTGAGACGTTTGAACTACTTCGTGATACTTTTTAACCCTGGCAAAATATTATTGTCGTTAACGGTAGCTTTTAATCTAAAATCGACGGGTCTGAGCGTTTTTCTACAATCCCGACGCAGTTCCCGAAAATGGCTCCGTTTTGTTTTCATTTGGCCACCCTGTATATTTCAATTGTAGAAATTTTACGAACGTTAATTTTTTGATATCTTCAAATTGTTGTGGACGTTAATTTCGTGTTTCCCCGAAAATCCTTACTTTGTCTAGAGTTTCCTTACAAGCGATCACAAGTTGTTCGGCTTTTTCCGTGAAGGGCGAGTCCTTGCCGTTGTACAATATACAATTCTCCAAAATCTGCTCGATGTCGGCCAAGAACTCGTGCCGGCTGTGGTATTTGTGAGCTGTAAATACACCGAACATCAAAAAAAAATTTTAATTCCGTCTTTTAAAAAACGGACAGTAAAAACGCTATTAGCGAAACCTCTACCTGCGATTTTCTTAGAAACGGTCTCCAAATCCATCGGCCTCTTCACGATACTGTAGTAATCCTTAACGAGCTTCTTGTTGACGGGCTTGAGAAACGGCCACGACTCGGACATCGTCTTCAGTTTCGTGTTGACGACGCACTCCAGGATAAACGTTAACGCGACCTGATCGTTGTCGTCTAATAACGGGTTGATGGCCTTTTCCAGCCTCATCAGTCTGTCCTCCTTCTCTCCTAACCTCTCCACGCACTTGTTCAACATCCGCTGGGCGGCGACCGTCAGGCTGCTCTTAGGGCCTAAAAAAAAAAAAGTTTTCCGTTACCGGCGAAAGTTTTTTTCAAAAATAATAATATTTACCGTTGTAGAGATTGGAGTTTTCGACGATTTGGTTCACGTCCGCCAAAAACTCCTCCCGGCTTTGGTACTTTTTCTGCCTCAAGTTTTCACGTATCGTCTGAAGATCCATCGGCCTATGGACGATTCTATAGTAGTCCATCACCAACTGGAAATGTATCGTTCGTTCTTTATCACCGGCAAGCATGAATTTGTTAGATATGACCGCGATGCGAAAATGTAACATTGGCAACTCTCACCACACAAGAATATCTTTCCTAACGACTCACCTTCGGATTAACGGGGAAGAGAAACGGCTGCACGTCGGGCATGTCCCGCATCTCGTTGAGTATATTCTCGAGAATGGTCGACAAGACCACCACGGGATCGGTCCTCCTCCTGTTCGCCGGCCTGTTATGCTTCTTCAGATAATCGCAGTGCAAGTCGGAAACTCCCCTCCGCCTCTTCTTGCCCGAACCCAAAACGTCCTTGGGCACCTTCAACATGAGGCTCTTCCGTTTTATCTCTTCGGCGTGCTGAAAGTCGTAGCAAGATTACGTAACGTTTTTTTTTTATTCTCGACGTTTACCTTCAACAGCTTGCCCGACAATTTCACTTTGGTACCGTCCACGTTGACCAAATCCTCGTCGTCCGTGTTCAGTTGCTTCTCGATATCCTCTTCTTGTTCCTCCGTCATCGCCACGTTCATGGGGGCGTTAGTTCCGCCGCTGTTTTGGTACAACGGACAAGCCTTGTTTGTCCTAATTGAAAAAAAAAAAGATTTACATGCAGCATCCGCGTAAATCGAATCAAAACGATTCGGCGCAAGACGCTTTAAATGTTGGCGGAGAGGAATATTATTTAACGCACCTCATATGACCGACGTTTCCGCAGGCGCCGCACTTCAGTTTCAAGTCTGGTTTTAATTTCGTCTTCCTTCGGGATTTAGACGGGGAAGCATTTGAGTTTTTGCTTGATGCTGGGGTCACCGGTGTTGACGGTCCTAAGAAGGAAAGGATAAAACGTACCGTCAAAAGGTTCACAAAAAAATATTTGCATGAATCAAACTTTCACCTCGGCTAGTAATAAAAAACAATAAAAACAATGTGATTTTTTTTTTTTTAAATAGAAATCGAGTATTGGGACATTACAAAGAACAGAAAATATACCTATTTTATATTATTTTTGAAACACTTGAATGAAATTGTATTCCAGTAAAAACCACGCAGGAATTGCCAGTCAAATTGTTGAAAATAACTCATTTTTTTGCTAAAAGTTGTTACAAGACATGTAAAAATTAGGAAAAACTCCTTAGAATCGAATGAACTACTTTACCGCAGCAGCATTTTCAAAATGACGTCCAAAAGTTTGCAAAAATAGTTTTTTCATTTAAAAAAAGACAAAAATTGTAGAACTTTTATAACAAAAATGTTGAACCTGAATGCTGATGATGGTCCTGGAGAGACAAAACATTACGTGTAAAAACTGACTATGTCATTCGATAGAGGGCATGAGAAAATATTTCGAAAACTAATCATGTTAGCCTTGATTTTTTTAAGGCATAACGTCGGTCCCGTGATTACGCAACTTCGCCCCACTTAAACTACTTCGTACCTCTTACCGTTTCCGAAATCCCTGTAGTGAGAAGCGAATTTGTAACAGCTTGTATATCTTTAAAATGAAATAAGATTTTTTTACAAAACTTTCAGAATATGTAGTCCTTGACAAGTAGAATAAGTGTATTTTCGTAAAATTGCAAAATGTTTGATAGTTTTTGCAAAAATTAAGTTTTCGAAAAAAACAAACATTTTTTTCAAGTTTCAATAAATCATACATTAATGCGCTTACGTGGTCCATCTTGGGCTTAAAATTCTTTCTTAGAGTTGTACTTTCCTGTGCAAATCGTGCGAGTATTGCAAAATAATTGGAAATATGGGAAAAAATCTACCGAATCTTTAACTTCTTTTTTCCGGTAGAAAAATGTAGATCTTTTTCTTACAATTGAAATTTAATCGGAATGGCATTATTGCCATTTGAAAGTAGACATTTTTTCACGAATTTAAAAAAAAATTTATCCTGCGACCAACAGGAGCCCACAAAATTTTTTTTTTTTTCAAAAAAATCTGTAGATTTCGGTAAATTTATCGCATACTTCCAATTATTTTGTAATACGCGCACGATTTGCAATGGAACGTACAACTCTTAAAGAAAATTTTTTTCGAGAAACTATTTTGAATTTTCGCAAAAACTTATTCTACTCACATATTCCGAGTTTCAAAAAAAAATCTTTTTCATTTTAAAGCTGTAAAAATAAAATAGAAAATGCGATTTTTTATTTTTAGCCGGGCTCAAAGCTTTTGTTAGAAAAAGTTACTTTTGTCTAAACCATTTTTTTCTAAAATGTGTAGTTTTTTTTTTTTTAAATGAAAGAAACCGGTTTTTGCGAACTTTGGATGCCATTTTGAATATGGAGACCTAATATTCAGCTGGAAAAAAGTAGTTCATTCAATTCTATGGAATTTTTCCAAATTTTTAAGCATCTTTTTTTACTGAAATAAATTTTGGCACGTAAAAAGGTCAGTCTTAGAGGTCAAACGAGAAAATATAAAGGAGTAGTTCTCAAAATCATATTTTAACGCGTAGTCGTGCAACCCGTTATTAAATTTTGACACCCACAAAACGTAACATCCCGTACAGACCATAAAACGAGCGCAATACATCACGAAAACAAATATTTCCTTACCTTCGTTGGGATTCGGCAGCTTCTCCATGGTACCGGCGGGCGGCAGGTTGGGGGTGTGCGCCCTGTTCTGCCCGCTCATCCTCTCCTTCTCCTGGTTCCTCTTTATGCGTCTCAGCTGCTCCTGGATCCTGCGCTTCTCCCGCTTCATCTCCTCCTTCTGCGCCTCGTCCAACGTCGCAAACTGCCTGATGAAGGCCTCGTCTTTGGTCGTGCGGATCTTCACGTACGCGTCTATGACGGCCGCTTTCCTCACCAGCTCGAACCTCGTGAATTCCCGTCCCTCTGGGTTCCTGAACGTACGGGTGATCTTCAGGACGCGACCTACAAGTAAATCGTACAAATTTCGTCGTGTCCCCTGGATTTCACGAACATCTACCTTGCTGTGCGTAATTCTCCTCGTTTTCTTCCTCCCCCTTCTTTTTATCTTTGTTTCTTTCCTTTTCGCCGCCCTCCATGATCATCTTCCTCAGTTCTTGCCTCTCTTGTTCTTCCCTCTCCAACGACAACTGCGAGTAGATCAAACGTAACGATCCGTTTCGCGATTTCTCTCGAGCGTACCTACCTGCGTGCTGGTCTTTTTATTCGCCAGCATGTTTTCTATGTTCTTGCCCATCTCCTCGATGTCGTCGTCGCTCTCGTCCTCCGAACTCTCCCCTTCGTCGGTGCTGAGCACCTCGGCGCTCGCCAGGACGCGGTTCTGCAGGTCGAATATCCTCTGGCACTCCTCCTTGTATCGTTCCTGGTGCTCGGCGATGGAGAACCTGTTGCCCCTGGAGAACTTATCCATGCCCTCTTCCCCGGCCTTCGCTTTCTCCGTGGATAACGTCCTGACGACGTCGATGACCTCCCAACGGGACAGTTTCTTTATCTGAAATAAAGCGACAGTTTCAAAAACAACGTTTTCTCACTCGTTTCGATCATACCTCTTCTTCGGGTACGCCGAACTTCCTCAAGAGGGCCTTGGCGTTGTTGAGCGACAGCCGCCTCAGATCGGCGTCCGTTCCCGTCACCGTCCGCTTGGGCTGCGACTCCTGCTCCTCCTTGCTCTGGGTGGGCTTGTTCGGCACCCTGACGTAGCTGAAGCCCTCCCCGCAGCCGGTGGGATCCGCGGGACCCGTCAGCTGGAGTAGGCACTTTCCCTTCATGGCCTGGATGTACGCTCGGGTGGTATTCCAGGGCGCCACTTTCACCTCGTCGTCCATCTTCAGCTGCATCTCCTCATCGTCGTCCTCGGCCGGCGTGAAGAGGAACTTCTCCCCGTAACCCGCGTCCTAGTAAAAACGGCGTACGGTATAATCTCCGTGTGACGATAATTAAGGGACTGACCTTCAACCGTTGTTCTGCCGCTACCATGCTGAAGTAAGCGCAGCACTGTTCCGGGGACACCATCGCGCGGATTTCCTCCTCCGTTGGTAGGCGGAACTCGGGTTTGATCACCCACCAGTTGGAGTCCATTCCTGTGGGTCACGATTAGTTATAACCGGTTGCAGAGCGAGACGAAAAAAGCCGACGTATATCGACGCGGAAACCGTAAACGAGAAATCAAAAACTCTAAAACCAAAGTAAATGTAGCCACAATGTTGAAAGAAAACAGTTTTTTTTGTTTGAATATCAAATAAGATCAATTTAGATTTTTAGTTGTTTTTATCAATGCAATTCACAGCCAACTAGGACGCGTTTTTTAGACGTCAAAACAGCTAATTGACATTAGCGATTTTTTTTCCCAAAAAACAGATTTTTGGAAAGTTTCATCAAATTCGATACATCTTCAGACGAGCATTAGTTGGCCGTGTATTGCATTAATAAAATACAGCGGTGTCACTGCTAGATAGAGATTTTTTTTTATCCTACATTCTGTAGAAAAAATTTTTGAAATCGACCAAAAAAGTGCTCGCCTGAAGATGTATCGAATTTGACGAAACTTCGTAGTAAGACGCTTTAAGGCATGCTGATTGAGAATACGTAACAATCAGCCGTTTTGATGTCAAGAAAAATTGTCCTAGTTGGCCGTGAATTGCGTTAATAAAAACAGCAGTTTTTTGTGGCCCATATTTCGAAATAAAAATTTTTGAAATCGGCCAAAAAAACAATAGTTACAGGCTTGTCTCATATTTAAAGGCGACACCCTGTATGTTCTAATTTAAAAAATTCATTGGACAATACAATTCTCACATTTAAAAAAAAGTATTTTTCATTTTTCTCGATTTTCCTGATTCAAACTCGTCCACTATATTCAACTTATGCTCATTTGGCATTCACGCAAGCGTAAATTATTAGAAACAATTTTGCCATCTCTTGGTTAAACAAAAGACAAGTTTTACAAATTGAACCGTGGAATGAATTATCAGTGTTGCGGGAAACAACTACTCCGAGAGCTATATGACTTATGACCTAGTGCAACAGCTGTTGCACAATGCCGAAAAATAAATTCCACGATTGCAGCTGAAATTTTTAAAAAGTTCGAGAATTTCCCGTCACCCAGATCGACAACGCACCCCGTTTAATATGAGCGGATATAAAAGGGAAACACGCACTCCTACCTGTCCTCTTAAAATCGGCGCACAGCTTCAGCCTCTTCCTTATGCTGCTCTCCGAGTGAGAGGGGAACGCCCTCTTGATATCGTCCATTTTTATGCGTCGCGGGTTGTCCCGGCTCTTCCAAAATAAACGATAGATAAACACCTAAAAAGAAAAACCTCGATACAATTTATGAAAAGCCTTAAAAACACATTTATTTGAAAACAGAAACTTTCTCAAAATTGCAAATACCCGTTACAATTTTTTTTCAATTTAAATATGTTCCACACGGGCAGCGGTACATGTGAATGGACAAATTTTAAAATTTCCTCCTGTATTTAATAAAATGATTAAAAAAAAAATTGCAAAATGAAGATAAATATCCTAAAAAAGCTAAAAACAAAATAAAACGCTAAAAAATCGCAACGAAAAAAATTGTACCTGGAGAAAGTCCCTAACGAAATTGTTGGCCCTCTTGGAGTTGGGCCCGGGCACCTCGTAAAGGGGGCACTGTTGCCCCGCGCAGTACAAGGAGTCCATCTCCCTGATGTAATACTGTTGCCGGGTCCGTATTATAAGAAAATCGCTCTCCGGTATCGTATGTTCGTATATCGGGGCCCTACGATACGATTAAAAATTCAATTAACGGCAAGACTCCCGTAAACGAAACACAAACCCTTACCTATACATATTATTCTCGATGGCCTGAATGGACTGGCCGGGGTGCAGGATCCCCAGAAACGGCGACGTATGAGCGTACGCCGTCTCCCCGTACCGGTAGCTGGGTGGTCCGGAATCCTTGGCGGCCTTCCGCTTGTAGTAGTTTTTAATTTTAGAACACATACCGACCTAAGGACACAGAAATCAGGGAAAACGTCCAGTACGAGTGAACGGAACGTACCTGATTCATCAACGGGGGATGTTCCTCACAAAACTCTACGAGAATGATGTCCCCGTCGCGGCCCGTAAGGTCCTCCGCGGTCCTCATGAAGAACACGTCGCCGCCACCCGAAGCCATCCGTTCCGCCTCCCTTTGCTGCCAAACGAATAAAAAAAACAAGTATACGTTTATTATTAACGTTGGTAGTGACATTTTCTTACCTTCGCCTTTTTCTTGATGTGCTTGACGAGAGGCATGACGCTGTGCGGCCCGGGTTTGCAGAGGGGCCCGTGCGAGAACCTCTTTAATGGCGGCCGGTGGAAATTCCTCAGACGCACCGGGCCCATGTGGGTCTGTACGAACGGCGCCCTCAGCTCCACGACCGGAGTGGAATGCTGGATCAGGTTGGCGCCGCCCACCTTAAGCCTCAGAGTCGTTTCGGAGGTGCGTGGCTGGTAATAGCTATGAAAACAAAATTAGTTTTAGTTTTTTTATATTATGTTAAACTTTTTAGCTAAGATTAATAGTTTTTTTTACAATAACGCGTAGAACGAAAAATGACGAATTTTTGAAATACTTGTTGATAAAAAACATTGACGCTATACTTTTTTCATGACCCTTTTGCCGAGACGCCTCTTTTATTATCATTCCCAAGACTTTCCAACAATAAAATCACGCCCAATAATTAATAAATTTCAAAACGTTTCCTTTCCTGGTCTAATTGCAAATTCAAGTCCAAAGTGTGCAATTTGAAAAACAAATTCAAAATGTGAATAAGAAATTTTCAGTTTCAGTTCGGAATGTCGACTTCAAACAAAACGTTTTGTTCAAAGTCAAAATTTTGAGTTAATTTTTTTTTTTTAATTAAAATTTCCAATCAACGCCGAGTATTTTGGGTTTGAACACAAAATTTTGAAACGAATGTCAAAAAAATTAATGAAATACAAAATTTAATATTTAACAAATAAAATAAATATAAAAAAAACTCGTTCTGTATACCGCAATGTAAAAAAAAATATTTCTACTTACATATCGTTTGAAATGTTGAACGGATCCCGATCGGGAGACTTGGGAGGCGGAGGCGGAGTGTCTTCTTGCAAAACGTTAATAACTCCCGCTTTACCCAACAATATCTTGGATTTCTTCACGTGAGGGTGCGGAATCTTTACCTTCACCGGAGTGGCTTGTCCTACAAAATAAACCATAAGTAATTTTTTCCTCGACGAAAAAAATAAATTTACCTGCAACTTGTTTCGAGGGATCGATATCGTCGGGAATACCGAGAATAATATTCTCGTCGTTCGGATCCAACGTAAGGATGGACGGTTTCGGAACAGACTTCATATCCTCCGCGTCCCATATCACGTCGTCTTCCCACCTGCCATACACCAAATCCTCATTCTCCACGGGAAAAATCGAATACCAAGTGTCGTCCTGCTCCTGGTCCTGCCTCGGCTTATTCAATCTTTAAATTAACGAAAAAAAAAAAAATAAAACCTACAACCGTACAAGCACACGGTTTCGCTTACAATAATTGCGCCTTCGACTTCATGCCGGGCAACGGTGGGTTCGGCACCGGCTGCATCCGTACCGTCCCGCCCACTTTTCCTGGTTGACTGAAGGCCTGCGCCGTCCGATTTCCGCTGCTCGGCACCCAACCGGCTGCGTTTGTTTTGGAGTTCAATTTCTGCAACACCTGGGTTAGAGAAATAACAAAGCTGCAGTTTAAGCTGCATTTTAAGCCACCGTATCATCACCAAGAGGACTGTTATCTTTGACAAATTTAGACTTTGCAATGAACCCACACATTTTTAGGTTAAAAAATTCAGATTTCGATTTAGAGCAGCCTCTTTGACGCAAGCAAAAAAACAACAAAAACAACATTTGCTACACAGTAAAACGATCGAGATCGCATCGAAAAACACACGCATCGCAACGATAAGATATTCACCTTGTGTTTGATGTCGTTCCCGTCCCAGACGACGTCGTCCTCCCAGTGAAGTTGAGTGACCATTAAGAAGGCGTCGTCTGGTATGTCTTTGTCTTCGGTGGTATCGTCGAGATTATTGTTTTCTTTGTTCTCTTCTTCTGGCCTCTCTGGCGACTAAAAAAAAACGTATGTATAGTCCAGACGGTATCTGTTTCAGAGAGTCCATATTTGGGTGAATCGTATATCCACGGAGATTTTTGGCTTTATGGCTTTCAAATTTCACTAGGAATGAAAATTTTTCTATGCGCATAAAAAAACGGGGGCGTTTAAGGTTTCGGAATTTTAACATATTGTGCCGCCAAAAATTAAAAATATATAAAAATACTTTAAAATCATTCAAGTTTTTAATAAAAAGCGTTAACTATTTAAATTTACACGTTTCTAAAGGCCAAAAGGTTGCCTGCCTACATTTGATCCCCATTTAAAGCTACGCTCCTGCACATGTAAAAAAAAAAATATAGAAATTACATACCATTTCCTCTTTAACTTTGAACCCATAGTTAAAACCGTCTCCCGTTTCCGGAACCTCGAGCATATCGTACCAGATCTGCGCTGGCCCGAACCTCCAATCTGCCGCTTTCGGCCCAGTATCGTCTTTTTTCTCAGACTCCAGTTTGTTTTCTTCATTATGTGCCTCCACCGGTTTCAGGAATTTCTCCTATTACAAACAAAACCGTCACAAAAAACATTTTTAAACGCGTAATTCTCGGCACTTGCCTCATCATCGCTCTTAATCAACTGCGGGATCGGTTCCGCATAATCAAAGAACCAGCCTCGGTTTTTCGGCTTGTCATCGTCAGAATTCGAATCTGTATCGTGCTGGTTAGCGCTCTCTTTGTGTTTCCGTTTCTTCCTCTTCTTCCTCACGTTCTTCCAAATATTCGGCAAGCTACTAGGTTTGCCAGGTCCAAACAATCTAGAGAATCTTAGCACCTAAAAGATATTCACTAAGATCAGAATGGCTACATTTTAAGTTGTACCTTTCCATGTCGAAAATCTGGGAACAGCTCCGTTACATCCACGTTAGCATATTTCGAAGGCAACATAGCCGCCAGAGGCGTCTCTAGTTTCTTCTTTTCCGTATCTTCACATGTAGATTCTTTTTGCTCCTTACTAACAGGCGGTGGTGGTGGTGGAGGCATAAGTTCATCGTCTTTTTTGGAAACATTTTCATCATCAGCATCGTAATCCTCAGTGACTGTTCTGGGCTATAAAGTACATTGCTAGAGATCTTAACAAATGTGTTAAAAACGTAAATACCTCCTCTTCCGCCAACTCGGTGATGTCAAAGAAATCAACTGCCGATGGAGACTTACTGTCAACTGCAATGAGAGTCAACAAAAAGAACGTTACAACAAATGCTGCTTTACTTACCGTTAAAATTATCTAGATTTTGAGAATGATACCCTTCACTTTTAATTTCAATTTCCTCCTGTTTTAATGAAACGTTGCTTTCGAAACTACTACTTTGTGAAGAATCGTAATCACTGTCGATCACCTCCTCCTTTATTTTCTCGTCACCAATCAGATCTTTTAAAATTGATCCAAAGCCCAACCTAAAAAGGAGTATTTTTTCGCATTTCCTACAATATTGATAATAACAAACCACTTACTTTCCCAGAGAAGCAAGATGTTTCTGAGACTCCGAATCGAATACATCACTTTCAAGTTTACCGGATTCATCGATGTTACCAAATAGAAATCCAGTAAGATTGACGCAGTCCTCACTACTGTAGGTTTCATCCTCGCTATCGGCCATCGTTGATGATATTAAAAATAATTTATGCTCTAGCACTTAAAATTATGTAAATGTTCGGAAATTTAATATTACATATGTATACTTCATAAAATTATACAACTCTATACTTCCTTATAGTTTACAACAGTAAATATTAAATGTTTATGATGTATATAACGCGTATTTATTTGTAATTAACTGTTTAAACTTTTCTTGAAGACTGGTTTTTTCTTCGTTTAATAACAAAAAATTCGCCATTCCCTATCAAAAACAAACAATTGACAGTATGAAGCAGGCATGCAACCTAGGAAAAAAAATGTTTTTTGTTGTAGTCCTGTTTTCGCGAAGTGCATACTTCCTTTACTAGTATTAAGTAAATATATTACTATTTTCATTAAAAAAAAATGATAATCACATATTTTCATATAAAATGAAAACAGTACTTACAAATGCCAATTAATTTATGAATTTTCAAAATTACTTGTCTTGCCACAATAGAGAACTTCTATTCCATCGAAAATACGATCTCGAAAAATAGCCCAACTAAAATCTGGTATTAATGTTCTATGATATTTGGGGTTATGTTTCTCTATGTTGTGAGGTTAAATAATTCAAAAACTGGTTTTGAGACAACTATTAAAAAAAATCGAACATACTAATTGTAGATATGTCCAAAAGGAAACATGAAAACAAAGATGTTACTAATGAAGAGAAAAAATTAAAACCCAGCGGCCATTGGACGACGGGTCTCTTAAAAACTATAGAAGATCCGAAATACATTGTAAGTTCAGACGACTTAGTAACAGTTATAAAGGATGTATACCCTAAAGCGGAATTTCACTATTTGATACTCCCAAAAGAAGACATAAGTAGTTTGAAATCTGTGAAAAAGGACCACTTGCATTTATTGAATCACATGGAAGCTACTGCGAATAAATTGGTTGCGGAAGAGAAACACAAACATAGAAACTTTAAAATAAGCTATCACGCCGAGGCCAGTATGCTTCGACTTCACTTACACGTTATTAGCGATGACATGAACTCTCCCTGCGTAAAAACTAAAAAGCATTGGAATAGTTTCAATACCGACTTCTTTTTAAAATCGACAGGTGGATAGCTATAAACGTTCTCGCAATTTATTCAATTAATCCAATTTTAATTTTTAGACGTTATTGAAGGTTTGAAAGAAAACGGAAAAGTTATTTTACCAAGTAGAGACGAATGCAAAAAGTATATGGAAACGCCCCTGAAATGTCACAAATGCGAATACCTACCAAAGCACATGCCGGATTTGAAGAGACATATTTTAAAACACGTGGAAAAGTAATTTTTATTTATTGAACGGTATTTATTATTAAACGTTGATAAATTTGTCTAAAAGTGTTTTATTAATGACATGCGTACGAAATCAGTGGCGTCGCTAAAAACAATTTAACTACTGAAATAAACTTACCCTTTGTCTCGCTGTAATGGGAAATTTATAATATGGAAAAAACTTTCGGTTTGGGAGGAGGCTAATGGTATTTCTTAATCGTTCTGAAAAACTCAAAGAGGTATAATTAATTTACGGTTTTATTCGGTCTTTCGAGGAACAGGTAAAATACAACTTCGGGTCAATAAAATGAAGACGCTCTCTATATATTGTATTTTTAAGCAATAGTAATAATAAACACAAGCGACACATAAAAAAAATACTTCCTCATTTAATATACAGAAAATTACGGTACCTTTAAGATTATTTTACAAAACATATCCTTTTTAAAAAAAAGCCTATAATATACTTAATATAATCTGTATAATTAATAGTAACAAGCTCCTTAAAATTTTTAGCAAAACCTAAATACTTAAGATAATAAAAATATTTGCACATTTAGTAATCTCAGATTATAAAATCACATTTTGGTTATCATATGCTAGATATTACGTAAAACACCAATCGAAAATAGCGTACGCGTTTAATGAAGTGAACGTTTAACGATACGTACGCTATTTTTCTCGCGTGGAAGGAAGATTTAACGATAACGTGGTGAATAATTAATAAGACTCCTTAACTAGACAGTTGACCGATTCTCTTGTATCGAAAAACAAAAGACAGTTTATATTTTGTGTGACGGTAAGTTATTTCTTTTACGATCGGTCAATAACCTCAAAAATAATACGCTACGCCCCTACATAAAATTAATAAATAAGGTCAGGTAGGTTAATGTGATGATATGCTTAATAATATACTAAAATTAATAATACAACATAAACAATAATAGGGTAAGTAGGTAATGGTTAAAAATTCCAGTACGTCGAAAATATTGCCCCGGTTTCAAATTTATTCGCACGAAAAAGTCTCGGTAGACCTGTTACGGTTAACGTAAACGTGAGTATCACAGCAAAACTTTGCACGGGATAAAATTCTAGCGAATTTAACGGAACAAAAACAATAAACGTTCGAGCGAGACAATTTTTTAACATCTGTCTGTGTGAAAATGAAAATTCACCATGAGACCGCCGTACCAAAACGAAAGGAGATACATTACCTACGTACACAAAATTTAAATACAAACGGTGCTATAACAGATTCGCTAATTACATAACTTCACTTACAGACGTGTCATTTCGACGGGGTAACCGACTATTTCACAATGAATAGTCGTGGTCTAGTGTCGGATCCGCTCCCAGAGGGCGTGCCTCAGGGACGCCCTGGCAGGGCTCAATTCGCAAGGGCTGGGGGTGGGCGGACTGAAACCCTCGTCCGCGGACAAGGTCAAGTCCTCCTCTTCCGAACTTAACAATTGCTCCAGGGCAGCTGTCCCGTGGAAGCTCTACGGGGAAAGAAAACGAACGTTAGGTCTACGACGGGGCATTGGGTCGCAAATGTACAGCAAACGTTTGTTAGTGGTGGAAAGACGATTAGAAAAAGTACCTACAGGTGCTTATACAGGACGATACAAAGAAAGTAGGTCAAATTATTTACCATGGGTTCTTCGGGCAAGAATAATAGGACTTTCGTCGTGCAATTTCTCCATTTGTGCATCTCGTTTTCGGTACGTAGGGTTTTGAAATTAAAATTTGAGAGAACTTTATTAATAATTTCGTTGCTTTTTAAGATATTTCATTGAATTTTAGAATTCTACATAGACTTTAAATTTTTGTTGGAAACACTTTTTTTTTTGTCAAATACACTAATGCAAACAATTGAAGGGTCGAAAGAATTTCCGAAATTTTTCCGTGATCTTTGACAGACTGAATTTAAGTGAAAAATAGTCGTATCAAGAATTGAAAAAAAGCATTTTGAAGCTTTAAGATTCTAGTTTTTAGATTTTTCAGTTGAAAATTTTTAGGAGCTAAGGTTTTCATACAATTCTAAGAAATAGCGTGACAAAAAAATTTTGCAAATTGTTTTATTCACGGACGGAGTTCACAGAGTTGGAAAAATTTTTTTCAGCTAAACCATGCATGGACCAGATAGCTTGTTTATTGAGCTTTAATTTCCTTTTTTTTTAAATTTCGATACGATCATTATTCATCGAAATATTGGACTTTTAATGGAAAAGGATCCTTTAGTCTTCAATCATCGATATCTCGGTGACAAATGGTCGTACATAGAATTGAAGAGCAGTTTCGAAAACTGTAAAAAATTTCCTATAACATGATGCCGCAACTTTTCGGAATTTTTTTTTTTTTTATCTTTTACACGAATTTTAAAAAACAGGAAAAAAAGGGTAATTTATGGTTTTTTAGAAAATTGATGGCTTGAATTAGAAATATTCATGAAATGACTAATGTTAATCATCACTTTTACAGTTCGATATACCCAGAAGAACCCTGTGAAATTTCATCTCGATCTAACGAACCGTCTCTTTGTTTCAAACAGTAAAAAAAATTAAATGGTCATAATTTTTTAGCTTAAACACTTTATAATCATGATTAAAATGGAAAAACAATTTTTTTGAGGATTTCTCACATTGTTACCACAAATAACTTTTAAATTGATGGAAAAAAAATTATTTTTCGAATTTTCTTTTTTTTGGAAAACCTTCCGGACATGGAGAAAACAAAATCCAATTTCCAGCAAGATTCGGCTTTTCTGTCCTATGCTTCTGTTCATCAATTTTTAATCGAATTAAAATTAGTCGATGACCCAAACCAGATTTCGATCCCGATTCATACCGTTTTTTTGAGACAAATCTCTAATTAATTTTTGTGCAGTCTGTAAAATTACTTAAAAAACAGTTTTTTTCAAAACTACCCTTTTTCTTCTGAAAAAAATTTTTTTTTGTTTCATCAATTTAAGTGTTTGTGAGAACCTCAAAAAAATTTTTTTTTTCCATTTTCATAATGATTATGAAGTGTTTAAGCTCAAAAATCGTGACACTTTAATTTTTTCAAAAATTAAAGACTGAAAAATGAATGAAAATGAATGAAAAATTTGACTGAAACAAAGAGACGGTTCGTTAGATTGAGATGAAACTTCACAGGGTTCTTCTGGGTATATCGAACTGTAAAAGTCATGCTTAACGTTAGTGATTTCGTGAATATTTCTAATTTAGCCATCAGTTTTCTAAAAAACCATAAATTACCCTTTTTTTCCTGTTTTTTTAAATTCGTGTAAATGAAAACAAAAATTTTTCCGAAAAGTTGCGGCAGGATGTTATAGATATCGATGATTGAAGACAAAAGGATCATTTTCCATTAAAAGTCCAATATTTCGATGAATAATGGTCATATCGAAATTTAAAAACAGGAAATTAAAGCTGAATAAACAAGCTATCTGGTCCATGCAATGGCTTAGCTGAAAAAAATTTTCCAAGTCCGTGAACTCGGAAAAAAAATATGTAAAATTTGTTTGTCGCGCTATTTTTTAGAATTACATGATAACCGTAGCTCCTAAAAATTTTCGACCGAAAGATCTAAAAATTAGAATCTTAGAGCTTGAAAATGCTTGTTTTTTAATTCTCGATACGACCATTTTTCACTTAAATACAGTCTGTCAAAGATCACAGAAAAATTTCGGAAATTCTTTTGACCCTTTAATTGTTTGCATTAGTGTAGTCTGAACGGAGGAAAGGCTATTATAGTAACCACTATATTTTTTTACCTTCATTATTTTCAAATTGGAACCATATTTGATGCTAAGTACAAATAAATAATAAAAAATAATGAAATTAAAAAAAAAAAACAGGGGTTAAATGAAACTAAACAGCAAAATTAAAAAAGGCATAAAGAAAGTCCTATTATTTTCACCCGTAGAATCTGTGGTTAATAACTTGACCTACTTTATTGTTAGTAACCTGTACGTTTTTATATACAAAAAACCATAACAAAATAAGCACAATTATTTGTTAATGACGAAAAACATTGTTTATATTTAATTAATAAGACTGTGATTTATGCTTGAATCGATTTTTCATGAAATTAGCTGTGAAACTACAGATGTTCCTAAGAAATTGTTTCCGGAAACGCTTCTACTTACGACACACAGGGTGTAAAAAATTAATTAAAAAGATATTTATCAGTTTATAAGCTACAAAAACCAGTTAAGAAAATGAAGCCTTTCTGGGCACAAGTTTTTTTTGTTGGTTTGTAATGTAGAATCCGTTATTAAAACTTCGCCAAGTATCTTAGCTCCACCCTGTATAAACAAAACCAGATGGCTCTTTTATCCGATCTGTCACAATAAATCTTACAGACAGGCAAAGAACGAAACAAAGCCTTCTGGTTCAGTTATAATATTAGACCACACTTGAGATAAGTAAATTACTTAAGTATGCTCGTAAGTAACAATTTACTACCACCCATTAAACTCTAATTATACAGCAAATATACTGGAACCACGGTAAATAAGCTCTTTCTCTTTGTAATTGGGTAACTACCTGTATTACGACAAGATACAACATTAAAAAAATGTATAGTTTATCAATCGCACATAATTTCAATTAACATTTGTGAGTGCAAATTAAAAAATTAAGGCGGGCAAAACAAAACATTAGTGAACAGTGCAAAAGAAAAACCAATACGATTATAGTTCAGTGTTAGTTGTTAATAGTAAAATTGCACGCAGTTGTTAGTGAGAGGTCAGTAAAGTGCTATTAAAACTAACTTACGAAGAGCAAATATAGTTAAACTTGAACTAGATGTAGTGTCGATAGTCAGAAGTCGCCAACAACCATATTATTTAGCAAAGGAGATACCTAGATAAGCAAAAGTGATAAGCATGCCATAATAAAAAGTTTATGAGATCAACATGACGTTAATTATTACTACACAGGCGTTTTATTAATATCATTTTCCCTCTTTCGATATTTATGACATGATTTTTATGGCACCTATTACTTTTTAAACGATTTACAAAGTTCTATTTCATTACAAATTTAATAAAGTTTTATCCAATTTAAAAAGAATCTAAAGAAAAAAAGTTAATATTATGCAAATGAGAGAAAATTTCCCAACCAATAGTTTTTGTTCTAATTCTAACAATAAACACTAGCAAGCAGTCTGGTGTAAATAAACCTATAAGGAAATACAAATATTTACTGGTTCTACTTAAACAGATTGGCTTATCAATTTTCAGTAATTAAACAGTGGAACATGTATAAACAAATTGGTTTGTATAATCATCACTGGCAAATCAAAATATAAAAACCAATGACCTCTGGGAAGACATCGCGAGTGGGCGAGGAAAGTCGAACACAATTTTGCTATGTAATTTTTGGCAATATGACAAAACCGGCTATAAAAACTCGGTTCCAGATGTGCTGGTCCCTTTGTTCTTATTCCGATATATTTTCACTGCAACTGTTATAAATAAATTGTCGAAAACGCTTGCAATTAATAACGAAAAGGTAAATAAACTTCGAGATACATCTTTTTTAAGTAACACTTTTCTTATCTGTTATTGATAAAGAAAAATATACCAACAACCTCCCACATCAAATTAGATATCCCGTTTTATTGGGATTTTCAAACATTTAAATATAACCGTACGGTTGGTTCTCGCCGCAGTGAAGAATTATAATATATGCTCGGATAATTGCAGAATAAGAATTCTTTCCTAATACATATCATTATATTCCACAACAACAGTTAACTAACCGGACTGTAAACTTTAATTATGAAATTCAATAGAAGAGATTCAAGGTTGATGAAGCCTGGGAACTGAAGAGAGATAATAAACCAGAAATAATTTAAATGGATATTAAAGATGTTAATGTCGCATCAAAATAGAAATGCAATATTTTGCAGTTAATATACCAAGCTAACGATGTTTGCAACTAATTTCAACCAACAATTAAAGAATGTTCCTTGTTGTGCAACGAATTTATAATTTAATGCATAAAGTATGATGGAAATAAAGAAATTATACACTAATCCAAACAATTAAAGGGTCAAAAGAATTTCCGAAATTTTTCCGTGATTTTTGACAGCCTGTATTTAAGCGAAAAATTGTCGTATCTAGAATTAAAAAGAAAGCATTTTGAAGCTCTAAGATTCTAGTTTTTAGATCTTTCGGTCGAAAATTTTTACGGGCTACGGTTATCATGCAATTCTAAGAAATAGCGCGACAAAAAAATTTTGCAAAGAACCCTGTGAAGTTTCATCTCGATCTAGCGAACCGTTTCTTTGTTTCAAACAGTCAAGCTTTTGAAAAAAATTAAAGAGTCACGTTTTTTGAGCTTAAACAGTTCATAACTCATTAATAAAATCGAAAAAAAAAATGTTTTGAGGGTTTCTCACTATTTTACCGCAAATAACGTTTAAATTGATGAAAAAAAAATAATTTTTCGAAGAATTTTCCGAAAAAAGATTTTGTTTTTCATCAATTTAAATGTTTGCAGTAAAAATCTGAGAACCTCAAAAAATTTTTTTTTTCCACTTTAATCATGATTATGAAGTGTTTAAGCTAAAAAATAGTGACCCAGTCATTTCGGAAATTCTTTTCACCCTTTAATTGTTTGCATTAGTGTAGTTTTATAACAAAATTTACACAATACATTTGCAAATATAAATAACTATACAAGTATTTCATTTACAATTCAAAATTAAATCCGGAATAGATGAACGTACGGAAGTCATTTCAAACGGGTATTTTTTTGTTTTATTGAGCCAATCAGGATGTTGACAGTGACAAATTACATCTAGGGTTAATTTATGTGCATAATAAAGCCCTGCGCACACCCTACACCGTAATGAGGTCACATTATACTGATTAATTCTTTTCAATTTAATTAAATACATCTAAAAACAAAACGGAAGGCTTCGTTTATATGCAGATTTAAAAATTTTCCTAGGTATAAGAATGGTTCATATAAACACAAAAATTGCCAGTCTTTTTACTCATTTGAAGTTAAAAAAAAAACTATAACACTGATAAAATATTTGTTTTACAGACAATATTTCCTTGTAATTACATTCTGCGCAACCAGTCCACCATTCATACGACTTAATGTGCGTTATTCAACTTCAAAATAAACATAATTGGAAGGAAACTAGTTTCCTTTATTTATTTTAGAAGCACTAAAGGTGTAAGCTATAGCCACTTACTAAACAGCAGGTAGACAGGGAACTAACACACAAAAACACCTGTCAAGAGACAGGTGGTTACGCATACCACAAGGCATACCATCTGACTCCTAAACAGCCCTCATAAAAAATCATTGAACCCGGTAAAGTAATTTCTTGTAAAAAAATATGTCGTGGCTACCCTTAGAATCTGTGATCCATGTTCCACTGTATTTTTTTATAATTTCCAATAAGTTGACGATTAATTATGCCACAAAAAACTGCTTTTAAAGCTTAATTTAAAATTTATACAAACATTTTACATAATTATTAATTTTCATTGTCAGAAAAACAAAGATAAAGCTTAATGAAGAGGAGAAAATGCATTTTTATTACAGTTAAATGAATAACAGGGCATTTTTCTCAAGACTCGGATATAGTTATGTTTTCAACATACTTTAAACGGTTTTTTATTTGGGCCCATATGGTGCCTTAATCTAATACGATTTTTACTAGCATAATGAACCACTTTCTAAAAACCATGTGTTGCATATTAAGCGAGTGAAATTTAATTTACTAGATAGTTTATAATTAATAAGAAGTTTTGCCAGAAAAACACCGACAAATTTACAAATTTGGTGAATTTTAAAATTAAAATGATGTTATTTGTCATTTTAAATATTTTATTTAACAGTATTTCGGAATTAAAATACTAGATGGCAGCACTACCCTTAAAATCCTTGTCAACTTATCCATACTATAAACAATTGAACCAAGGATCTTATGGGAGTGACCATCTAGTGATTTTATTCCGAAACAATTCCTAGAGACCAAGAATTTTAAACCTATAGGGACACCTTTACGTCGATGCCAATTTACGAGACCCGTAACAAAACCAGCGGAAGCCTCACCTGCGAACGATGTACAGAGCTAGAATGAGACGGTGAGCTGTCCTGGCTGTGGTTGGACTCGATGTATGACTGAGTCATCACGTTCTGGCCCATTACCTGCCGCTTGGCAATCTCCTTCTTCTTACCTTCGGCGGCCGCTTTCATGGGGTCGTAGCTCTTCCGCCTCTTCCAATTCTGGAACTCCACCTCTCGGCTGGAAAGGGACGAGTTGCTGCGAGCACCTCCTTGTTTTTTCCCTAAGAGTCAGTAAAACGTGAGCTTCATAGCTGCCGGGCAATGTCCAAGCAAAAACCGATTAAATAACACGCAGAAATTTGACGAGAAATTAATTTTAACATAAAAAGAAAGTAGCAAACGGCCTCAATATAAGATATTAATTGATACGCGTTTTAATTACAGCAGATAACATTTTTTTTTAATGCAATGAATGACCTAAGAAGTAGGTATTTCAGAATCGTAAAATTTTATTTCTTTTAAAGGCAATGCCATATTAGACGGCTTCTCTATGAAAGTGAGAGCTTGAATATCCTTTCAAATATGCTGATTATCATCCGAAGGTGATTATATAAATAAACATAAAAAAATCAGTGACTCATAAAGGTGCTAAGTTTGAATTTGACCTGTAAGTTAAGTTATCGTAAAAACCAGGTTTTAATTTTCAACAGGAAATGCATGTTCATGTAAATTATTGAACATATTACCCAATTTTAAAGGAGGGATATTCAGACAGGCCATATTTTATTGTATTTTTACAAATAAGGATTTAATTTCGTGGTGTTGATTAATATTCAATCAAAGTGATTAAAAAAAGCATTACCATCACTGATTGCAAGTATTTTTTAATCGATAAAATTCTTTAGCAATACCTCCAGGTACTTCCTGTCATGTATCAAGGCCAAACAGTCAAATAAGGAACAATAAAAAAGTAGGATAGCCACTATAACTGTTACAACAACAGTTTCAAGAACATGAGAGTCACTTCGGAACCAACGAAAAAATATAATTAACTCGAAAACACCATTGTTTTCGTACAATAAATGATTTTACAGCGGCAGTTTTTGCAATTAAGTTTAAAACTGTTACCAGAATTGTTTTGACCTTCTGTAATTGTTTTAAATATGAAACCGTTTAAACGGGATAATTAGACCCAAATTTACATATTTGAAGAATTTAGAGAAAGAAATCTGAGTGAATCATGATTTCAGTACGATTGTAGATTTACAACGATTTAGAAAATTGACTTTCTAGCACATTGCTCCTATGCCACATTCTTTTGAACACACCAAATGTACATATATCTATTCTAATGATATATTTATCATTTGATTTATTTTCCACAATACCAAAATGTACAAAATTGAGCAACTAAAATGGTAATAAAACTCCTGTCAATAAGTTTACATAATCAAAAGCTTTTTGTAATGCAAATCCTGTTAAGTAAATGTGCAATTTGGACAGAAATTTTGGCGCAATTTCCTGTTGCATGTCATTAAACTAATCTAAATTTTATGCCAGACAACTAAGTACCATAAATCACTTTATGCTACCTTTGCCTGCCAACGTAATTTAACAATGAAGTTCCAAATTTGCACTAAATAAAATTGTACCTATACAAATTTGTGAGCTTAAATATCTAATAATCAAATAGTCAAGGTTATACGCAAATGTGTTTTGTAATCACGTCAAACAATATACAATGTAATGATATATCTACAAAAAAAGTCTTATATAAGTGATTCATCAAGAACAAACAAGAAATAATAATCCTTGTTACTGACAGTGATCAAATAGGTGACTCAGCACGGTATAGTACAGAAGCTTTCTACACACATGTAAGCGGCTGAATACCTGTACCAGACGGTTAGTCTTGCAGCGGATTTTAGTAAGATAACATATAAATACAACTTATCAAAGTTGGTTTAGTTTTATCTAAATAAAAACATATCAAATCACAGAATTGACAATTTAATCAAACCGATGTAATACTAAAATTTAAAAATCAACTATTTAAAAATTGTAGTTGTGATAAATAAAATATTGTTGTGGAATCTTTGCCAAACAAAAAACATGAAGATTAAACTTGTATTAAACGCAATAAATTCCAATCAGTTTTATCCTAGAAAATACCAATTTTAAAATTTAAATTTTATATGAGATAAGCCTCATTATTCCTAATCGTTAAGTAATAACTGCATGAAATTACAAACTTTCACCAAAATTTCCATACACAATGCAATGATGCAAGAACTACCGCTGAAGACAACCATTGTTCATTAAAAAAAAATTACCTTATTTCCTAAATGTTTAAGGTTAAATAAGAGACTCACACCTACGGTACTGTCTGTTGTGGTGATGACTAATTCCTTTGGTATCAATGATGAAACAAATAAACAAAAAAATGCATGCATATATCTTTGCGTTGGCACTCCCTGTTATTCCTGGCTGTAATGCCAAATAAAAGAAGAGTGAAGCGCGGATCTACTCAATATTTATCTATGCCTAACTCAGATCTAGGCTAATGAATAACTAAAATTCTTATTTCAGTTACTTATACACTTCGAATATTATTTCTCCTCAAAATAAACTGTAAAAGGCTGCGCTAAAAATCCGACAGGTCTGTTCCGGATCAAATCTGATCACCCTGTATACTAATAAAACAAATTAGACAAGTCATTTGTTTACATTTGTTCAAACCGTGACTAATCAACACATCATCTGCTATTATTGCGGGTAATTCTAATTACATGATTTGTGTGTGTTGGAAGACCGCCCGATAGACACTTACGATTTATTTCGGCCACATTTATGGAGTTTCAAGATTAACATTACCTGCACACCTCAGTAATGTGCGCCGATAAGTCCAGTGTGCGTCAAATCTTAATGATAATTGCCGACAGTCTTCAATTAAAAGTATCATTAATATTGCTTGCGGTGCCCGCTTCTTTTCCTGTGGTAAACCGGTCAAACCCGCAGATAATGTATGTAATCACCTTTATGAGTCACAGTTTCATGCTCTGGCGAAAAATGTTTTGTACAGGTTCAAAACAAGGTCAATGTCAACACTTAAATAACCAAGTTATGGCATTCGACCAGTAAATATTGACTTGAGGCTCATGCCTACGAGAGACCAACAAAAGTAATCAATTAAGGAAGTATTTCAAGTATTTGCTTTCTTTGCAAAAGGAAAGTTTTGATTTTTTTTTATACATCTAGTTGTAATAAAGTAGGATATTCTAAAACTGAAAGCTGTCCTCATTTATATATTGGAATTTTACAAATATCTACAAAAAGTATTAAATTATTAAGAAACTTTACGTTTAACATCCTTCATCTCAAAAAGGCCTTCAAAGACAGAGAAAAGTTTTTAAATTCGGACAAGGAAACCATTACATTTTTGATATACAGGGTGTCCCATTAATATCGCGAAAAAATTCAGGGGGATCTCTCTATCTCCGAAACGAAGCATTTTCAGACATAGGTTTATAGGAACTTTCTTTCTTATTTTTGGTCAAGGAAACTCCCCCTGAATTTTTTCGCTATATTTAAAATTCTTTAAATTTAAAGGCTATTAAAAACTTTTAATTTTGCAAATGGATACCGAAGATGAACATTTTATATTTGTGCAAATGCCCGAATTAGTGATTCGATTAATTGTGCTAAAGATTATAAAGACCCCACCTAAATATACATAGATATGCTTTTATAATCTATATCAAGTAAGTATTTAGTGTTTCAAAAGATTATTGGTTATCATCTATTCGAGCTTCGTCATATATTCGTAAATGACGAGAAACCAATAAAATCACAAATCAAATATTTACATATTTTCCAATTATTCCGTTTGATTTATGAAGATGACACTTAATTATTAAGTGCAACAAACGTTCGATCAACATTACAAATTATAAAAAATACAAATTTTGGTAAAACAGACTCACCACTGCCATCCTTTTTTAATCCCTTTGGCGTATTGTTCGTCAGCGGCGGTTTCGAAGACGTTCGCATACTAAATCTACCGCTGTCTGTCCTCGAGAAGACCTGCGGTCTGTTCGGATTCGATTTGGTCGCGCTACCCACTTTTGGCACACTTTTCACTTCCACTTTCGACGCGGGCGGCGGCGTTCCCCTCTTACTGATATTGAGCAAATACCTGCTCTGCACGTCGTTCGTCTTCATCGGTTTCCTGTCGACGGAAATCGCCCTCTCCTGCTTCATCTCGTGGTGGAAGGTCTTCCTCCGCATCTCCGGCGTATTCGGGCATTTCACCGGCGCGGGTTCGTTGTCTATTCGAGCTCGTCTCAAGCTGAAGGCCCTGTTGCATCTCGTGTTGGTGATGTTGGCCAAATCTTTTCGCTTCTGTAGGTTTTTCTCGAAGTCCTCCTCGGAACTGGACTCGGTATCGCCGAACTGCCCCCTGTCGCTCTTGCGGTGGTCGCCCACGCTCGGTCGTCTGTTCGATACGTAATTCGGTTTTATGCAAACAGTAGAGGAGCTCCTTTGGATGGAAGAGTTCCTCGTGAGGTTAGGCGAGTTACAGATGTTTGATTCCTTCTGAGGCAGGACAACGTTGGTGTTCTTTGGAGAGTGGATCTGGTTCTTTGTGGAGAAGCTACTCGATCTCTTGATCGGGGAGTTGTTGGGGGAGTTCTGTATCTTCTGGATCACTTTGTTCTGGGTGTATTGATTAAACAAATTCGTGTATGTTTGGTCAATACCTTGAAGGTTCTTGTTCTGAAAGTGTTCCAGTTTGTTAGAAATATTCATGGTTCTGTCGTCTAAAGAATTGTGTCTGGTGTGTGAAGCCTTCTGTTTCAGTAGATGTGCAGTGTTGTTCAATTGTATACCGTATTTTGCGTCGTAATCGCTGTCTGCGTCGCTGTCAAGGGACAGACGTTGCTGTAGCGAATTTATATAGTTCTGAGTCGGTTTCAAAATTAAATCGGTGTCCAGATTGCTGTCGCAAAATTCAATGTTCATCGAATTTGAACTATTACGGCTACGCGGTCTAGAAATCGTATGTATGGGAGACGGAATTTTTGTTGGTGACGACTTTCCGGAGTATCCCCCAACCACCGGTGGCAAATTAGACGTTTGACAACTCACGGGTGATATGTTGGACACTTTTTCGAACACTATATTAGCACTGACCACTCCGCTGGAATCCAGGGAGATATTGGGTTTCTTCACTTCGATACTTTGCACATTCACTATGTTCACGGTAAGTTTAGGATTATTCCGTTTCACTTCCGCCTCAAGCACCGGTTCCACGATACCATCGGTGTAATTTTTACCATCGATGTATGCTTGAACTTGCACTTCGGACTTCGAGAGACTGTATTTTCGTTCGAACTTCTTTTCGATTTTTGGTTTGAAAGCGCCGCTAGAGGTTACTGAAATAACCGAGCCGTGGTCGAAAGCTTGCTCTAAGCCATTATGCTTAGCTTTAGGACTAGGAAACATGATTTTCGTGAAAGTCTTGTTATGCACATCACACTCGCCGTTATTGAGAGTTTTGTCCTTGCCTTCTTCGGCATCCTGTGTAATGGACATGTTCTGCGTAGGGGACATTATAGGCGAAAGCACTTTTCCCGTAGACGGTTTCGGTTGGGAAGCAATAGAAGCAAGTTTATCAAATTTTCTTACGTTGGGGGACCTCGGCGATTGTAAACCGTTGTCAGAATCTAACAAATTCAATACTTGAACACCTTGGGTAACTTCGGTTTCCTTGGAAATAGGTTTATTTACAAACGTCGACGCATTCTGAAGTAAATGGTCTCTCATTGTTGACAGGCTCTTGACGTACTCCTCAGTTTTCTTCTGCACCGACACTTGTTCGATTTTGAAGTCTTTGTCTATGCTCATTCTGGCTTTCTGTTCCGCCGAGTAGTTGTCTGCGTCCAACGTGTAAGTTCCAGTGTCGCTCGCTGTGTCCGATTTGTCAAAGTCCACGTCGGCTCCATCTACGAATACATTATCTTTATCGTCATCTCCGATATACATCTTCTCGCATTCGGGACTGGAAAACTGTGGTTTCTTCACATTGGAGTTTGTAGATGTTTTGGACTGATCCCTAGGACTAAAAGGGCTTATCAGGTCTAACTCTGGACTAGAGACGTCTTTCAGTTCGATTTCTTCTGGGCTTGAAATGCTAGGCAAAGCGGGGTTTGGAAACGACTGGGTCATTCTATCCGAGGTGACATTTTTTAGAAACAAAGTTAATTCGCTACGCTTTAAGTTACTCTTTGAAGTTTTCGCTCGATCTGGTTTTTCGTCGGAGGAAAAATAACCCTCGGATTGGAAACTAGATTTCCTTGGTAAATTCCCAGTTAATGGATGTTGTTTTGCAGAAGGTGGTGTCGTAGTAGCTGTTGAATCTTCTAACTTTGACAGAGACTGGCCTCTTTTGTGTCTATTCTTTAGTTTTTCCACCAAAGCTTTTTGCCTCTGGGTGTCAACAGCCTTATTATTGCCAAAATCTATCGTAAAAGCTAAAGGTTTCGGGGACTCCGGGACGTTTGCGGAGGAAGATTCAGCGCCTTCTTCCATGACTCAACGCGAAAAAATTTGGCCGATCAACCTAAAAATACAAACAAAACTTATGCCAATTTTATCCTACGAGATTTCCCGACAGTTTAACCTACTTCAGACAGTACTCACTTTGATGAATGTTGGTTATAATTCAAAAACTGCACATTCCTTGCATTGAAGTTTTTGAAACTACAAAAAAAAACTAATTCCTGTGGCATTTAACTACATTTTCTCAGCTGTGAGCCGTGATACGATACGCGTATAAAGCAGCGACAGCAGCAGCGCAACTAACGCAAATCGCGGAACGAAAACTGACAGCACAGCGGCGGCGCACGGTACTACGAGAAATCTGTCAAATATAAATGTTTACACGATATATTCAAACGACTCTGCTTTGTACCATAGAACGTTTTCCATTACATTTTTTCCACAGTACATAAATCATGTTTTATTTTATCATAATGTCTATATTACTATTGAATAATGGGTTTATAATTACTTTCTATTTTCTAGATTAAGTCTAATGTATAAATAAATGAGATAAGTCGTTAAATATCACCGTTTTAATGCAAAATCTGGTTCGATATTTAAACATCTGATTAATGAAAAACTTTTTTCTCGAAAGTTCACTCTAAAGAACAGACATGGATAAAACCATAGGTATAATAGTTGAATTCATACTTGGTTGTTCATTAATAAAGTTAATTACATGTACTTACCTAATGTGTTTGTTATAAATTTACGCTTTATGATTTTCCAGTTCCTACTCATAAAAAAGCTTAAGTAATTATGTATACATATGCACGTATGATTCATATCGTAACAGAAAGTGGCTGATTTCTCTTTTGGGGGCTCATAAGCAAAACTTAAACGACAAAGTTTATTAAACAATCTAGACATTCTCGAATTACTCTCTTTAATTCCATCAGTGAACAAACATGGATGTACACTTACCTTTTTCACTTCTATTTTTGTGATTTTTAAAAATCTTATTAACTGTACAGTTGTCGAATGTGGATTTTATAACGGGAAAGCATTTCTTAGGAAGGAGTGGGAGAGGAACGGATCTAAAATAAATTATTTATTTTTACCACATTACCACATATGAATATTGTGACTTTACATCAGAATAATACAGAATTCGAATTTAAAGGAAAAAGTAGAACCCAAACTCCTTGTGAAATTCGTGGACATAAAAAACGGAATTAGAATTAGTATCACAGAAAACTCGGGAGGAATATTTTGTTCAGTCACACATCGTTTAAAATTAAATTTATTTATTCAGACGTATCGCCTTATTAAAGCTATGCGTGAACCTGTAGATCCCCAATTTAACACATAAGCTTATAAAATCTCCACTGCAGTTGTGAACGGTACAAAATTGGAAGGATTTGAACTCCTGCTCGTACAAAGCTTTAAAATTGTCCTCGAGGCTCCACTGGTTGCTGTGATCTTTCAAAAACTGATACAGCAGGTACAGAATTCTATCGGCGAGTCGAACGACAGCGTCGCTCGCGTACAGGGAATACGTAGAATCATCGCCGTATTTCTTATGCGACTCAGCCTCACCGTCACTCACGACCCACTCTGCTAATAGGTGCGACCTGCAAATCGCACAATCGGGTATTTCAAGTTTTTGAAGCAGATATCCCGACAAATATGCCGCCTCCTCGTGAAATCCCAAATTACTCATCACGTCAAATCTGAGATCGTCAAAGTAAATTTCCTTCATGCTCTCCCAACTATCGGAGTCCTCGTTGAATATATTTTCGAAAAATGCGCGTAACGAAGTTAAATTGTAGCAATTATCGGTCGTCCAGGGGTTTCCGTTGTCGTTTAGAATCTCACTCTTCAAAGCAGCCACGAACTGGTGACACGTGGGACTTTTATCGTCATCCCCGTATCGCGATATTCCTTTGAATAACTTTTCCAAAGGTTCCAAATTGAACCGGTCCAGAGGCAAATAGTTGAGGTAACCTATATGTTTCAAATGGCTCCAAAGGTAGAAAATAGACTCCATCGTCGTCTGCCAACCTTTCACGAACGAATATTCACTAGTAACGTCTTGTTCGGAGTTCAGGTCTATCAATTTCCATCTGTCGAATCGGGCCAACAAGGTAGACCAGAAGTGAAGGTGAGGAGAGTTCAGCGACAATGCGCAGCGGTACTTCTTGTAATGCAGAGGTTTCCGCTCCAAACTGCTCAACGAATCGAACAGCATGTCCATGGTTTCCACGAACTCTGCAGTGTTCATAGCTTCCCGAGGTAAGTCTCCGCAAGTAACGAACGTTTCGATGCCGGCGGCCACCGTATGGCTAAAAATAGCAGTCGCCGCCGTAATGTCCGACTTGTCGCTTGAACTTACGTCTCTGAAATACTGGTCTTTTAACTTAGAGAGCTGTTTGAACATTCTCTTCGACATGTCTAGGTTGTACGCAGACTCGATGTGTTCTAATTTCGCGGTTTTGCCCGCCTCTTGGTCGTATAGTATTTTGCATTTCGTTAGAGCGTTTCTAGTTTCCTTTAGAAGGTAGCGTACATCGAAAATGATACAAATTCGTTTACAGTTTACTATAAAATAAGACGAGTTTCTGCGTCTTTCGGTCCTCGCGGTGAGCAGCGCTAAAGCGTTTAGATTCGTGGCGTTTTGTTCGCACACCAAAGCCGTCACGTTTAAGTCCAAGGCCTGCAGGTATTTTATCAGTATAACGATGATATTCTGCATGGTTATATCTTTAAATGGGCCGCTCGAAAAATAGTACGAGACGACTTGCGTCCAGTTTTTCCGCAGGCCTCTGGCTGTGAATACCAGCACCCGGTCAGCCGGTTTCGCGGATCTCCCATAGTGTCCTAGATCTTCGTAACCGCACATGCATTGGTTTGTCTCGTCATAGTTTACGCCACACGTTAGCATCGTCTCGTCCATTAGCAACACGCAAGTTTGGCTCCCGACGTTCATTTTCCTTACGTCTAGTTTCATCTGGCCCAGCAACTGTTTGCTTATTCCCGTCTTAAACGGGATATTATACAAAATTTGCTTTAACTTTTTCACAGGCGGTAAATGGAAAAAAGAACACAAATACTTGTAAAGTTTTTCGTTCTTATTGTAGAAGGACAGTGCCATGAAGTGTTCTTCTTCGGTCCACTTTTTCACGTTCAACGGTGACACATGTCCCAGCTGGTACTGCAAAAATCCATTCGAAACGTAATCCAGTTCTCGATTAATATTCTTGAATTTGCCATCGTTATACAACCACACCAATTTTTGCAAAAGGTGTTTTTCGTTATGTAAAACGTTTTTCAGTCTTAGAAGGTTCAATGTGATCACCTGATGAACGTTCAGCATTGTCAATTTTTCTGAATCCGAGTCGACAATCGAAGAACTCGATTGGTCAAGAAGTCCTTCATTCTTATCGAAAAGAAATGCGTATTTACGATGTAAACTATTAGTATATTCTGGGATAGGTACTGTACCTGCCTTAACCTGAACTGCACTCTCATCCCCGTGATCTTGGTCGCCAATATTAAAAAGTCGAGACGGTCTTGTAGGTACTACTCCCGCTTTCAATCTCTGTCTGGTGTGGTTCGTGAAATCTTCGGCAGCGAAGTGGTCTTCGCACACAAAATAATTGACTGTCAGAACGTCGGGGTCTAAATTACAAACATTTTTCCACAACAGCGATACAGCTCCATTTCTAGGAAATCGGTGGAACCGTTTATTGTAGTAATCCTCTTTATAAATTGGCATGTAATATTTATTTTTACACTTGGGGTACCTGCAAGGGTATCTCGAGACTCCAATACGATCTCCGTCCATGATTAACCAAAATTTAACAGGTTCGCCAGTCGAAGGGTCTAAAATATAAATCAATCATGCTTTAAAAAAATGTTTGGTGTTAAATAATAAGGAAATTTACACTATCTAACTTATAAATTCAGAAGTATTAAATTAATTGTTAAAATTGTTATGAGAACATAACCTCACTAAAATTAAAGTAAATAAGTGCTATATTTATTTGTGTTTTTACCTAATTATAGTTTTATTACACAGAAATAAAAATCTGTATTTCTAAGATCCCTGATTTCTGTAATAAAATATAAAATAAAAATAATTGCTTATTTATGGACTTTAGAATTGTTAGGTTACCAAAAATAAAAATATACTGCAGCGTTGCCAAATTCTAAAAAGTATTTTACATGTTTCTGTAGTCTAGATCAAAGCCATGATTGTATTATTGATTTATACAAAAATTTTAATCAATTAAGAGTTTTTGTTAAGAAATTGAATAAAATTTCATTGCTACACAAAATTCGCATTTTTTTTTCACATTTGAAACAATCATAATGGCATCACGTTTGTATCCCATTGGATACAGGATACAAACGATACTTATCGTACATGTAGCAACGCTGCAATGTAATTAAATAGTAAACGAAACAATAGGCAACCCGTAATACAGACTGAATTGTAAGATAGGCAACCTAATACACATTCGATCACTCAAAAGGCCTACTCTCAATTTCTTCTTCTTCTTCTTTTTAATTTTATTTTGATATCGGCATTTTAATAAAATTTGTGTTAAAAGAACTAATATTGGTAAATTATTTACAATATTTAATAGAGTGAAAGATAGACAAACGTAATATTCCGAATTTTCTCTTCTTGCCGTTAGGGGTTGGGGTAATGATGAGCAAGGTAAAATGTATTATTTATTTTCCATTTATAATTTAACAAAATTATTACACCTATTATAATTGTCAAAACGTACACCTTTTTGGTCTCAACTGAAGTACCGTAAGTTTACAATATACACATTTTTAGCAGATGTTTTCAAAATAGAGGCACTTATAAATACGTAAAAATAAAACATTAATATTTTCAAAATACAATGTTTTTTAAATTTTTAATACATGTATATATCTTCGTATATTGCGTTCAAGCCTTTTTTTTTATATATCTTTTTCAGTTTAGTGAAATACTATAAAATTATAAGATCAGATCTACAAAATATCAACATTACTGATAAAATTATCATTTAGTTGTAAAAACAAAGCCAAAAAACAACAAACTATTTACAAATAATAAATAGTAGTATAGAATTTATAGATGTATATTTAAAATAAAAAAAAAACAAAAAAGCATAATAAAAAAATAATATTGTCATAAAATAAAATTATTAAAACTTAACACAGATTTTGTGATTTGAAAGCTTAAGGACAGACAAATTGTGCTTATTAAAGTTATTAACTACCCGTTTGAAAATGACGCCACTGGTAACCATGAGTAGTTATAATATCGACAGGTTCTTGTCTGTGTAAGGATTCATGATGTAAGAACTGGAAAAAAACACCAGATTATCGCTGTCACTTTTTAAAAACAAACTAAAAGGAATTAAAATACTGATTTAAAAAAGAAAAATGAAAATACTTCAGTGACGACGCCTCAAAATAAAAATAAAAACCTTGGAAGGGCAGAAAAATAAAATGTGAAAGGTGAGGCTGCGGACAATAAAAAGTTTTCAATCTAAACCGTTTATAGTTCTAACGAGAACTTTTGATTTTAGTACTTTAATAAGAGTTTTGTTTAGGGGAAAACCTTTTTTTTGTCCACCACTGTACACGGAGAAAACAAATAAGCCAAAAGTATTAATTGCATGCAAAACAAATTACTAACATTTCGATATTAATTAAAACAAGTTTTTACATAAAGCACCAAATTGTTCTCGATTGCACAGCCACACAAAAAAAAGAAAAGTTGTCTGTACTTTTCATGCGACATGTGTCATCTGTCACGGATCCGATGTCAGAATTGAACTGTCACATCACAGGAATTTCCTAACCTCAAAAAACGGGTAAAAAATTCACGAAAAAGTGCTAGAATAAGTACAAACATTTTTTTTTCTATATTCACATGCCCATTTAAACAGTTAAGACCACGCCGAATGTGAATTAGCCGTCAGAATTTATGGTTCTATTTGTAACCTCAAAAAAACGGGTCAATTAAGGTCATATTTCACGAATTTTCAAAAAATAACAAATTCGCGCCATATCTGGGGTACGGGGGTTTTCGTGGTCGCTGATCACGGAACCGAGGTCAATTTTGCAAAATTCAAGATGGCGGATCCAAAATAGCCAACAATTTTTTCAAATAATGACAGAAGAGCAGCAAATTTGGTATACGGGGGTTTTTGGGGTGGCTGGTTACGTGTTCGAGGTCAGAATTGCGAAATTTGTTTTGTAATATTTTACTTTATAACCTAAGTATGCAATCATGTGTTAACCTACTTTTTTTCGGCTATATCTTGTTCTTTTCTCTGTAAAAGATCTATTCACGGGTTGAATTTTGTAAATGTGATCTTGGATTCGTGATCAGTGACCTCGAAAACCCCCGTATAACAAATTTGGCTCGAATGTGATATTTTATGAAAATTTAGTCGGCCGCCATCTTGAATTTTTGCAAAATTGACCTCGGATCCGTGATCAGCGACCCCGAAAACCCCCGTATACCAAATTTGCTGCGATTCTGTTATTTTTTGAAAATTTGGTCAGCCATCTTGGATCCGCCATTTTGAATTTTGCAAAATTGATATCGGATACGTGATCAGCGACCCAGAAAACCCCCGTATACCAAATTTGGCGCGAATTTGTTATTTTTTGAAAATTCGTGATATCTGACCTTAATTGACCCGTTTTTTTAAGGTTAGAAAAAGAATCATCAATTCTGACTGCGGATTCACATTCATCGGGGTCTTAACCATATAAATGAACATCTGAATATAGAAAAAAAAATTGTATTTTTCCTATCACTTTTTCATGAATTTTTGCTATTTTTCACCTGATTTTTGAGGTTAGGATATTCCTGTGATGTGATAGCTCAATTCTGACACCGGATTTGTGATCAGGAGGCAAAAATACTACAGATAACATATGTCGCATGAAAATTTTAAAATTTAGTTTTCTTAGATGCTTTTTCGGTAGTATCGAACGTGAACTAAAGTGAAATCCTTATTAGTTGCAAAGGCAAATGTATGTTGATTTGCTTTGTCTTGAAATTTTAAATATTATCTCGGAACGGCATTTACTTCTTCCATACTAGTTATTACAAAATATGTCTGGAATATATCACATTACAAATATTTTGGAAAAAAAAAATAGTACCCAAGTGACTTGTACTTACCCTTAAAATCATCCGTTATTTACTACATACATTACTATATGCCGTAAGTATACATTTTCTTGAAAATGTTAAGTAACAGAACACAGCTACTTAAAATTAGGCGCTCTCTCCTTCAGCGAAGTATATTTTAACACTTTTACTTGCCAGTGTTGCGAGAAACAACTACTCCGAGAGCTATATGCCCTGACCGGCATTGAATTATACTCTCAACAGCTAGGATCCTTCGTCAGTTTAACCCATCAGGCACAGACTGGTTTCGGACTTATTAGTCCTCATCAGTGTGTCATATGTGGGACAACCGACGAACGAACGGATGTTGATGGAGCCATTTGCGCTCCCGCGTACAATATATTTAACACTGATGTTCGATATGAATTTAAAATAAGCTCGTCTAGTAGCAATCGCTTAACTAAGAAATTATCGATTTGCAATCTGCATAAACAAGTTAATTTTACGGCAACGATACACCAAAATTCTGCGAATAGAGCAAGCATAAAGATAGCGGTGCCAAAATAAAACATAATAAAATAAAATGTCAGCAACACACAGTCTTACCAGTTATTCACTCAAGACCGGAAGCATGGACCCATAGAAACAGAAATTATTAATCGGTATGTTCAAATTGTGATAATTTTATGGTTTCTAAAGTCTACACGATTTTTGAAATACTTACAGTTCCAGGTTATGGATCGTAGACGTGGGGCAGTTGTCGTTAACCTTCACATGGCAGTGTTTGTGACACTTTAGCAGGCAGTCGCGGCACTCGTAACCCTGCTTGCCGAACCTCCTCGCTATGCTCTTGGCGCACACCTGACATACCGTACCGCTGAAAAACGAAAAATACAATAGTAGTTCAAACGTACCGCTCTTCGAAAACTTATATTCCCGTTCGCGGTGGCCCAACTTACCCTTGTAGATGTTTTGCGACAAACGTGTGATCGTTGAATATGTGGAGTTTGGTGCCTTTTTTCCTCCACTTGGACTTCTGCGCCAAGGACATCGGGACTAGGTAGTGTTTCTTTATCCCGTTCTCTATCGTTTCCAGCACCAGGGTACTGGCTTCGTTGATGTACGTCCTGGTGGAAGCGCTGCTTAAACCGGAGGCCTCGGAAAGGCTGGACCTCCTGGACGTTTCGTCAATGGAACGTTGGCCGGGGACATTTAAACGGTAACCTAAAAAAAAAGAAGGTCCTTTCACGGTTTAAGGACGTTATTAGCATTACTTACTGTCATCGCTGTGTTGACCCCTGTCTGCCGAAATGGACCGATTCAGAGAATCGTCCCTTCCGATGTCGTTCTCCGGCCCAGCCGATTTCGAGCGGTTCTTCGATTTTCCAAGCCTTCTCTTTATGGTGCCGAAAAAGTCCCTGCGCTTCCTGGCCCTACCTCGAAACTCCAAATTGGACGAGTTGGATTGTAAGGTGCCGGTCGTGGAAAAATCGCCAGGCTGATTAACAAAAAATAAAGTGTAATGCGCAAGAACGCAATAAAACAAAAAAAATTTTACATTACCACCTTTAATGTAAAGCCTCATTCTGACGTGCTACTGTTTAGTGACATCACTACCAGTGGTGTGGTTACTTTAATTAAATAATTTTGGCAACTATTACAAAATCAATTATACTTTAAAACACAATTTTTTATTTAATTCTTGTGTATGATATAGCACTTTGTGTAATTCCAGCAACTTAAATCAAGAAATAAATTTGAGGTTACGTCCAAATAGCGAAAGGCCAGCGCAGTTTGAAAACTGTCGCACATACGAAGGAAACAATAAAACAAGACTAAAATTCATGTTTGTACCAAGAATCATCGTTTTAAAGAACAAAATATGTCACGTTCTTTTATTCAACGCAGATAGACCAATAATTATTAGTGGAATTCATCACAAAAAATATTGATTTGCAACATATACTTCCGAAGTGGCATCACGTTTGAAATATTGAGGCTTTATTCGTCCAAGTGGTAATGGTGGGGACAGAATAAATTAACCGACATATTTTTATTTTTCAATATCGGTTGTCCGCAATCTTAGTTTTCGGAAAGAATTTATAAACAAAATTCAATGTACTAATTGAAAATAATTTTTTTTTAATAAAATTGTATTTGGTAGCATGTTAAATATTAAAAAGGAAGATTAATTTTTAGTAAAATTTATGTAATCAGTAATGTTATAAAACACCATTCTTATAGAGTGTCTGTACGTATCTATAAAGGATTAGTGGAAAAGCAAAAAATAAAATATAATAATGCTACAATTTATTTATACTGGGTGAATCCATTTTAAGGTGCATCGTGGGATGTCGGTTACCTTTAAAAGGCACAAAATAGGTCGGGTTAGAGCAAAGTTTATTTTTTTACCGATAGACAGCAGTGGCAGCAGTATTTCCTTGTAGTCCAGGAAATATAGAGTTGGACGCGACTTTTTGTTTCGGCAAGCTGAATAGATGCTAAATATTATGTACAATAACATATTAGTTTCCGCAGTCATAAAAATGGGGGAACGATTGTTTACAGGGTGGTTAATTGTATAATTTTTACGTAAATCCACGTTTTTTGCTTTTTTTCGTTCATTTCCACGTGAAAACAGTAAAGTACTTTTTTCTTCGTCTTGAAAAGACCTACAAAACTAGCCCTCGAGCGTCAAAAAATATTGATTAGATCAAAAGTTATAAACAGAAGAAGTTTATTTATGACTCATAATAATACGTTGAAATTTATTATTTTTTTTAATTTCAAATTTGCAATCTGGAATTTTTTCTGTTTTTTAGCCTTAGTTGCAAAATGAAATATACGACGTACGAGCGTGATACAGTTATAACGAGCGTTCAAATAAAAACGTGGTCGAAATTGGCTCTGACACATTGGACGTAGGGCGTAGCTTATAGCGACCGACTTAACCTCATTTCTCAACGAGCTGTATAGCAGCTGTCAGTTTCAATAACAAAGCGGCGATACAGCGCTTTGCAGATGACGTTTAAGTTCATTTGCTAGACGCTACGCCCTACGTCCAAATTTTCAGAACCAACTTGACCACGTTTTTATTTGAACGCTCGTTATATTAAAGTTACAAAAAATCGTCAAGATTCATTGAAAAACAACGGAGTTGCAGACTGTCGAATATATTATTTTCAATTTCGTTTATTTAACGGCAGGACTACGAATATTATCATTTTCTTCGGACTCGCTGTCGTTCGCTTACCCCACCCTTCCGCCGCGCCACGGCTCGCCGAAAATCAAGCGACCCACCGACTTTTGACAATATTTCTTATGCACTTAACATACTTCCACAAATAAAATATTTTTAGCTGTACTCGGGTTGCCGGTTATGACAGTATTTTTTTTTTGCCGCTACCAACCTAATTTGTTTAACAATAGGTCGTCTTTGACAGTCTGTAACTACGTTGTTTTTCAACGAATCTCGACTAGTGCTGGCGAAAACCGGAAAAAAGTGAAACCGGTTAACCGGGTTCCGTAAAAACCGATTTCAGATAAAACCGGTTAGTCGAATAGTTGCTAAAACCGGTTATTCGAATAACCCGTTACTTGAATCGCCAAAACCGGATATCTGAAAATCGGTGCTTTACGAAGACAGACCCGCAGAAATTGTCTAAAAAAAAAGGTCTTTACAAAAATCTGGAAGTCAAATTTGTTTACGAAGAAATCTATCTCCAAAAAAAAAAAAAAAGCTCAATTGCAATTGGACAAATCGATGTCTAAAAAAAAAAAGAAAGTAGATCATCGAATAATCGGTTATTTGAATAATCGGTTATTTAAAGATTCGAATAACCGAATAACCAGTTTTCGGATATTTGAAGAATTGAATAACCGAATAACAGGTTTTCGGACTTCGTAAAAATCCGAATTATCCAAAAGTGGTTAAAAGACTATCCAAAACACCGATTTCAGTTATTCGTATTATTCGCGTCGTATATTTCATTTTTCAACTAAGGCTAAAAAATAAAAAAATATTCCAGGATGCAAATTTGAAATTAAAAAAAAAATGATAGATTTCAACGTTTTTTTATGAAATCTACCTTGAAAAAAATCAGTGCGATTGTGGAAGATGCTCGGGATCGTCCAGACTAATAATTAGTAAATTTTGCAGTTATGACAATTGCAGAATTGTGAATCCTGTTTAATGAAAATTGCCACCTTTTAGTGCTCTGTCTGTATCAGCACGTCATTTTATTATTTTTTCACAATTCCCGGAGAATTAGAAAAAAATACATGAAAATATATTTTTGGTTGCAAATTACTCGTCGTAAAAAACTGAAATGAGCATAGCTTTTAGTAATTTGAAAATTTTAAAAATCACCCCTTTTTAGGGGTTGAAAAAATGCCATAAATGAAGAATTTTAATATTACCAATCGATATAAAAACTATTAGCATGTGAATTATCTAAATATATTTTTTTTTGGAACTTTTACAATTATTTCCGATATTCTCTATTTTTGGGGACGATTCCACCCTCTGAGCGCGCTTAAGGGTGGATTTTATAATTCAACCCGCTTATTTCAGTCACGAATAAATCTTTCTTTGTATCGAGAAACACTCGTTAGAAAAATTCACATGCTAATAGTTTTTATATTTATTGGTAATGTTCAATAGGGGTGATTTTTGAAAATTTTCAAAAAACTGAAGCCAATGCTCGTCTTAATTTTTTACGACGAGTAATTTGAGACCAAAAACATATTTTTATCTATTTCCTTTAGTTCTCTGCGAATTGTGAAAAAACGGGCGATTTTTGTGGTCACTCTTTCGAGGCAAAAAAAACGTAGATAAAATTTCTCTTCGGCACATTATTTGTGATAAAATTTCACAACTTTGCCTTAGTCGGACCCACTTTGTACCTTTGAAGATAATACCAACATCTCTATAATGCAGTTAAAAAAAAACGGGAACGCTGGAATTGTGTAAAATTGTAACAATATAAACAAACACACGTAATTTGTAAATAAAAAAGAAAAATCAAAGCCAAACCTTAGCAGCCTCACTCTCGCTCGTTACATCCTTACTCTCCACATTGGCGGAGCCGTTGCGTTCGGCGGCTACGCCGCCGTTGGTTTGTCGGTTAACGTGTTCGGCGCTCGCCTCGGACTTCCCGTCCTCCTTCTCGTCTAAATTGATCTCGAACCGTTCCACCTCCTTCCAATTCCCGTCGCTTAATTCGACCTTCGGTTAATTGTGAAAAAGAAAAACAAACATAGCACGCAAACACTTACAAAGCGCGGGTTAGGTTATTTTAATTAGCAAAACCGTTTTAGGGTGTTAAACGAGACGGTACGTCGAGCGAAAAAATGTGTCCCTTACCTTCACGAGCCTTTGCGAAGGTTGCTAAAATAAACAAAGCAGGGTTAGTCGATGGGGCAACTGCGAAAACGAAACGGAGGGGGTTTCGAAGGTGGGTACTTACCCTCTGAACGCTGTGTATGACTAGGGTGCTCTTGTTCGCGTTGGCGATCCGCCTGTTCCTATCTAAGTCTCTCAGCGCCGTGTCGGATATATGGTTACCGTTTGTAAGGTTATCTGAAGCGAAACGTTAAAATTAATAACGTCGATAACACGAAACGTCGCATTTTACCGTTGTGGAACGTTGTAGTAGTGGTGGTTAACCTAACTCTATTCGGGGAGGGGGTGCGTATGCTTTCCTTAATCTTATAGGGTTGGTTACTGCCTACGTTGGGTATATCTGCACCCTCGATGAAGAGGAACTGAAAATTAATAAACGACGATACTTTTACGTCTCCCGCACACTTTCGTCGGTAACGAAAAATATTCGTTGAACAGTCGTTGAAATATTTACCTCTACGGTGAGGGTTCCGGAGACAGGGTCGCTTTCGTACGGTCGACTCTGCAGGGTAATGATCTGCCTCTGCGAGGGGTTTATTAATAATTCTTCGACGCCTACTATGCCTAGACCGAGGAATTTGTGAGGCTTCACAGAATGGTCGTACACTTCAAACAACAGTTCAGCAGTATTCGGCGATAAGTCACTGAAAAGTATTAGCCACGAATATAATACTTGTTGCACTACTGCCACCCACAGAGGGCAGACAATGTTTTAACTGCCAGTGTTGCGAGAAACACCTAGAGGAACAGCTAGGGTCGTTCGTCTCTAGGGAGTAGTTGTTTCTCGCAACACTGGCAATTAAAATATTGTCTTCGCCCTCTGTGGGTGGCAGTCGTAAATTTAACTACAAAACTTTTTTCCTCTTACATTTTTGTCTAAAATGAATAGTTGATAAGTTGTCGACGAGAAATCCAAGAAAAAAAAAATTAATTTTTTTGCTATTTTTTAAATACTTTTTTGCAATAACAATTAAGCCCACGTTTTTTTTTACTCGCATAGAAAAATTATCATTTCTGATGTTATTTAGAAGCCGTTAAAGCAAAAATTTCCGATCATATGCGTTTTACAAACCCGAAACAGATACCATCTGGACTAATAAGAGTGTTGATATACCAAGCATTTTCTTCAATTTTCTGCATTACAACGTTAAAATTACCGGTACGCATGGGAATTTAACGCGAAATAAACTGTAACTTAAACGGATGCTTACAAAAGAAAATGTTCGTCCCAGAAGGGCGAGTTTGTGTTCTTCTGCACAGACGTCTGGTTCTTCTGGGGTGGCTCGTCCATTTCGACGACACAGAATGGTTCAACACAGCCTTGCGAAGCACCTAGTTGCGCCGCGCGCACCACTTTTACTAAAAGTCGTTTCTCTCCTGGCGATTGCCCCAAGTTCACCGTCAGGTGGTTGGGGGTCGACGTGTAGGCATTCGACTGGAAAATTATTACAAATAAGTCCTGAAGGTGTCGACGAGGGAGAAAACGTTGCTTGTCACTTACCATGCTATCATAATGAACGGGCAGGATGTGTCCGGGAGTGGCGACATGTCTAACGAGCCTAGGGCACGTCGGATATTGTGCAAGGTTCAAATTAACTTCGGCGTTTCTAAGAGCCGTTATCAGAATTTCACTAGAAAAAAACACAAACAAATAATAAAAAACGTTTCTATGAATAGAATACCCTGAAAGGTAACGTGATCGTTACCTGATAACTTCCTGAAGTTGGGTTTCGTCCAAGTTATTCTTGATATTCCCGACAGGGGCCAACGCGATCTTAATTTCTGGCCATCCGTCGCACTTCACGTTGGCCTGGAGCTTTTCCGATACACAGAAGATATTCAGCCTGGCCCTGAAACGGTTCACGTTGACGCGGTAGTGAGAGGTCTCCACCTTCTCACCCTTCTGGCGGAAGCTCTTGAGCTGGAAGGCTGGGTAGGCTTCGCAGTCGCATGTTATGGTCTAAAAAAAGCGAGGAATTTTGTTAAATAAAAAAAATAACGACAAAGTTTTTTTCATAGACCCTCATTTTTGAGAGTGCCTAAAATTACTTGACTTCGACAAACTTTAAACACGATTAATTTTTAAATATGTTATTTAAAGAAGCGGCCCAAGTAAATATTTTTTGGCTAACGATGAAATACAGCAACTAGAGCCAGGTTTTGCCATCTCTCGTATCTGCAGTAATACGAAATTTTCGGTATCCCTAGATATAGCACCTCTTTTAACAGGTTTCAAAAAATAGACCAGTAATATGCGGATTACCTGTAAACACTATGTGGGTGTGGCATGTAGCCACGTAATGTACTTGGCACATGGTGTGAGAGGTTTTTCTGGCGACGTTTCAATATTGTTCATCTTTTCCTATAGGGTAAATCAACTAGACGAACATAAAAACAGTAAATATTACGTAACAACCGAATTATAGCACCAACATAGCGTTCTGTTTCATAATATGTAATAAAAAGATATAAAATATTATAATAGGCAAACAACTTACTACAATTCGCTTCAGATATGTTTTTACATCACACTTTGCACATAGTATGGGCCTGAGCGAAAAATTTTACATCCCTTAGGAGCGAAATCGTTGAAGTTTGATGACATTAAATTTCTTACGTACAAGTGTCATCAGTTACAAGTAGATTAGCCTATATGTATTTAAAAATTTTTAATTTAAATTTTGTGACAGAAGAAAGTCAAGCTACAAAGATGGGTTAAATATGCAGTCCACAATACACGCATTATTTATTTATTTATTTAGTGTTCTATGGCCGTGTTCTTTTATTCATCATTCCGATGTGATAAATTCCGTAGAGCCAATAAGAGATCAGAATTTTTTAAACAGACCAATCGTAATACATCGATGGAATTCATCGCATTATAACGAGGAATAAAGGAACACGGCCCATGTCTTCATAGTCTCAACCTATCACAGACAACCGTTCCAATATTTTATGTGTATTAGAGTGAAAGAAAATGCAGGACGTTTGTTGGGCATTAATTTTAGACTGTAGCTCATTTAAAACAAAACAGAAAACTGAGCTCGCTTAGATTAAAAATTTGACAGTTGTTTTGATAGCGTCTCCGTACTAACTGTTGCATATATTTTCTGAACGTTGAAATATCAATTTTTTGGCATATTTTCGTATCCAGTAACACCAGTATTAAAATTTGCAAGATATCCAGATTTGGGAATTGTCAAGATGACATTTCAATTAGAGAACAGCGACTATAATTTGAATAGGATTTTTCGTCTAGTTCATACGAATATCGCTTGTGACCCAATGGAAAAGATACAGCGGTTTTAGTGTAATTGATTAATGAAGGTAAATCATCTTCATTAAATAAAAGCCCAACACAGTTTTTGAAATTTCGAAACAGAATTTGCAAAAAAAATATTTTGGTTAGGTAACACTTCATTTATACCTTATTTTTTTATCTACATGTATGTAAAGGTTATTTTCTATTCTACCTTACACCTTACGCCACACTTTGTATAATATCAATCTGTTGAATCAATTTATGTCAAAACCTAGACAAAACCCATTTCTCAATCAGCCCCATTGCATAGTCTCTATTTTTCGCCGTGATGTAATTCTCACGCACGATTAACCTTTCACTTGATCATATTTAACATCAAATCAACGTTAACAGATTTTTAAATGGGCCCATTCATCGGTAGCACAAAGGGGCACTTAAAGCGACTCAGTAGCCTTATTTATTTACGAGCGTCTCAAATTCAAAGGAAAGACAAACACTACCGGCCCTTATACTCTGAGAGAAGTTTACGCTGATAATAATTAACACCAGAAGATTTATTACGTATCTAGTTATTTTTATTTGCGTGACAAAAAAAACGCATTTAATTTTATGCAACTGCCAAGACAGTAGCTTGGAAATATGAAACGTCAGTCTATCCGCAGCCCAATAATAAAAAATAGAAATAAAAATCAGATGGTTCCGACATTTTATGCCAATATGGTAAAAATATTATGTCATATGTCACTAAAATAATAATTACATAAGTTTATTGAAATATGACGAGCATTTAAATAACCAAAGCATATACTGGGTGTTATTTAAGTACGTGGCCAAATTTCAAGGGATGATTCTTTGAATGACGAAACGTTTATATAAACATACGAGTAGGTCCGGTAAAAAAAAATGTGCGCCGCTGACTTTCTTTAAACTTTTATATTTTTTACCCATTAAGATACTAAAAATACAACTTTTTTGTCTTTCCAATTTTTTTTGTATCTTGCTTCGTTTTTTTCGAGAAATAAAATAAAAATTATTTTAATGCATGTCTGTGAGCAACAAAAAAAAACGATATGAAAAAAAAAATAGTTTTTCATCGTTTGGTAGCTATAATTTTTATTTTTTTTTTCTCCAAAATGAAGCATGATGATACGAAAAGAATTCAAGACAAAAAGTTGTATTTTAGTTGCATTATGCGAAAAAAATTATAAAAGTTTTATTTTTAATATTGGTAAAGGTGGCCCCCGGAACGCCACTGGACTTAGTAATTTTGATCTAGTTACAGCTAATTAGCCCCTTTCTACCACAAGTAACACTGCCAAATTTCAGCAAAATCGGCTAGAGGATTATTAAGATTTAAAATCAAGTCAAACTTTAAAAAAAAAATCGTTTTTTTTTAAAGTTTGACTGTATCTTGAAAACGAACTATTACCGAACTTATTTCAATACAAACTTTCCGTTTTAGAATCACTTAAACAATCTCCCCTTGAAGTTTGGCGACTTACTTAAATAACACCCTGTGCTGAAGATAACATATTATAATATTATGTAAATCAACGGGTTCGACATCAATTATTATTATTAACATGTAATAGACAAACGACAAAAATAAGGAATGATACGGTACCTAATTAATTTCCTTAGTGTGCATGTTTATAAATAAATGATGACTTAATAAATGAACTCAGATAATTTATGACAGAAGAATACATGATAGATTATTATTTTAGGGATATTGAAGCAACTTCAACCATAAAACCTTGTATCTCTAAAAAAAATGTTGTTACTCCTACCGCTGAACTTTTAAATTTCGAACCACATTGTTTGTAAAACCAAATAGGTCCGAAACTAGTCACAAGAACTAAAATGTTAAAAAACTAAACTAAATGGTTTTAAAAAATCCTAAATTCTTAGGCGATTCTCAAAAGATTAACTTGGCGAAAATAGTCGTAGAGCAATGCAGAAAACAAGCAAATTGAAGTTTCTAGTTTCAGAATCTGAAAGTCAAAATTTTTATCTTTTATCGTTGACTGTCTTATTGTTCCTTTTTAAATCACAAAACGTATCCCTACGATTGCGTCGTCAGCATAACCTATTGCGGTCAACAAAACGGATCGTTAAAAAAGTCGTAAAACGATTATTGCATTCGAGCGTGCCAAGAATACGGTGCAACGGAATTGGACCAGGAAAGGAAACATTTTGAAATTTTTTAATTACTGGGCGTGATTTTATTGTTGGAAAGTCTTGGGAATGATAATACAAGAGGCGTCTCATCAAATGGGTCATGAAAAAAGTATAACGTCGTTGTTTTTTTATCAACAAATAGGTCAAAAATTCGTCATTTTCGTTCTACGCGTTATTGTAAAAAAAACTATTAATCTTGCAAAAAATCTTCAACAGACGATTTGATCTAGAGAAACTCATCTTTAACACGAGACTTTACAAGTTAAAATTGCTTTATAAACAAAACATTTATTGCAAAATTAAACGGAAAAAGTATTTTTTCTTTAATTCTTAATAACTTTTTAAATAATTAATAAAATCTTACCAAACTTTCCCAAAATGTGAGTTTTTATATCCTTAAGAGATGTGCAAAAGATGGGCTCAATCGGTTAAATAGTTTTTGCAAAATTACATTTAATTATATTAAATTTATTCTTTTTTAACTAGAGGATACTTGGTGTCCCTTCGAAGAAAATGAGCCCAAAAAGAATGTTTTAGTCATAACCCTATCCTCGGAATAGTCATTTGAAAATGGGCCTTGCAAAAATTGTATAAATAAATGGAATTTTGCAAAAATTATTTGACCGATCGAGCCCATCTTTTGCACATCTCTTAAGGATATAAAAACTCACATTTTAGGGAAAGTTTGGTAAGATTTTATGAATGAACTTTTTTGCTAAGACTAATAGTTTTTTTACAACAACGCGTAGAACGAAAAGTTACAAATTTTTGACCCATTTGTTGATAAAAAACAACGACGCTATACTTTTTTCATAACCCACTTGATGATACCTCTCTTGTATCATCATTCCCAAGACTTTCCAACAATAAAATTTTTACTCCTTAACAAGTAATATAAAAGCGCAGGCCCCCTAATTTGTTGGTTTTGGTTGTATGTTTAACCTTTCCCAACCCATCGATCGGAGCGGCGAAATAAATGAAATCATTCGTATTTTTACGTGTACGGGCACCGATTAGAGCGTTACATCATCTCCAAATTAAAAAGTATTACCACTGTGCTGACCCAGATCGCTGGAATGGAAAGAGCCGCCTTCGAATGTTGATTAAACCGTGACATTATCTCATGGTAGTTTCTGATTAGATAAATGGTATTTTTCGACCGTTTTGTTTTCTACGACGGCGTTACGTTATCCGTTCACAGCGCTCTACCGTCGAGGTTGGCCCTGACCAACTGACATTTGTCTCTGAAAAACGTCAGAATTCGAGTCTTCACTTATTTTCCCAATACCGAAGAGTTTATGGTGTTAAATTACATGATGCATAATACAAAATGGATAATTAAACGGTACTCAATATTTCGGTTTTAAGTTACTGCAAATATGACGATGAGCAGCTGACGATTGTACACCACTGACGTTTGAAATGTTTGAAAAGAAATACGCAAGACCGATTTTAACGAAAGCGGTAATCAAATCACAATGAATCCAAGGCAACAAAACAGCAATATGCATGTTAATTATTATATTTTTTGTGGGGTGATATAAATAGAATACTATTTGCTTTGTTCGGTCGCACTACTTTAACCTAATTTATGGAGAACTAACAGGTTTTAGCATATATCAATATCAATATTATGAAAGTTTCCTCGTGTATATTATGCACAAGTCGATGACGTAAGGTTCATAAATGTTGCACATGCAGTAATAGAGTAAATATAGAAAAAGATAAGACGGCGAATGCTTACTCACCACGTCATCCTTGGAATCCGCTTCGGCGAAGATATTCGTCAGGGTTGGGGAATGGGTTTCCGGCAGGATCCGGACCAACTCGACCCCGATCCCTTGCTGAAAAGAAAAATAAGTTTCCGATCAATGGAGCTGGAGCCGTTTGTTAAATTTTAAGTTATGAATAAATGTTCATAATACACCAGGAAAATTAGCGAAAATAAAAGAGAAACTCGAAAAAAGTCCTATCCGCTAGATTATTGTAAAATTGTCTAAAGGAACATAATACAAGACATCTCTCGTCTCGTGAGTCAAAAACTTTTATTAGCTAACTTTTCTATTTAAACAAATAAGTGAGGAAAACAGTTTTTTCACTTTGCAGGGAAAACCATCAATTTTAGCGAAAAGTGACTCTCAGACAGCTTATAGGGAGTAAAATTATCTACAAAATGAGACTGGTTAAATTAAAATCGGTTAATAAACAAAAAAGTTATTGCAAAAAAACAAGAAAAGTGCCCATTTTTTCATTTGTTTATAACTATCGCATTTATTGTTAAAATTTTATAAAACCTATGACAAGTTGAGGGTTTTGTCATACTTTAAAAGTGTGCCAAAAGTGGGCGCTGTAGGTGCAATAGTTTTCGCACAATTCTATTTGTTTATAGCGGAGGCTCCAAAAGTTATGAACTTTAAGTCTCTGTACAGACGTTAATTTTCAATCAAACATCTTAAAGACGTAATTAAGCGACCTATTAAAATATATCACCGTTTTTTTGACATTAACATTCTCAAATTGTGAATTAAAAAACCGTGCGTTTTTCGCTTATAAACAATTTGAATAACATTGTTGCTATTTATGCTATCTCACCGAAAATAGGTGCAATGGATAGGTGGCAAGAAAATACAGTTTTAAAATAAAAAAAGTACCCTCTACGACCAACAGGAGCCAAGATAAGAATTAAAAAAAAAAAAAATCGTAGCGCAATTGTTTATAAATACTAAGACTTGAATTTTTCGCAAAATAAAGTTTACGACGTCAACTACGATTTCCCGTGAATTGCATTGAAAAATGTGGAAAATTAACGACTCACGAGCCCTTTAAAGAGAAGGTACTCGCTAAGTAAACTGTCCGGCGGCCGGCGGCGTGGTGGTGGGGAAAGTGCGCGCTGTAAATTTTACAATATCTCTCTCGGCTTCTATTCATCGTAGAAACTTACTATCTGTTTTACACTGGGGTAGCTCGACGAAAAAATAACAATGTACATATTTACGAATTCGTAGAATAGCCCTGAACCCCAGAAAAAATGCATCTTTTATACTCAATTTTTTTTTAATTTACAAAAATGTCACAAAAATTATTGTTAAACGAAATATTAATTAAAATTTCAATTTCGGAGTTATTTTACTATTACTAAATAAATAAATGAAGCTATCGTTCATTTAAAAAGTTATTTCTTTTACATATTAAGGCAAAGTAAACTTGTTTTTTCAATATTTTGTTAGCTATTTAATTACGATTTAAATGTAAAATTAAAGTAAAAATTCATAAATTATTTTCAAATTATTATTTCTCATAAAAATAGAAAAAATTTTAAATTTTAAATTGTATTATATTGCATTATTTATATCTATTATTGAAAATGGTTGTGATTAATATTTTTTGAATTAATTTTGATTATGTTTATAAAATTAGTAATAAATATAATAAAAAAACTTTATATATTAAAATTTCAAGAAGTTAAAATTGTAATTTTATCGACCGCATTATTTTTATTAATATTTTTTAATTTTGAGAATTTTGCAATAAATTCAAATGCTTTTTATTCTTTTTTAAATCTTTTAACAATAAATAATAATTTGAAAATAATTTGTGAATTTTTACTTTAATTTTACATTTAAATCGTAATTAAATAGCTAACAAAATATTGAAAAAACAAGTTTACTTTGCCTTAATATGTAAAAAAAATAACTTTTTAAATGAACGATAGCTTCATTTATTTATTTAATAATAGTAAAATAATTCCGAAATTGAAATTTTAATTAATATTTCGTTTAACAATAATTTTTGTGACATTTTTGTAAATTAAAAAAAATTAAGTATAAAAGATGCATTTTTTCTGGGGTTCAGGGCTATTCTACGAATTCGTAAATATGCCAATTGTTATATTTTCGACGAGCTACCCCAGTTTAAAAAAAATAAGTTTCTACGATGAATAGAAGCCGAGATATTGCAAAATTTACAGCGCGCACTTATTTGAACTTTGGATTTAACTTTTCTCGCGCGCGCGACCGCTTGGACGAGCTTCCCCCACCACCACGCCGCCGGCCGCCGGACAGTTTACTTAGCGAGTACCTTCTCTTTAAAGGGCTCGTGAGTCGTTAATTTTCCACATTTTTCAATGCAATTCACGGGAAATCGTAGTTTACGTCGTAAACTTTATTTTGCGAAAAATTCAAGTCTTAATATTTATAAACAATTGCGCTACGATTTAAAAAAAAATTCTTATCTTGGCTCCTGTTGGTCGTAGAGGGTACTTTTTTTATTTTAAAACTGTATTTTTTTGCCAGCTATCCATTGCATCTATTTTCGGTGAGATAGCATAAATAGCAACAATGTTATTCAAATTGTTTATAAGCGAAAAACGCACGGTTTTTTAATGCACAATTTGAGAATGTTAATGTCAAAAAAACGGTGATATTTTTTAATAGGTCGCTTAATTACGTCTTTAAGATTACAATGACGCTTTCAGAATCATGTTTGGTTGAAAATTAACGCCTGTACAGAGGCTTAAAGTTCATAACTTTTGGAGCCTCCGCTATAAACAAATAGAATTGTGCGAAAACTATTGCACCTACAGCGCCCACTTTTGGCCCACTTTTAAAGTATGACAAAACCCTCAACTTGTCATAGGTTTTATAAAATTTTAACAATAAATGCGATAGTTATAAACAAATTAAAAAATGGGCACTCTTCTAGTTTATTTGCAATAACTTTTTTGTTTATTAACCGATTTTAATTGAACAAGTCTCATTTCGTAGATAATTTTATTCCCTACAAGCTGTCTGAGAGTCACTTTTCGCTAAAATTGATGGTTTTCCCAGCAAAGTGAAAAAACTGTTTTCCTCACTTAATTGTTTAAATATAAAAGTTAGCTATTAAAATATTTTGACTCACGAGATGAGAGATGTCTTGTATTATGTTCCTTTAGGCAATCTTATCGCGGATAGGAATTTTTTCGAGTGTCTCTTTTTTTTTCGCTAATTTTCATGGTCTATTGGACGCGACCGCGTCGCTCATCGCCACGTAAATAAACAGAAGGTGAGATCATTCGGTAACCACGTCACCTAGCCAATTACATCATCGATTACTTCACCGAAGCGGTCCACTGGGTTACGGCATGGCGCCGCAGTCGCAGCAATAAAACAAAAAAAAATGACGGAGTAGGACGGGCCCCTGCGCACGCTTGGATCTGGCGCCGGCAGTCCCGCAGGAATTAAATGATTTTGAAGAGTCGCAGTTGTCGCACTTTCAGATGGAACGAGGTTTGTCGAGAAAAATTACCTCGTGATGTAACATAACCCCAAACATGGCGAAAGATTGCGGTTTTGAGGTACACTTTCTTAGATCTGAAGATTAAAAAACTGAATCTCGAATTTTGTCGTTCCAGAAAGGACACGTCATTATGAAAAAGGTGTGCTAGTTTACGATTTGTCTGCTTCCTGCTACTTCCCTGTAGGTTGTATAATATATAAATGTAATAAAAGGTCGTGCTATCTCAGGAAACGGAATTGTTTGGTTAAGGTGGTACAATACAGGATATACAGAAAACAGACTAGCAAAAATATGATAAAATTCGCGCCCGAATTCTAGGAAGACTCAACCAAAATCCAAATATTTCAAGTACGGGATCCCTACGTGCTAAAAATACACCGAAACGGAATGTCAGTTTATCTCTTTTTCAAATATAACCTCTGTAGAGTTGTGGACCCGTCAAAATATATTCAAAGATCACCCGGTGAATTACTAGACCGCGTTAATATATGCAATCTGCATTGCCTACGAAACTCGCCGAAATTATCCGGTTTCATTCTCAAATAATATTAGACGATGCAGAAAACGGCGAGCCGAGACAAAAGCCTTGGCAAAGTGACAAAATCGAAACTGCGGCACGCAAGACAGATGACTGCCGGCCTGGCCAGAGAAACTCCCTTTATTCCAGCGGGCTGTGCGAAATGCGAACCCGAACATAAACATGGCAAATGGGCAGCACGTGAACTAATATTCCAGATATTTTTTGTAGAGACGATCCATTTTTCGTAAGGAGAAAGCTCTGGAAATATGTATATGGAGGACCGCACCGTTCTAGGTCGAAAAATAAAAATTTTAAGGGCTGTTCGCCAATTTCAAAAGTCACGTGACTTAAAACGTGCCCTAACAAAGCCCCTCCGTATCTTTTTAACCGTTGAAAATATCGGAATACTAACTCTGGCATCCCAGCAAACCAAACCGCACGGAAGGATGTATGTAGTGTCGAGAATGAATTCGTTTTTAAATGAATGTGAGTGTTGGGTTTACGAAATAAGTATATTTCGTAAAGTTTTATTTAAATTAATTTCAATTGTTTTCCAAAGGAACATTTATATTGAAAGGTTTATCAAAAAACGATACAAGAGTTAAATGTGTATGTAATTGATTTGAAAAATTGTTAGAGCATTATTAAATTAGAGGGTGGAAATTGGAGATAGGGGTGGAAATTGGAGATAGGGGTGAAAATGCACCCCTTTAAGTTTTTTATTTGTAGCTCGAAAATGAAGTAAAATTTCGGTATAGTTTATAGGAAAAATTATTTAGGGAATTGAATTTCCCATCGAAATGGCTTATTTAAAAAATTAAAAGGAAAATTTTATGCAAAAAATCGTTAATAAACAATTAAAAAAAAGCAAAAAATTCGAACTTTTTATTTTTTTTGTACTTTTTTGCCTCTAGTTTTTTTTTCTTGAGTAAAGATAGGTATAGGCGTTGCTTCATAGAAAAATAAGTAGATAAAATTTCCTTCAAAATAAGAAGTTGTAAAGTATTTTTCAATGAAAATTGGTCGATATATAGGCCGGTCAAACTTACAATTAGCCAATTTTTTTATTTTCGCCGCGTTTAGCCTCATACGTTTTAATTCTCAGTTTTTGCAAAAAATGAAGGATTTGTTCAAGGATTTTCATCACATAACTTGATCGAAGCGTCATTAAAAATGAAAAAAGCGAGGGGTGCTATTAAATTAGAGGGTTGAAATTGAAGATAGGGGTGAAAATGCACTTTTGCAGTCTTTTAAATATAGCACGAAAACGAAGCTAAATTTCAGTATACTTTATAAGAAAAATTTTGTAGAGAATTGATTTTCCCATCGAAAAGGCTTATTTAAAAAATTTAAAAGAAAAAAACATTTTTTTGTTTTTTTTTTACTTTTTTGACTTTGAAGTTGTGAAAATCTTTATTTATTATTAACAAATAAAACTTTTGAAATAATTTTTTATTAAGTAAAAAACCAGTTTTTTGTAAAAATAATAATTATAATCATTATTATGTTAAAAACAACGAAAATCTAAAAAATATTTAAGTTTGAGCGGTTATAACTCAGTCAATAGTTATTAGTCCAAAAACTTTTGAAAACGCATCATTTTAAAGGGAATATCATCTCTCAGCAATTTTCTTTGCCTACTTCTACTAAAAATCTTATTTTTTTCTTTTTTTAAATCTGTTTATTAACGATTTTTTACATAAATTAATTCTTTTAAATTTTTTAAATAAGCCATTTCGATGAGAAATTCAATTCTCTACAAATTGTTTCCAATGAACTATATCGAAATTTTGCTTCGTTTTCGAGCTACAATTAAAAAACTGAAAGGGGTGCATTTTCACACCTATCTCCAACTTCCACCCTCTAATTTAATAGCACTTCGCGGTTTTTTCATCTAAAACGACACTTTGAACGATTCATGCAATAAAATTGCTTGAACATTCCTTTTAACCCTATTTTTTGGATATAATCAATAGCCTGTTTGCAGCACAGACACAGACGCTCGCTAATTGCAACACGTTTGTAAATAGAAACTTTATCCATGGTGTTTATTTGGGTGATGGTATAAAAATGTAACTTCGAAGACGCAATATCTAGGTAAAGGAGGTAGCGACGAAGTAGGTAGTTCGATGCATCGAAAGTTCATTTAATGCAGTAAATATTCAAATAATGTTATTTTTGTATACGTGACATACTTTCAATGGAAAATCAAAAATGAAGCGGCGAATTCCTTGCCCATATTCGAGAATGTTTTGATTTTCATGTAACAGGGTGTATGTCAAAAATATTAATGTTTTTTTAAAGCCGTTCGTAAAAAAATGTATGCAGATTTTCTAACAGAGATCAGTGTAGAAACTGATACTAGTATAGTGAAGGCTATCACCCAGAAGATTAAACATTTCTTTTTAAAATTCTTGATGATTTAATAAAGAATTTTGAGCAAAAGAAATCATGTACATTCTTTTGTAAAACGAACAGATCTAGAGTTATATTTTTAATAAAATGTGAAATTTTTTTACATGACAGTAATTTTTGTTGGTATTCAGTGGCATTGGGACCCTTAGGTCAACATCCTGGACTTGGAAACCACTCTGTATAATAAATATCATGAATTATAAATGATAACCATTTTTCAAAAAGTTATGATATATATCGTATATTTAACGATTTACATGAACTTGCTAACATGGAAAGTTTGTCGTGTTATTAAAAATTGTTTTTAAAATGTACGCAAACATATGTGACCTTCGTAGTGGAAACTAAACATTTATTTTTCATGCAAACTGGCTGATATTGTGGCTTACATCAATATTACGGTTTCAGTTCCTTTGATTTATCTAAACCAGTGTAAAATAAGAACATTTTTTAAAGCAATTAATTTTTCGATTTTGATCAATCACTCGTTAACGATTACATACATACATATATATTTCAATATTAATACAGTGAAGTTCTCTTGATCGGTTTCAATTATAAAAAATGATGTTAATGATAGATGTGTTTGTTTTCGTAAAAATTATTAATTTTTTCAGTGCTTTGAAAAGAAAACACACGACTATTATCTTCTTTAAACCAAATTTTAACACTCCAAATAAAGTTTCGTTGACAATAACAAAGTTCAAACGCTTAATAAAAATGCACTTTTCGCATGAAACAAAGCCAGATGAAAATGGTAGTATTAACTATATAAAATTTCACATTGTTAATGAAAATTTAACTGATGAACCGTCACATTTTGTTTGTTCGGAATATGATATGGATGTTTCAGTTTCAAAGCACTCCTTGTAAAAATGAATAATCTGGTCCTGGACAAAAACAAAGACGCAAACCATATCAGCGGAATCAGAAAAGTGCCCTGAATTAAAAATTTCTTAAAAAAACCTTCAAAATCAAGAAAATTATAATGAATATAATACAATTAAGAACATCCTACATAATTATTGTAGTCTGGTTGTCTGAATATAGAATCAACGTATCGTTGTTCATGAAACCGGTAGCAGAGAGAATATTTAGAATTTTGTTGTTGGTTTTTGTCAAATATTACGCGAGGAAACTGTACCTTGTTAATTTTAATGTCTTCAATGGTTGTTTAGCAGGTAATTATAACGAGCGTTCAAATAAAAACGTGGTCAAGTTGGTTCTGAAAATTTGGACGTAGGGCGTAGCGTATAGCAAATGAACTTAAACGTCATCTGTCAAAGCGCTATATCGCCGCTATCAATTTGAATATTTTCGTTTTAAAAAGCGTTTAAAATGGTGTTTTCTCAAGAACAAAAAGTGTTTATCATAGAGTCCTACTTTAGAAATGGACGCAAGATTGATGGAATATGGAAGTATTCTATTGAGGAATGTTCCATAGAATTTCAAAATCAATTTCCCGGTGTTGTTGAGTACAAAATTTTTCAAAGTGCATTTCAGCGTTGTGTTAATGTTTTTCGTGAAACGGGCAGTGTAACAAGAAAATAATGAAGCGGCCGACCTAAAAAGCGGACCGAAGAAATAAAAGAAAATGTTCAACAAATAATGGAAAATGCGCCAAGAACTTCTGTACGTGGTTTACCACAAATGGTGGGAGTATCAGTCGGTACCTGCCACACAGTGTTAAAAAAAGATTTGCGTTTGTTCTCCTATCGTTTAACTTGTCAGCAAGAACTTCATGAAGTTGATTTTCCGCGAAGGGCTGTATTTTGTGAATGGTTTTTAAACAACTACGGTGAACTTCATAATATCACCTTTTTTTTCTGATGAAGCCTGGTTTCATTTAAGTGGTTACGTAAACTCACAGAATATGAGAATGTGGTCTTCTGAAAAACCAGATAACTTTTTTGTCGAGGGCCCTCTACACGCTCAAAAAATTGGAGTTTGGTGTGCTCTCAATCGAAGGAGGATTTATGGACCTATTATTTTTAATGGTACTCTTACTGCGCAAAGGGTATAGAGAAGAAATTATCGCTCCTTTTGTTAACCAGCTGGAAGAAAACGAAATTACAAACTTTTACTTTCAACAAGATGGCGCAAGGGCACATACGGCAGGCGAGACGATGAATATGTTGAGGGAAGTTTTCCAAAATCGACTAATAAGTCTCAATGCTGAACATGAATTTCCACCGAGGTCATGTGATATTATGCCGTGTGATTTCTTTTTGTGGCCTTACCTTAAACACACTATTGTTGAACTGCCTATTCCTGATTTAAACCATCTGCAGGCTCGACTTATAGACAAGATCCGTGAAATTAACAATACCCCGAGCATCTTAGAAAATGTCTTTAATTCTTTGAGGAACAGGTGTGAAAAGTGCTTGGAACAAGGAGGGGGACACTTTCCGCAGCTCCTTTAATTGCTTGTTATTGTTATCACGATTATTCTTTAAAATAAAGTCATTAACGTTATTGAAACTGACAGCTGCTATACAGTTCGTTGAGAAATGAGGTTAAGTTGGTCGCTATAAGCTACTCCCTAAGTCCAACGTGTCAGAGCCAACTTCGACCACGTTTTTATTTGAACGCTCGTTATTTCACTTTGAAGGTTCATGGATGTTTTTTTCGGTTGAATCGACGTTACAACAAAAAAAGTAAAACATCGCGACGTCACGAGTGACGTCACCATCGCGTATGTTTCCATGAATCACCGGCAGCGCCCCCCTAACCTACCACTCACCTCGGCCACGGACTTCTTGGTGTACTCGTTCAGCGCAGCTATCCAGACGGCCAGCAGCTCGTTGACGATGACGAAGTCGTTGTACAACCACTGCAACACGTCGTTCACCCACAAAACACACACGTTATCGGGCCCGGTGCACTGGGGGGCCGGCACGAACTTGGGCTTCCTCACCTCGGGCGCGGGACTCTGCCTGGTGAGCCTCTTCCTCACGGGGGGAGTGGGCGGCACGTAGCCCCCCGCCGCCTTGCCCAGCGGGGCGATCTTCTTGGGGGCCTTGTCCGCGACTGCGGCGGCTGCGTCGACGTTGTCGGTCGTCTTGCTCAGGGGGGCCTCCGTCAGCCTGGCCCTGGCCTCGCCCGAGGTCGATTTCGCCTGGAACTTGGCGTAGACCAGCTTGCCGAGCCACAGGACGAAGAGCGCGGCCAGGATCCAGCCGAATATGAACATGGCGAGGGTGTCCATGGTGGTGTCACCGGAACCGTCGAACGTGCAGATCAAGTCCTCGACCACTTCCGCTAGATCCATCTCAAGGCGGCCATATTTCCTTTGATCGTTTCGGTTCCCTCAGGCCATGCGGTTCTCTGAAAAAGTTTAAAGTTACTAGGCGATCGTCTGCCGACTAAAAATAGAGCCTCCCAGAGACCTGCTCGATTATAAATATCTCCGCTCCACTTTTCGAGCGCCGCGCGTTTGCCGTCGCGGTTTTGCGAAAGTCCCACGGAAGGATTTTGGATTTTGCGCGCATCAAAAGGGAAAAATTACCTATAGTCCAAGCATTATATGCTTACAGAAATTATTACCTGGACAAAAAAAATATGATCGTATAGAAAATTAAATTTTAAATTGAGTTTCTTATTCTTTAAACTCGATCCAATATGGCGAACATGGTTAAAAAAAATCGCAAAGTTGAAAAAAACGGTTTTTCTAAAATAACTAAAAAAATATAGCACGGATTGAAAAATTTTAAATGAGAAAGTTGTAGGTTTTAAAAAGATCTATCGACTGATTTTTTGAAAGTATCGATTGCTTTGTTACTTTTCGAGATATATCGAAAAAACCGTTAAAAATCTTCTCTTTTCTCTTCTTCTATAACTCGTTTACATTTACGTGCCCATATTTGCTATTTACTGCAAGCATAGCCCGCGGCAAGCCAAAAAAGTACATTTTTGAAAAATTTAAAAATATTAATTATTTTTCGAGATATATCGATTTTTTGAAAAAAAGGCGCTCTCGAAAATTGGCTAGATCTTCTCAGCGGATAGCCCTACAGTAACGATTTTCGGTTTATTTTCTTCGTAAAGAGTTATATTATCATGCTGTTAAAAAATGTTGACGATTTTATTAATTTTAAGGATCAAAAAATGACTGAAAAAGTTGCACTTTTTTTGGGTATGTTTTTTTCAAATAACTATTTCAATTTTTATTATTTTTTTGTACTTAATCTGGGGTAGCTAAACACGAATATTATAGCATTTTCGCCTTAGAAGCAAAATAGACCCGTAAATGTTTAGTTTTCTTTCTTTAAAAGTCATTTTCATAAAATAAAAATTGAAATAGTAATTTGAAAAAAACATACCCAAAAAAGTGCAACTTATTCAAAGTCATTTTTTGATCCTTAAAATTAATAAAATCGTCAACATTTTTTAACAGCATGATAATATAACTCTTTACGAAGAAAATAAACCGAAAATCGTTACTGTAGGGCTATCCGCTGAGAAGATCTAGCCAATTTTCGAGAGCGCCTTTTTTTCAAAAAATCGATATATCTCGAAAAATAATTAATATTTTTAAATTTTTCAAAAATGTACTTTTTTGGCTTGCCGCGGGCTATGCTTGCAGTAAATAGCAAATATGGGCACGTAAATGTAAACGAGTTATAGAAGAAGAGAAAAGAGAAGATTTTTAACGGTTTTTTCGATATATCTCGAAAAGTAACAAAGCAATCGATACTTTCAAAAAATCAGTCGATAGATCTTTTTAAAACCTACAACTTTCTCATTTAAAATTTTTCAATCCGTGCTATATTTTTTTAGTTATTTTAGAAAAACCGTTTTTTTCAACTTTGCGATTTTTTTTAACCATGTTCGCCATATTGGATCGAGTTTAAAGAACAAGAAACTCAATTTAAAATTTAATTTTCTATACGGTCATATTTTTTTTGTCCAGGTAATAATTTCTGCAAATTTAACATTAATCCGTGACAGAATGCTTGGACTACTATCCCAATATAAAGCGCTTGGCCGAATCTCGATTACGTCACAAGTTAATAAAAAATGTGTCCGGAAGCGTTTCGTTTTCGAGCTGCAACACGTTCAAAATTAATCAAAATGTATGAAAGAACTACTCTGCGGATTAATGTTCCGACCAGCGTTGAATTACGCCCGCAATACCTAGTAAACGGTTAAAGTCATTCGTCGGGAGAATCACTAAACATACCGGTTATTTAGTTCTCATCAGTATGCCGTAAGCAACCAACTAGCTAGATATTCAATGCTGGTGGGAGCATTAGTCCGCAGAGTAGTTGTCTTGTGCAATACCATCAGTTAAAATTGTTTCATAGTGTCTAATTATAACAATGAGTTCGATTTGAAATATTTTGGAAGTAAAAGAAACAATAAAAGTGTGGGAACCTCGGTGGGAACATTACTTAGTCCGCCAATGAATCTACGCCTCTGCATATAAAAAAAAAAGCATTTGTAAATAATCAAATACTAACACTGTGTACCAAATTTGAACGAAATCGCTTATCATATTCTTGCAATTAAGAAAAAAAAACAATATGTAGGTTAGGGTTGCCCAAAAAAATTATTTTTTTTTTCATCTCTTGTGAAATTAGGTATGTTAGTTTATCATGTTTTAAGAGCCCCCTCAAAAAATCAGCTCAAAAAAAATTTTTTTAGAGGTCGTCGAGGAGATTTTTAAAAATTTCTAAAATCGTCAAAAATAGATTTTTTTCTCATTATTTTATTATTTTCTAGGTTGAAAAAAATCGCAATTCTGAAAATTTCAAATCGATATTTTATTTATTATATTTTTTGGTAATTTAATTTCTAAAGGTCACTCATAATTATTTTAACTTTAAAAGTAGTGTACCTAAAATGTTTTCGAGCGACCTCTAAAAATAAATATCAACAAACTAATAATTTTTTTTTATTGAATTTGATGAACAAACGAATAGAAATAAATCACGAGACACAACATTTTAGGTACATTACTTTTAAAATTAAAATAATTATGAGTGACCTTTAGAAATTAAAACATCGATTTAAAATTTTCAGAATCGAGATTTTTTCAACCTAGAAAATTATATAAAAAATAAAAAACAACAATTTTTGACGATTTTGGAAATTTTTAAAAATCTTGAGCGACCTCTATAAATTTTTTTTTGAGCTGATATTTTGAGGGGGCTCTTAAAGCATGATAAATTATCATATTTTCACAAGAGACACGGAAAAAAAAATAATCGTTTTTTTTGGGCCACCCTATGTAGGTATCTAGAAAATCAAGCTTTTTTGGACAGAGACCTTTTTTAGATTTTAGCTACAGTCTGTATTGTCCAAATTTTAATAGTAAACCACGAATTAGTAGATGAACCTACATAATTCTTTATTATATAGTTGTTACGATGTCAATTGGAACCTTTGAAATCTTAAAGCACAGAATCGTAGCCACTTCTCCTGTTTCTTCTTATGCTTTACAAGAGATGGTATTACAGCATGGCAACTTGATTAATTGCAAAAAGAATTATCAAAAATTTGATGTTTAATAACACTTTAATAGCGATTTTCTGCTAAACCAGTACATTTATCGAGTTGAATTAAGAGTACATAATTTTTTCTGATATGATTTTTCTTTTCAATAATGCTTAAATTTCTCTGATGTCTAGCAATAGAAAAAGTTATGAACAAAACAAATTTTGAGTTCTAGGTAAAGTGCCCTCTAATGGCGCATAATAGAATTTTTTCCTGACTGGTCCAATAAATCTAGTGGGTGTGCCAAATGAGAGACTAATCGGACTTGAATTAAATAAGTTATTTAAATAGAAAAATTATAAAAAATTAACGTTGACAAGCTGTAACTTGCAAACAATTGACAATTAGAAAAAAAAATTCATTACATACTGTAGAATCACCTCCCGGAGTTTTCTGACGAACTTTCAGAACACCCTGTATATCTAACGTACATAATTTACAAAAAAATGTCAAAATGATGTCCGAATGCTGCAGAAAACCCTTTTTAAACAATCCAGACACTCAACACATTTCCTGGAATTCTTCAAAGCTTGTAAAATGTACCCAGACCTCAGACATTTTTCAACAACTGACAACACCGCGCAGAGGAGTGTGATGTTTCGTTTTTGTTTTGCAACGGGGACTCCTCTGTTTTGTTGCACCGTGTGTACCTACACGATTTGTTTCGGAATTTGACGATACCGTCAGCTGTATATGCGTAGCGAAAAGTCAACATTAAAATCAATCCATACGTAATGCAATCTAGATTGCGACGTTTCAAAAAGCAAAAAAACAACTTCGAGCACAAATTCATAAATAGGTTAAGACGTGCTATCATCAATAACATAGGAGTAATAGTTTATCACGTTATTTGTGATATTTACCAATCCTTCATGTAAAATTCCAATATTAATTTTGATAAATTTAAAACTATAAATTATTAAATAATAGTATCTGTACACGCATATAGCTCTCTGATCATAAAAAAGTTGTCCATGGACTTTGACGTTAGCAAAGGTAAAAAAATATATAAATACACACTACGAACAAATTATTTAAAGAAATATGCAACTTAAGCGTTTAAGGGCCCCATATTCTTTAAATAGTGTCTTCTAATCTAATTTTTTTATTGAGATTTCTTTGTTTATTGAATTATCGTACACTCAAGTGTCGTTAGGCCCTGTGAAATCTATCTAGTTATTTAAAGTATTAATTAATAAGGGTTGAAAAGTTGCAATCAATTCAAAATTATTTTATAAGAAGGGAATAAATGTTTATTTAATACGAATGCACATTTAAAATGTTTCTACTCTTTCAATAATATTTTTTCATTTTATTTTCGAAAGAAGGGGTATTTTNCAAAAAGCCTCAAAAATCCTGAATTACAAGTGTCTGCGATAAAAATTGCATTAATTATTAGCAATTGAAAAAAACGGCCATATTCGGCCATTTTTGACATCTCGCGCATAAACAAATTATCGGAATATAATCGGACTTGTCTCATTTTATAGGCTTATTTAATTACCTACCTTTTTGTATAAACTTTTTTCGCTCTGAATAATAGTTTTTTTACGCGAGTCAAAAAAACACTTTTCCATAACTTTGACCATTGTTTAAACAAAGTTTCCCAACTAGCCTCGAGTTGATTTTTTGATATTTTGTTTATACGTTTGCGAATAATATTCCGCAGAGAAACTTCTAATAGCATTTTTTTCTCGAAACGTTATTTGTAAATCATTCTTGACTGCGTTCCTGTTAAGAATGTACAAACTTTGTTTGTTCGAACAGGGACTGATCTGGATCCTCACTTAAAAAATTGGAAAAATAAATGCCAAGTGTACGCTTCTTAA